AATAGTGTTTGCAAAATGACGTGGTAGGAATTTAAAGCCTTAAAACTCACTTTATCGTTTTGAAATCTAAATACGAAGATATCGCCTGAAAAATGACATCCCTAAGCCACCCTGACCCCTCCTAGTCCGGGACTTAGACTCGTTATGATGATAAGTAAATAAGTAAGGAAAAGTAAGCACGCAATTTCTCATTTAGTTGTAAAATTTGAGTTAAAAACTCTAAAAGGGGGAATTTTTTTTTGCTCTGTGTCCATTTTCGTAAACGCTCATTTTGAGCTACGTTCAGAGTTGAAATTAAATTTCTATTTCATATTCTTTTCTCAAAAATATCCATTAAGTTCCTTCCTCGGAATAAACCACATTTGAGTGGAAATCAAAATCTGTAAGTAAATTATCTTTCTAAAAATTGCCAAAGGCGAATGCATACATTTCAAGAAGCGTGAAAAGTTTAATCCAACGTCTTCATTTTATAGAACAGTTATTAACCACCAACACATTTTAAATTACAAGTTTAAGAAGAACTTTGGCAATATTTTATTGCATTACTACCCAAATCACGGCCTCATTTTTGGTGAAATGTTTTATGACCTTTAACAATTGTAATATTATATTGAATGATATATAAAACAATCAGAACGTACACTGTGGGAAGGAAGGTACCCCCAACCTTTCAGTTACAATTTCCTTTCCGTTCACATAAATTTGCATTTTAAAATTTTACATTAATTTAAAATATTGACTCAGTTTTTTTGAAAAAAATGAAAAATAAAAACAATTATCTTGTTATATTTGGAACACTTTTTGACATTAAAAGATATGATGTCTCGGTACATATTTAAAATTCCTCCCGTCAAGAAAGTTGGCTCGTTTATGACGTCAATTGAACAACAAATGTTTTCATAATGTCACCAGAGCATATTTAATGGGAATTAAAACAGAAAGTTACTTTTATAGGAAAAAAAATAATCATGTTTTAGAAAATACGAATAAAAAAATGTTTGAGGCAAAGTTTATTTTCAAAAATTTTGATTTACAGCGAGGCTTCGATTTTTTTCTTTCGTTCTTTTTTTTTGGGGGGGGTGGGGGGCGGGAAGGGGTCTTTTTCGAAAATGGCTCGACGTGAGTTTGCACAAAAGGTACCGATTTCTTATATACATTTGCTACCTCATGTTTTTCTTACAGATTATTTTAAGTAATACATTATTTCTACAAATACCCGATTAAATGATTTGGATTGAAATAGCTAGTCATATTTATCATAAATTATAATTTCTGTTAATGCAGCCTAAATTTTCATCATTTATATACTTTTAAAAATACGACTTTTTTGAAATTCAATTTTTCAGGTTCGGCCGATTCCGCTTAAATTTAGTATTTTGCCATGTAAGGATGCATTCTTTAAAATGATTTAAAAAATTGCCAACCTTACAATTCAAACATTTTTCGATCCTATTAAGTAAAATAATAAAAAATAATAAATATTTACTAAATTATATTTTTTGAATGAAATTATCTTTGGATAAATGAATCTTATAATGATGTGCGCACATTTTTCAATTCGCTTAAAAAGAGCGCGTGTTTTTCTCTTGAAAAATGGCGGAAAACGTATAGATTGAAATTAACATTGAGTCCAATCTATGGACTGCTCTTCCAACCTAACTATTGGGATATTTCCTAGAGTGTGGCTACCCCTTACATATTGGGGGGTTGGAAGTCCGAATCAGTCGGAAAAAAGGTGCATGTTTATTCAGAGAAGGTACGTTTTTGTGTCTGATTTCATGACTTGAAATGTCGTCCGCACTCATTAATTGGCCCTTGAACCACTAAGATTAAGTTCTAAAATGTGAAGATACGATCATTAGATCAAAATTTCTTAAGGGAAGGGGGGTCCGTTTTTTATTTTACGCACCGTATTTCTCTAGATCTGATGAAGTAATTTTTTTTCAATAAAAGTCGCATTTTATCACTAACTGTTTGTACTATATTGAACATTAGATAAACTGACTCAGCAATGATAAATAAAAAAGCTAATTACAATGTTATCTATATCGAAAATTTTATGTTAATCTAATATTAGAAGTGATTGGGAAGAATAAAGTGGCAAGCTAAACTTTTTCCAAATGTGAAATTTTTGATTCGAGGAGCTCCTAAGTAACATTTCTGAGGAAGTATTTTTCAAGTTTCTGGAATTTCCACTTAATAACAGTACAGAACACAGGAATATCTAATGCTCTACAGATGAAAATCGTCATGTTTTTCATAAAAAATGCTGAGCCTTTTTCTTAAACTTTTGATGACAGTGTATATTTCGACAATAATATACCTTTCAAAAATTCACTTTATTTTAAAGTAGGAAATATAGCACTAATTAACTTTTAGAATTACTAGGAATTTCTTCCCAAAAACTGAAAGCAATAAAATAACTGCTGTTAGTAAATGAATTTTGGAAAGGTAATAAAATACTTTTCATTCATCAATTTTATATATTTTTGGAAAAATATTTTTTAATTATTTTTTAATCCATTTAAAAGATATTTGAAGAATTCTGGAAATTTCTCTTAACGAACATTTCGAAAAATATCTTTGATTTTCTATAACTCAATAAACAAACACGTGTAAAACAATAAACTATCTTTCAAAAATACTGATTGTAGAATTGTATTTTTATACTTTTGTTAGAAAAATTCCGATTAAATTCTATATAAAGGCGCTCCAAGTAACTTCCAATATGATTGGTTAACTACATTTAAATGTTCCGAAAACTGCAGAATTTAATAAATCTACAGAATTAATTTAATTGGAAAAATTAAATGAATATGATTAAATAATATTCAATCTTCCTTCCCTCTTTCTACACCCCTTGGTTTTTTTTTATTTGGTACCAACGAATGAGGATTCTTCCTCGCCCAATTGGATTTTAAATTGAATACTTAATTTTCATTCTCTCTATATTTTAAAGAAAACTTTTGATGCTAGTGTATCATACGTTTCAAAAATTTTTGAAAATGTAAGTGTCCTTTAATACTTTAGATCGCTATTCGTCACAAAATTAAGAAACAATAAAATTACGCTATCAGAAATTTTGAAATGATATTTAAATGCATCACATTTACCTGTTTTTAGATTTTTTATTAATATTCTTTTTTTATAGTTAAAGCTGATCTGAAAGATGCTGGATTTTCACGTAAAGCTCACAAAAATAGATAGAACTATATTTATAAAAACAGACAAAAATGAACCTTTAAAAAAATGCTAATTGTAGAATTATATTGGTATAATTTTGTCAAAAAAACTCAATGTAGAATCTAAAATACGGAGCTCTATATTTCTTAAATTTTTTTTGGGTGGAAGCCTTATATGTTCTACAATTGTTGAAAGATACTGTCAATCCAACTTTTGATCCAACCAACTAATATCCAACTAAAATATAATTGAGAAAGTTAAATAAAAATATGATTAAATTTCTCTCTTTGCCCTCTTTTTATAGCCAAGTTCGTTTGCTGGAAAAAAGGCCTCTTTAAAGAATCAAACTAATGTATTCTTAAATTATTTCAATATTTCGAATTAAAAAATCATTTGCTCTTCGCGTTCATTAATCATTCGGCGAATTCAGCCTTGGAGATCAAAATCCAATTAAACTATAAATAACTAAATTTTCAAATGGCAACCCACCAACTTTTCTATCTAATGAAAAGTAATTTCAAATTCATAACATCTCAATAACCTGTCACGGAACTCACTAAATCAAATTTGAAATAAGCATCTCATAAAACATAACTTTTTTTTTCACTTTCAACGCGTGGTCGCTTTTTTGGCAAATCACAAATATGACTTTCCATTTAATATCATGTTGACAGTTATGAGGTGTAAGGAATAAATTGGTTCGCGTTTTCTCAGTTTTTTTTACATAGAACAAAAACTTGTTATGGTTATCAAGGTTAATAAGAATTCGGTAATGTATATTTGAATTCGTATCATCTTTGCTTTTGCAACTCATGAAAATTTATAGTTGAATTATCTATTACATTTGCATTTAGGTCATCTTTCTCGCTATTAAAATAAAAGTGATTGTTTTATACATATATTATTAGAATGCTAACTCGGATAAATATAAATATACTTTTTTTACATACGAATAAAATAAGATAAGTTTTTTAAAAATTATGTTTTTCAAGTGAGCTAAAAAAAGAAAGAAAATAATTTTGCCAATTAAAATAAAACACTTAAGTTATATCATTTTCCAAACATCACTTAGTTTTGTGTTCATTAGCTTTTGTGGAAAAATTGTCCAAATTTTAAGAGGCGATAAGTTTTTCCTATAATATTATTGTCAATGAACGGAAACAAAGTTGCATAGTCATAAAGTGATCGAAATAGATTTGTATGTATATGCTTGTAAGCGTGCGTTTATATTCCCTTCGGGGTTTTGAACTTATGACATTCTTTGTCACAATCCGGAATCTAAATCTCAAGTGCACTCTGCTCCAAATCCATTACACTCGCACTACGCTTTCAATTAATTATAATGGATACTATTACGTTATAATTTATATAAAAGAGAGACGTTTTCGAAAGTCAGTGCATACCAGACTTTAAAAAAATAGCAATGTTAAACATTTATGCAGTGGTAGAATCTTATTAATGTCGCAATAGAGCTGCACATTGGACTATTGGCCACAGTTTGGGAAACATCCTTGAGGATGATCCGAAGACATGTCATTACAATTTTGATTTTCTTCGGATGGGGCGGCTTCCCCACTTTGGTAGCCAGCAACTTAAGTGCGAAGTCAACCACTTTACGGTAGAACAGTTTAACGAGGCTCGATAACGCGCAGCTCCGGTCCCTTCGCAGGCTGATCGAAATGGTCACCCAATCACTCACGACAGCAGCCAGTGCTGCTTGACTTTGGTGATCTACTGGGAATCGTGTCTTACCATCAGTCTACTGTGGGACTGTTAAACATTTATGCTTATTACATTGTTTCTATTTTCTTTTTCAGTTATGAATGTAGCCTCCGGAAAAGCTGCCATGCAGTCTTCAATCGTTGCCAAAGGAGTACCACAAAAAGCTGTCGATGGAATCACAAGTCGATCGTATGATGCCACTACCTGTACACATACAGAGTCGGAAGCAACACCATGGTGGTACGTTAACCTGCTGGAACCATTTTTAGTTCAACTAGTTAGAGTTGACTTTGGAAGATCTTGCTGTGGTAAGTCATTGAAGTTGTTGACACAATTCCAGCAATAGCAGCTCATAAATAATTTTCTTGTATCTATTTGAAAGAAGAATCTGGAGTAGAATTTTTCAAGATGTAGATCAGAGAAAAAAAGGAGCATATATTTTTGTGTTTTTACTAATATTCGTTTTTTTACGTTCACTTGTCTTACTGTGCCATTCTTTTTTTATTTGAAAGCTACGGAAAAATGTTTCATATAATAAATTGTTTCCGAATAATATCAAATACCTACACTTCTCAGCATTCTGACGCAACCTATCAATTTGTCACAATTTAAAATACAAAGAAGTAAACAATGAAAAAAAAATGAAAAATATAAAAATGACAACCGAAGCTGACGTCGTCAGGGGGTACATTATCAGGGAGTCAGGGCTCACATTATATATTCTTTGGTCAGGGGGTACCAGCCCCAGAAGTCATTAAAACACAAAACCTTTTCCATCGAAAGAGCACGATAAATGTCTAAGTTTCTCTCTCTGTACCCCCAAAGGTTTAGCTAAAAATACAGGAAGAGAGAAAAAAGAGTACAAAATACAAAAACAAATACAAAAGTATAATACTTAAGCTAATACAAAAGAAAACAATGTTCACAAAAACTTACTTAAAAAGTAATAAATCTCAAAACCAAAGAACACTATATGCTACAGATCCGTAACTAAACTGAAATTAACGAAAAGACAACGCCTCCTAATTTAATGCGCAGAAAAAAGGAAAAAAGAGCAAGAAACCTGTTGCCATCATTAGTAGAAATGCTTAACTGGGGCAACTCAGTTAAGACTGCATCTTGCTCCATTAAAAGAAAACAAAACTAATAATTTTTAATCATTTCTTTAATTTTAAATTCAGTATTGCAAAAAGTAAAAGAATCTTGCTCTTGAAAGCTTTCAACGTTATTGTAAATTTTATTAATTCCAGACAAATGAGAAAAAATTAGTTTTTGAATATTTTACTGTACAAATTGGTATCAAAATTACAGGAAACAATAATCTTAAACTTAAAAGCTTTCCTTTTATCATAAATACCAATTTTAATTTGATTATTATTTATATAAAATTCAAAATCTTAATATTCAATATTTAAGCAATTTTCATTTGTCCTCTTCAAAACCAAATCTTTAGGATAAATATTAAAGATAAAATCATAATTATCAAAATTAAATAAAATTAAATCATCAATATATCTAAAAAGCTTTAAACTCAAGATACTTAGCTTCAAAAAAATTTTAAAAAAATATTAGCAAAAGCGCCAGAAAAATAATTACCTTGTGGAATCCCTATTTTTTGTTTATAAAAGTCAAGGCCTTTAAAAAGAACATTTTCAAAAAGATTAAATTTACAAATATCAATCCAATAAAATTTATTAATATTTTCATCAATTAAATATTTATCATAAATGCAACTACAAATATTAAGTATTTGAGCATGCACATTTAGGTATATTGGCATAAAAATGTTCAAAGTCAAATGCATTAATATTAAAAACTCATTTTTTTTTCATTAAAATTTAAAACATCAACGTTACTGTTTATAACAATATTTTTCTGACTCTTAATTTGAAGCAAAATAATTTTAAGAATATTAAAAAACTTTTTACTCATACTAGAATTATAGAAATTAGTACCACTAGCAATAAACTGGAATTTTACTGGATTTTTTTTACAAAATCGTTTGATAAGACGATTTTAAACAAAAAAAGATGGTTATGGTTTGTTAATATCATTTTGATGTTTTCTAATAGCTTTTTGAATTTCGTTAAACACCCTAAAATATCATTTAAAATGTTTTTAGCTACTTTTCAATCGTAGTCTTATAAGTCAGTGACATAAACGGATGCATTTAAATTACCACCTGCAACTATTTAAAAAAAATAAACAAATGTAAGTCAATCCTTCGATTTGTTCTTATTAAATATACAGAAGGCATACAATTTTTAAGGCAGGGTTGGTTATAAGTAAAGTTATACTATTAGACACACACGCATAGTATCTGCTCCAGTGAATTGCAATTTCATCAAGTGTTGCAGATTTCTTTCCCCGGGTTTAACGCGGGGAAAGAAATCTGCAACAAAAAATAGTTTGCATTTTAACTGACAGATAGCGTTTTTCATATACGAGAAGGAAAATAATAATTCAGAGTGAATTACAAAGCCAATAATCACTGGCGTGAAATCCTTCTACGCAATACCATTATAGAAGAAAAAGCTGAAAAATTATTGCTTGATTCGAAAAGACTGGGGAGTAATAGGTGTATTGCAAGAAAAAGGACAAGAGCGGCTTTCAAATAAAACTGAATAAGTAGTAGGTAAAGCACGTCTTATTGTCACAACAGATCTAAAAACTCTTCAATCGAATGCTTTTTAACTCACTGTCGAAAACGGACAGTTGATGGAACGCATACTTTGATTTAATAAAGTTTCGGCTCGCAAATTAGTGTATTTTTTAATTGTTTATACGCTTCTATTCTCATATAGAAGTGAAACTTAAAACTAATTTTTAATTGCATTTTTCCAGGGTTCATAAAAAGTACATAATCAATTTTAAACAGCACCCGTTAACCATGACAGACTCTAAACAGGGTAACTTCAATTGCAACAACCCTGCATATGAAGCTTGGTTTTTATGCATTATTATGTACTGGTATTTACTTTTCTGTATCTTTTTCAGCCAACAATCAACACGCAACTGTTATCGTAAGGGTGGGCAATAACAGGCCAGATCTGCGTGCAAATCCTATATGCAACAGGTTTTCAGGCAAAATAGGTTCGTAATGTTTAAATAATCGTTCTAACGTAAGCAAAAGCATCTTTCCTCTTTTATTGAGTTCCAATTCTTTTGCAGAAGAGGGACGTCCTTTATTCTTCCCCTGCACATCAACGGTTACAGGAGCATTCGTGAGTGTTCACGTGGAGACAGCTGCACCGTTTACTTTGTCCATTTGTGAAGCCTTTGTATACACTGACCAAGGTAAGCTCTTTACTCACAGGTGGTGATTGCTGCTGCTTATAATTCTAATAAAACATGCCTCAAAAATATTGGGATATATTTTAGAGGAGTGGTAAGGCACGTCATAAGGTAGGTAGGTAGGTACTTTATTTACGTCGCACTAGAGCTGCACAATGAGCTTTTGGCGACGGTCTGGGAAACAACCCTGAGGATGATTCGAAGACATGCTATCGCAATTTTGATCCTCTGCAGAGGGGATGGCTTACCTGCTTTGGTAGCTTTATGACTTACGCTCGACTGATCGTAAAGACACGGTTCCCAGTAGAACACCGAAGTCAAGCATCATTGGGTGCGGTCAGTAATCGGTCGGGCGACCACTTTGATAAACCTGCGTAGGGATTGAGGGTGCGCAGTATCGATCCTCGTAAACTTCCTTACTGTAAAGGGCTTGACTTTGCGCGCAGGTAGTAGAGCTAACAAAGCAGGTGAGCCATCCGCTCCGCAGAGGATCAAAATTGCGATAACATGTCTCTGGATCATACTCAGGGATTCTTCCCAGACCGTCGCCAATAACCCATTGAGCAGCTCAAGTTAGGTATAAATGAAGTACATACCTACCTACTAATCCTTATGGAATACCCTACATTTCCTAAAAATGTGTCCTAACATTTTGAGGTCCTCTGTTCGTAACTTTTATTCTAAAATTAAAATATTTTATTGTTCAACATAATTATGCTTAATGATTATTCCCTTGTGAGAAATGTATGAGTTCATTTATTCTTAAGATTTCTCAGTAGTGTATTTGAGCAACGATGGCTCAATAGAAAACATGGTTAAAGATACTAGGGTAGTCATTGTGAAGGATTGGGGTTAGGTCTTCAGTAGTGGTCTTTAGCGCACCCAGCTTCATATCGATGGATGCTAGCTTATCAGGGACATAATGCGCAATAATGACCACATTGTTGCAATCATGACGTTGGTCACGACAATGCGTAGCCTTAATTTCCATGATCCACTGGCTCACAAAAGGGTGTTGCAGAAATGCTTTTCTTTTCAGCTGTGTTGTCATTCATGTTAGGGGTATCTGCAACGGTTTTATTCTTGCAAAGTAACTTAGTATAACTCAAATAGTTATTCATGAATATATATGCCCTAGGTTAATTGAAAAAATTCCGGCTGATGCATTTTTTGATTGCCTTAAAGGTATCTGAGCTTTTTATTGTGAGACTGAAGATTATGTCAAGTTTATAAACATAAGTACAGTTTTTTTTCAGATTAGCCTGATGCATTGCAAAATGACAACAGTGGTATGCAAGGAGCCAATTTTTTACAATGGCCTACGACATACATATATGCTTACTCCAATAAAGACCTCTAATTTGCTCTAATCTAATAATATGCTTACTCTTGTCAAAGTTTTCACTCTTTCGACAACAAAAAGCGCACAAAACAAACAAATACTAAGCATAATTCGCGCATTTGACGTTGGAACTTTTCCGATTTCTTATGTCCATGTTTTGGTTTAAACTGCTTTAAGTCACCCCATAGATAGTTCAACGAATATGGTTTCTAGAACTACTCGTTCACGTTCATTATCAAAATAGTAGCTAATTCTAGAACAAAGAATAACCTAGAACTAAAATGCATCAAAAATCAAAATCAACAAAAGATATTCTGTTAAATTTCATATTTAGCGGAATTTTAATTTTTTATAAGAAATTTTATGTATAAAAATAACATAAGTGTAAAAAAAACATAATAAGTTTTAAAGTCATATTAGACGTCTCATAAAAACAAAAACTTCTTAGTCTAGTTTTTGATCATCTTTCCACCAAAAACTGAAGATCTTTATTCATATGATTACATGATTAATAACTTACTGATTATTCATTGTTTTTAATATCTATATAATGGAAACTTAGAAACATGATTTTACAAAAAAAGAATAAATAAATAAAATAAAATAAAAAAATAACAAATCAATTTTCCAAAACAAAGAAAATTCAAATCCTGTGGGTAGAACTGGATGATTTTACAGACAATCGAGTTGAAACGGTTAAAAATCATCCAACACGCATTTCAGTTATAAACGTAGCCAAGAAGTTTTTTTCATTAATTCAAATATACCTTTTTTTTCTCCAGTTGTACCAGTAGAAAGATGTCCCGTTTTCGATGAAGATCCATCAACAGTTGCCACCTATAACGGGAAATGTTACCTTTTCTACAACAACAATCCAAGGACATTGGAAAGTGCCACTAAGTTTTGCTCAAAACAGGGTGGTTCCCTCATCCACGAAACAAGTCCTGCCCTCCAAGGATTTTTAAGTTGGGAACTCTACAAATTAAACAGAAAAAATCCCAATTCAGATTATTGGAATGGATTAATACGGAAACCAGACTCAAATAAATGGACCTGGATCGATGGTAATGTCATTTTTTTATAACTTTCTTACAAAACTCTGAGGAATTACGCATTAAAGAGAATTACACTTGGAAAGTAACTTATCGTTGACCAAAATATTACTACACAGTGCTTCGTAATACACAGTGCTTCGTAATAGTCGCTTTTAATATACATATTTTAAGAATTCTTTTAAAAATATAGTTAAAAGAGTATGCACGTTATGCAATACAAATTAATATTTAAATGAAGAAAAAAGACAAAATTCTATCGAAATCTAACGAATCGTAACTAAAAAAAGCAGGGCAGAAAACAAAACCTGTTTTATTGCCGCGGAGGAGACAGAGAAATATTGAATGGTGGTTATTTGAAACACTTTTAAGTTTTATCTAGCAATCAAACGGGTCCAGATTTTTTTCCCTTTAACCCTTTTCACTTGTGAGTCAACAGATTTTTAAAGTTTCGTTGTCATTTTTTTCTCGTTTGAATATACATTTGTTATTAAAAATGAGCATTTCTTTTTAATTCATTTTTGAAAAGATTCTAAGGAAATTTCAAGGGCAGTCATTGCGGAAAACCGAATACATAAAGAATTACTTGGGAGTGTATAGTAAAATAACGACAGCATATAGAAGCTAATAGCATAGTTTTTTTCCCCTCATTTTTTAACATCATAAATACAAAGATAGATATTCATGGAGTATATGATAGTTTGTTTTTCTAATTATGAAATATTTGATAAGATTCTTTAATTAAAAAATGCCTAAAATGTTTAGTATTTCGTTAAAAAAGAAAATTCCACTCTAAATATGTTTTTGTTCAAATAAATTTTCTTGAAAGAAAAAAAAAGTGAGGGTTGAACATTTCAAACGCATAAAATATTTAACAATGGTAATGAAAGTTATCTTTAATTTTTAAGCTTCTATCTCAAATTTTCTACCAGTTCAAAGTCTATTAATAAATCGAATTTTAAATGAAAATGCGCAATAAATCTTAACATATTTTTCCGAAATACAATTTTTAAGTAAATAGTAGAATATATAATAGAAATATCTATGAGGCTCTTCCAACTTATATGAAAAATTTCTGATAAAACTTTTATTCTTATTGATTAAAGTTAACCATTAAAGAAACCTTAACTTTTCAACAACGGAAATTACTCTTATTAAAATATTTTAATGATGAAAAAGTCAATAACATAGAAAAAAAGAAACAATTTGATAGTCTTTTCCTTTGTTTGAAACTTTTATGTTTGGTTTAACGTTTTGTGCAAAAACATTTATTATTTACCATAGCAGGAGAATTAGATTTAAAAATGTTGTGTGAAAATTAACCCTTTCGGTCTTATGTCTACTCTCAGCAACCAGAGCTGTTTGTTACTGTTCCAATCTAATTGTTACTCTCAGTTAACAAAGCTTTTATACCGTTCCAGTCGTATATCTACTCTCAGCTGCGACAGCGAATAACCATAATGATCTAAGGCATTGAATAATACTGTTCACCTCAGACTATAAGTAAGATAAGACTGGAGATATATAAAATTCAAAAGGATTATGTTACAAATTATGTCTAAGCGTAATAGCGTTTTGCCTTCTATTGGAAGAAATAAATTATTTTTTTCTTCCTACGTTATCCTCCGTATTCTACCCATACGACTAAAATTAATTCCGACCACTTATCACAACTATATAGAAATTTAACACGACCGCAAAAGGTAAATACCGATAGTTTAAAATTGCCGGTTGCCGAATTTATTTTATAGACTTCTAGTCTATTGTGGTCCGTATATTTTATAAAGTTATTTCTCTTCTGTTTCATTAGGGAAAGACGTGAGTATATCCTTCTGGAGTATACCTCCGAAAGAAGATAATTGTTCACGGTTCGACGGAAAGAATGGATGGTTGTGGTCTGATACAGAATGCGATAATGAACTCAACTACATCTGTGAACATAGTAAGTATAATTAAGGAAAGTTTCATAAATAATTTACAATAGAAGAATTCCAATTTAAAAGGGTCTAAAAATTAATATCCTAGAAAGTTAGTTACGTTAATATGAAATACATACATAGCTTTGCTATGTTCAACTTCACTAAAACGCTTATAGTTCGAGAAATCTACATCGTTTGATAAATGTCATCAAGTTATTTTATTATATAACTGGCACTGAACAGCTAACCCAATTCTGAGTTAACGAATGTCAGTGTTCAACTATCTAGCCTTGTAATTTTGAACACAATCCTTGATCAAGCAATGAGACAAGCTAGCCTTCGTGGTGGACTTTTGGATGGAACTAACCCACATTTGCGTTACATGGAGAGGAAAGCAACGAAGACCTCCCGTTGTTAGCTCAACAGTAAAGGGATTCTAGCAACCTATAACCCATCTATCACTCAGGAAATTTTATGTCAGTTCTCTGATCGGGGCGAGTCGGAAGCAGAACTCGTATTAACCAATCCCAGCTGGGATTCGAACCTGGGACACCTCATTTAGAGGCAAACACTCTATCCCCTGAGCCACCACGGTTTGATTAATGTCATTGCACAGTATTCACGAACATTATGAATTAAGAGCTGGGTTAAAACCTCGTAAAAAGTGAGATCTACTGTAGTACAATTCATTTCGTCCACTTCATCAAAATTATGCAATCAATAAACATGGCGCGTGTAGGGAATGTTATTCTGATGTTTCAAAAACAAGTTCGTTGCCTAAAAAATCGTATTATAACGGAATTTAGTGGATATTAATGAATACTATTCAACTTTTCATCGTTTTGTTGTTAAAAGGAGTCTCTTCGTTATTTGTTCTTCTTTCTAGAGAAATAAGTACTTTCTATTCGGAAAAAGTTTCTCTATTTTCACGTTTTTAAATTTTCAATTTTTACGTTAAAATATAAAACCTTGATTTAACTAAGAAAGGATACTTTTTTCAATTTATTAAGTAAAATGTAATTTTTACAGGGCCATCAAACTGTGGAAAACCTGAGAGACCCGTTAATTCCACCCTATTGATGAGATCCAACAATGTAGGAGCTGAAATTGAATATCAGTGCAATCCCGGACATTTGCTCTTAGGTCCCAGCTCGAGAACCTGCATGCCATCAGGTTTCTTCAGTGAATTCGCACCCAAATGTACATGTAAGTACTTTTGGCAATAATTTTAATCCTGAGTTTCTACCGTCTCACACAAAATTCTCTTTTAATGGATCTGTTTATCACTACTTCTTTTTGAAAAACTAATTCCTATTCCTTAATATCAGATTTGTTGGAGAAATTGCATCTTACGAATGAGTTAGCTTAAACATCTTTGAAAATCATCGGATTTGGAATAAAGGCCACGAATGATCCATCGTTTCCATGTTTGAAAAAACACCCTGATTTAATCAAGCTTACCACGATAATTCAAATGCTGGTTGACATTTTTTAAAGAATTATGCAATGTAATTTGTACACATTAAATTTCGGTGATTTTTGGATACATTACATCTAAAAGAGCTTTACAAGAATTTGATCTCGATTATATTTATCCATATTTGCTTCGTCGTAGTAAAAGCCTTTTTATCCTAATAGATTTAGTATTATTAATTTAATTGTAAACGTAAATAAAAAATATATATACATCTAAGATTGGAAGATAAATACAGAGTTATTGTAAATATGTATAATACTTATAAAATAACAAAGTTTTTTTATTTACAAAAAAAAGGGACCAGTTGATTTGTAATATTAGCATAAACCTTTAATATATATCTTTACTAGCTCAATACCCATTTATAGTATGTAGTGAAAAAAGGTCATATGATGGTGGCGATCAGTCTAATTTAGTGGTTAGCATCATTGTAGTATTAAGCCTATTTTCATGCCGTTTCAGATACATCTTAATTGGATATGATATAAGGATATTCATCCCTGAAAAATGAATAAAATCGTTCAGGAAAAATTTATTTTTTAAGTAAATATTGAATAGAATAAGGCCACATTCAAAAATATTAAAGAAAAAGATAAGAAATCCCTTAAAGGTATCAAGAAAATCACTCTCTTAACATCGAGAATTATTATGTAAAAAATTATTATCCCTCCCCCCCCCGAGAGTTATTATCCCAAAGCCCCCCCCAATCCAATCGCCAATAATTCCAAATTGAAAGTAAATGAATTATTCCCATCGGACAGTAACGAGCATGGGAAGAGATCCATGGTTGGCGATTTATCGAAAGATAACGTAGCCAAAAATAAAGTCAACCCCCCATAATCAATGTTAAATTTGAAAATAATTTGGCGAAAGCGAATCACCAAAAAGACTGCGAGAATTAGCATAACTGAAATATTTTAGTGGTAAGAAATAAAGAGCTATCGCGACATTGAATGAATGAGTCTTACATTTGTATTGAAATAAAAAGTTAGCCCTTACATGGATTGTTAATAAAAGAATAAACTATTTTATATTCGCTTTTCATAAAATGTAATAAAAATTAAATAATGGGTTTCATTTAATTAAAATTCAATTAAGAATGATTAAAAAAGAAGAAAGAAATTAAGAAATGAAATAAATTTTAAAAGCTAGGAAATATGTAATGCCTATTGTGGCATTACAAATCAATAAATAAGTAATAATTAACACTACAAAATCATGCACAACACTATAAACTATAATACCGACACAGTTATTTAAGTTAAAACAATTTCTATCTTCTTTTTTTTAATATTTATTATTTGTTGCCCTTCCCGGTGGAAGCTTTATGTCACTGGATTTTTAGAAGTTTATTCTTTCAAAATAGAGATTAATTACTATATTCAATATAATTTGGCATAACGTTATTGCTCGAGGTCAACTATTACCATATACCGATATTACCGAGGTCAGAAATTACCATAATCAACCATTTCCTCCAGTGGGTATCCATTTTGGTGGACCGTAAAGATCTATTCAGAGGTATTTTGATATCAACCTTAGTATATTTAGTTTATATATATATATATATATATANTATATATATATATATATAAAACCAATTAGCATTATAGCAGCAGCAGTGTACCTATCATGAAAATTAATGAAGCAGTATTGTCGTGTCAATAAGAATAAGACAATATTGCCAATTTTTCCTAAATTTAATTTTTACTTATTCGCACCGGATATTTTTTTGGCAAGAAAAATCAAGAAAGAACTAATGAAAAAATTTATAATGCTGCAGTTATTGTTTTAAAAAAAATTTGGTAAACCTACATTTAAGATACAATTTTCCAAAATAAACGGAAAACAAAATAGTTTTAATATTCGTTTTAAATGTCTTTCGTTTTAGAAAGAGAGTATTTAAAAAAAAAAATCCTGCTGAATAAGTTGATAATAATAATAATCTGATAATGAAGCCAAACTTTTAAATAACGTTCAAATTCTTTCCTTTTATTTTTGAATACAAAAACCCAAAGGCATTACTCAGAGCATTAAAATATAAAACTGTGCCTGCAATTTTACAAAGTTTAATATTTTAAAAACTTAGTGTGAATAACCTTTGCATGCTTTGAAACATTGTTCACAATTGTGATACCGATCATCAAGTTATTGAAAACTCATATTAAATTTTAGACCTAGAATGTGGATTTCCCGTCAATATTGCCAATGGTGGATACACCCTCATTAATGGAACAAAACATCTGCAAAGTACGGTGCAATATTTCTGTCAGGAATCTTTCATACTCGTTGGTGAATCTGAGCTCATGTGTGATGCAGACAGAAAATGGAATGGACCACCACCAAGATGCGACCGTGAGTTCTTTTTTTTTATTAAAAAGATTAATCTCTTATAAATTCATATTTTAAAGTCAGTATTTAATGCACGCCCCAAAACTGATGAACGATTTAAAAAATCAATTGAAAAAAAAAAGAGATAGAATTGTAGGCTTTTCTGTTGTTCTTCTTATTAAACCAGAACACTTCTTCTCATCACATTTGAAAGTTGGTAACAAAGTGTATCAATAGATGGTGCTGCAAACACGCAAAAAGTTAAAACACAATGTTTTCAAAGTAACCGACACTTTCCGCAACAATATGGCATAATATACAGTGTTTTTTTATACAGTTTAAGGACAAAAATAAAGAACAGCAGTGCAAATGTTTCTTCTGGTATAGTCTGACATAAGTAGAACATTTATGAGTAGAAAACATTGTTACATAATAGTTTTTCCAATCAGACTCTTGATACACTTTGTAGCTAATTTTAAAATTTATGAGAGAAATAATTGGTTTCCTTTTTTTCATATTCTGTATATTTCTTATCGAAAAATTTTCATGTGAACTTTTCTGTCCTGCAAAGCATTTAGGAAAATCTGATTATTGAAAGAACTGATTAGCTTTATCAATGATGAAATGGATTGCAAGTGTTAAGTTCAATCACATTGATTGTTCATTTAATTTAGTTCAGTCTTCACCTTAATACTAAGATGCACAACTCCAAAAACTTAAAATCAATAAAAAAAGAAGCATGATCTATTATTTTTATTTTTCCATATGATTGCTAAAATTATTCACGCAATTATCTGCATAAGTTTTTTTTAGTATATCGTGGTAATGCGTAATTATTAAATTTTTCTTTTGATATTTAATGTTACCTTTAAAGAAATACAATATTTTCTATGTAGTCTTAATTAGTTACCAATTTAATTATAAGCAGTCGGCATGCTTTCTGAACCAATCAAAGCAGTGGTGTTAAACAAAACAAAAAAAATTCTATAGATATTAACCCATTTAACGCAGAAATATTATTTACAGCACTATTATGCCACAACCCACCTTCCATTTCTCACGCTAATGTTACAGTCACAGTTAATACAACAGTACCGGGAACCACTGCCGAATATGAATGTGAAGAAAATTTCAAATTAATTGGTAACAAAATCATTTCCTGCGATTCAACTGGTTTTTGGGAATCAGAACCACCAACATGCGAACGTAAGTAAATTTAATTTTTATACCATAAAAATTGAATTGCCAATGCTATATTCAATTGAATTTTATACTATAAATGCTCGTTTTAAAAAAGTGACTAAAGTTTGAAGATTGGTTGCGTTTTATATGAGATAATTTGGTACATTTGTCATTTTTAGAAATCATTTTACCCACTATACACTTTTAAGAGAATGCACTAAAGAAAATTTCAAATTTCGTCTAAGTTCTACAAACGATATTACAGCGGACAATATTGCAACACAATTACTTACAATTGAGGTTCTTTACCATTTATTTCCAGGAAATTATAAGTCTATTTATGAAGTCAAAATCCAATAGTTTAATCCTAAAACTATATCGATGGATCTTTCCAACTACAACATGAATAGGAAACACTACTAAATAAAAAAAAAACAATAAATAAATAAATAATTGGATTTCGTATCATCGTTCGAGAGTATTTTCAGGGCATTTTGTAAAAATATATAAATCACAAAGAGATATAGGACGTTTTGTATTGACGAAGAACGATATTTTAACAACGTTTTCTCATAACAGCGTTTGTTTTCACTCACGAACTCGGAGACCCATCATCTTAATCCGTTAAACGCATCATTTTAACACGCAGTACATAAAAACTCAATTTCCGTACAATTTTTCAACGCATCATTTTAACACGCAGTACATAAAAACTCAATTTCCGTACAATTTTTGATGTAGGATGTTTTTTAATTTCAATTTCTAGCTTTCGATTAATGTAAAATCCTAACTTTTAGGACATATTATCTCCATTTCGTTAAAAAAAAAAAAATTTATCCTGTGTGCAATTGAACTGATTTTATAACAGTCGTTAAACAGCTGACAAAATTTCTGGGTTTATGATTACTCATGTTCAACTCCGTAGTCTTGTCATTTTGAACCCAATCCAGGAGACAAGGGTACTTCTGGATCAAGTATTGGGAGAAATTTGCTTCAGTGGAGGACTTTTTGATGGATCTGACCCGCATTGGCGTTACATGAAGAGGAAAACCACGAAAACTTCCCACGGTTAGTCTGACGGCAAGGGGACTCTAACCCATGATCCGGCTACCACTGAGGATATTTCGCGTCAGCACTATGGTGGGTGCAATGCGGAAGCGACTAGCCACCGTCGGGATTCGAAACTTTAAAATGATATTTCAATAACGTTTTCTCATAACAGCGCTTGTTTTCACTCACGAACTCGGCGAAAATAACCAATCCGTTAAAAGCATCATTTTAACACGCCGTACATCAAAACTTGTCGACCGGACTGTGTAGGGATCAGGGAACTGGCCAAATTTTTTTCCCCAATGCCTAATTACATCAGAAAGGTTCTGAGTTCGAATCCCGGGCAAGGCATGGATGTTCTTTTATTCAATGTACTATAGGTCGTTACTGTAGCGACAACGTTCGCCCACAAAAGCTCGTTGGTTGGGCGCTCCTGAAAGAGTGGCCATCAAATCTGCTTTGTAAATGTCTGAATGGACGAAAAGTTAACACAAGTAGGCATTGAAAAAAAAAAATATATTAAAACTTACATTTCCGTAGGATGTTTGATGTAGGATGATTTTTAACACTGGATTGCCCNGAATAATTAATCCGTTAAAAGCATCATTTTAACACGCCGTACATAAAAACTTGTCGATCGGACTGTGTAGGGATCAGGGAACTGGCCAAATTTTTTTCCCCAATGCCTAATTACATCAGAAAGGTTCTGAGTTCGAATCCCGGGCAAGGCATGGATGTTCTTTCATTCAATGTACTATAGGTCGTTACTGTGGCAGCAACGTTGGCCCACCTAATAGGGTGTTCCTGAAAGAGTGGCCAACAAATCTGCTCTGTAAATGTCTGAATGGACGAAAAGTTAACCCAGGTAGGCATTGGAAAAAAAAATATAAAAGCTCACATTTCCGTGGGATGTTTGATGTAAGATGATTTTAAACATTAGATTGCCCAAGGAAGTCATTTTGACTGTTTTTCAATTAGAAAGAACGATAATGTATATAATGACACAATTTCTTAGAATTTTGTGACTTTTTGTACAGCATATAATTTGTTCTGTTAATATTTACTAGTAACTTGTTATATAACTGTAAGTGATACAAAAAATATTAAAAATTAATTTTAAACAAAATTCTTTACGCATTAGTTATTCTTCCATAATCCAGTCATTTTGATTGCTTTTGGGCAATATACTAAGCTTCAGTCTTTCTAGTGTTCATTTCAAAAAAAAAAAAATTCTAGTTTTTGATGAACGTAAAACTCAACTTTTCGGGAATTGTTTGTTCATTTTATCATGTGATTCAAATCAGATTTAATTGGATATCTCTAAGCGACGATCCTGATTTGATTGACTTTCAAATGCCACGATTATACCTGCGATAAAGTTACTTGCAGGTATCCAGTTGGAAATAACCTAAACAGAATCGAATCGTTTGTATTTAATTAGAGTTAAATAAAACAAATGAAAATTATCGAGTTTGCCATTTTAAATGTCTTCGAAGAGAATTCTTACAATATTCACACTACACGCATTTAGTTTAACATAATTCAGATTAAATTTAGTTAAAATAAATAGAATCATATAAAAATAGACATATATGTTTTTGTTGTAATTAGTAAATTCCCTCATAAAAACAAGCTTTTTTTTGTCCTTTTGAGTGTTTTTTTTGTTTTTGTCTTCTAGTGGATAAAGAGAAGCTGTACAACGCTAGAGTCGGATCCAAAAGCAAAAAAGATCGAGCATCCATAGCAGCCAGACTGAATATGGGTAATCTGTTACTACAATTTCTTAAAGGACAGTCTTTTTTGAATGAAGGAAATTCCACAATTTAAAATCATTCGGAATGAATCAAAAATCTAAATGTAGATCGAATCATGGTAAACTTGAAAGTTTTACTTGCGAAAAAGTTTGATTAATTCGATGTATAGTTTTTGGTGGGTGCTCTTTCAAATTACAAAAAAAAAAAAAAAAGCCAAAAGCAGCATTTTCGGTATACTTTGCTATCGAAAAAATAAAAATACTGTTCAAGCTGGAAAAACAAATTATCCGATGTGTATGGAGAAGATGCATCGGCAATACACCAGTGTCAAAACTGGTTTTTAAAATTTCTATAAAGATTCACCACGCCAGTTTAAGCTGATGAAGGCGTAATAAAGGCATTAATTAATAATACAAACCGGGAAATAATTTTATTTCATAACCATTGTTGAACAGTCGACCCAATTTTGGGGTTTGCGACTATTAATAACAAGCTTAAGCCCGTCCCGCCCCCGTAAGGGGTCATCCGGGGCACTCCGAAACTCGAAGTGAGCGTAACAGTTCAATTACATGAGCAAACATATTCAAAAATTTTAAATTAGAGTTTTAACAAATAGGTAGAGTATTAAATATGAAATCCAGAAAAGAGTGCTACTTAAAAATAAACTAAATGCGAACAAACATTACAAAGAAAATAAACAGTAACAATCAGAAGAGATATTGATGTCGCATCTTCAGTAGGGGTGCAAAGTTAATAAGAGGTAACAATTTCACATGGAAAATATAGGATGTTTGTAACTCAGAATATAATTACGGCTGGCACAACAGTACTAAAGGTATCAAATACCAGGATATTTTTCCTTTTTTTAAACAAAAAAGACATAGATATATGTATAAACTCTAGGAACACAAATGATTAAAATTTTGAAAATGAGGAATCACATAGGGGCAGAGATTGACAAAAGCGTGAAACTAAAGCACAAAAAACATTTTAAGAGAAAATTCAAGTAAAAATCAAACATTAACAGGTAAATTAATAAGCTGTGATTTAAAGTGTATCTTTCAAAACAAGAGGCAGCAAAAGTCCATCAGGATTCAGGGAGGAGCCTTGTTACTAAACAATTTTCTTATTATTTCCTCAATTCCCTTTTTTATTTTAGGGTTTGACCAATGCTGCTTTATAAACTCATAGGTTGTTTTTGAATGAAAAAATTTCTGTCTAATGTGCTTAAAATTTGCACACTGGATTAAAATATGTTCCCAATCCTCAACAAGCTGACAGGTACTGCACAGCTGAGCTCCCCCAAAAAATCTGGCCTGATGTTGTCCATGACAGCCGTGATTAGTTAGGAATTGATTTAAAAAGAAATTCCCCATGATTTTCCTCGTTTGAACTTTCGGAAGGAACTCGAATGTGTGCCTTCCCTTTGTAAAGCTGTCACTCCATCTCTCCTGTCAGTCAATCAATTTTTCGCGTTCCAAAGTTTTTCTTGCAGTCCGCCTGCTTTGGCTAACCTATCAGCTTCTTCGTTGCCCATATGGCCTGCATGTGCTTTTATCCAATGTAAAACGATATTATTTGTGAATTCTTGTTTAATTGGGTATAATATGAAAAAAACACAACTACTTCGATTTAGTAGGAACAACATATGACGCAATGCTAAACGAATGGAATTTAGTTGTTGTTTATTTAGTTATTGTTATTAGTAGTTGTTGTTATTTGTTTTAGTTGTTGTTGTTTATTTAGTTTCAATAACTTTTCTTTATAATGCAATAAAATCTGGCGAGCAGCTATTTAAACGATCGAACACTTCGTTTGTTTATTTGTGGCTTGAAGTTAGGCTCGCAGAAAATGCCGTTCATGGGTTAAATTTAGTAGGAACAACACAACCTGTGACGTAGGCTATATTATACCCAATTAAGTGGACTAAATACTCTTCAGAGTTGCTGTTTTCCAAAGCTTTGCAGGCTGGACAGGGAATCCGTATAAATTGAGATATTGTCTGTAATTGTTTGTTCTTTAATTCGACGAATCGACTGGAGAATGGCCCATAATTCAGCCTTAAACACGGAAACGTGATCAGAGATGCGAAAGGTTTTTCTTTCAACTGGTTCTCCCTCCAGATAGGCCACGAAAGCGCGTCCTGTCTTAAATTCATTGTTAACTAAAATTTTCGATCCATCTGTGAATAATTCTAGTCCTTTATAAATAGGTAAATGTAGATGATATTTAAGTAAAACTTCTTCAGCCGGATGATAAATATAAGTTCTTCTTCATGTTGAAAAATATTATTAAGTTGAGCTTCTACGTTTACTGCCATAGCTAGAGGAATTGTCCCAGCAAGTAGTTGGAGAGCGTCAGTAGATACAGTCTTGTATGCCTTAGTGATAGATAGTAAAGAAGTTCTTTCCATTTTTTTTCAATCTATTAATGATTCTTACCTGTGGGGAAAACCAAACTTCCGCTCCATAGAAGATAAGTTTCTGAGTGCTGTTTAGGTAGATGAATTTCCGAACATCAGGGCCAATCCCCCAGTCGACCCCAGAAATTCTATTTAGTTTAGCTTGAAATTTAGTAACTTTGCTATAGATAAAGTCAAGGTAAGGCAACCAGGAAAGCTGATAATGCAATCTAAATCCCAGATAATCTATGGTTTCCCTCGTTGCAATGTTAGCCCCACAGAGTTTTATAGTTGGTCATCTTGAGACCCGATTGGCTTTGGGAAATACAATCACGACAGTTTTCTTGACACTGAATTGAAGATTGTGAGACGCAGCCCAATTTTCAAATTTCGTCAAAATCATAGAGGCTTGGTGTACAAGTCTATCAAGAAATGTTCCATTGAGAAGTAAAAGGAAGTCATCAGCGTATGCGATTATTTGCTCATTAGATTCCCTTTTCATATTTAAAAGAGTGTTCGCTATAAGTAGCCATAAGATCGGTCCGACTTGAACCCTGTGGGACTCCTCTTGCCAGAGGCCTCTCCAACTTCTCATTCTGGATATCAAACAGAATTCTTCTGTTATCCAAAAAGCTTGAAATCGACTTAACCAAGTCATAGGAGCAGTTGCAGGAATTCAATTCTTCCACAATTTTGTTCCATAGGGCGCTATCAAAGGCACCTTTGATGTCAAGGGAAATACCCAGTGCGTGATGTTCATTATCCTTTATTTTCTTAGTTTTCTCAAGTAAGGACTTCATAGCTGTGGTAGTCGATCTACCTCTCCGAAAACGGTCTTGATTTGTATGTAGAATGTTATTTGCGACTATTAATAACAAGCTTAAGCCCGTCCCGCCCCCGTAAGGGGGCATCCGGGGGCACTCCGAAAGTTCGAAGTGAGCGTAACAGTTCAATTACATGAGCAAACATATTCAAAATTTTCAAATTAGAGTTTTAACAAATAGGTGGAATATTAAATATGAAATCCAGAAAACGGTGCTACTTAGAAATAAACTAAGGAAACAAACACTACAAAGAAAATAAACAGTAACAATCAGAAGAGATATTGATGTCGCATCTTCAGTAGGGGCGAACTATTGCGACTATTAATGTTCAACTCCGTAGCCTTGTCATTTCGAACCCAATCCAGAAGACAAGGTAGCTCCTGGACCAAGTATTGGGAGAAATTATCCGTCGTGGAGGACTTTTTGATAGAACTGACCTGCATTGGCGTTACATGGAGAGGAAAATCACGAAAATATCCCACGGCTAGCCTGATGACAAGGGGACACTAACCCATGATCCGTCTACCACTGAGAATATTATACGCCAGCACTGTGGTCGGTGCGCGCCGGATGCGAAATTAGTATCGACCAGCCATCGCTGGGATTTGAACTCGGTTCACCTCACTGGAAGGTGAACGCTTTATCCGTTGAGGCTCGGTACAAATAAATTCGTGAGATCACTGAGATTAAATTCATTGGAATAACTAGATTAAATTTAGGGGTTTCTCATGTTCTTACGGAAAGAAATATGTGCCGCTCGTTGAGGCCTATGATTTGCTTCTCAAACAACAAGAAAATAATGCATTTTTGAAGCGCATCATCAACTGTTGTTGTTGTAAGCCACTGAACCAAGGGGTGAGATTGTTCTTGTTTTCTAGTGGTGCCATCTCTGGCCAAGAATTAGAGTTCTGTCACACCCTTTTATAAGGCGGACCCATTCATGCATCGACAGATCGTAGTTTTGACCTGAACCAGAGAGCAATCCATCTCCAATTCAGTACCCCCAGAGGTATAATGTGTTACGGGAACTCTGATACCCGACAGATTTAACGCGCACCAGTCACCATTTATGACACGTGATACCCGTCTGGATTCGAACTCCTGTTCTCACAAACGTGAGTCCCTGCCTATCCCGGCCCAAATAATATCATTAGAATATATAATTTAATTAGTATTAAAAAAATACATCAGTAATATAAGGAGTATAAGATAATTCATTGTAATCAATTTAAAAGTACTAGCATTAGTATAATAAACTGTGCAAACATTATTACTGGTAGAAGTGTTGTAAGTAGTATAAATACCATCAACTGGGGACTTTCTACAACAATGTCTCAATAAAGAAAGTATAACTTTTACTTCACATAAGGAGTTCAAAAATCACCATTTTTCTGCCAGCATCAAGGAACAAAAATTTTATGAGCTTGGAATTATACTACGGCCAGAAAGATGGTAAAAGGTTTTGGACCAGAATGGGGTGAAAGTGACTTAGAGCAGGAACTGACCCCACGCTTTAGCTGCCGACAGCCAGAATTTTTTGTGATGCTGGAACTACAGGTTTGTGTTTGCTGGGATAGGATTCAATAAAATTGATTCAAATATGTTTTAATTCACTAAAAGAAAATCGCCCTTCATTTTCATAAAAAAAGCAAAATTACTTTCCGATTAACCCTACATTAAAGAATACAAAGTAGAAATTAAAATGTATCCAAAATAAATGTAGTCTTTATTATTCATAAACACTGTAGTAAAAAATTAACATTTAGATATGTTTTATTACACATTTGAATTATTGCCTAATGACCTGATAAAAAATATATTTTATGGGTTGTTACAATTCTGATTATATGATACTATTATGATGATGATTTTAATACCGTTTTCTCTACGCAGGTGGCATCATCGCTTTAGGAATCTTTGGTGGTTTTGTCTTTTTGGCTGTAATAGTTTCCATTGTAGTGATCATTGTTAGAAGGTATTATTTAAACATTTTTTTCTGAATAATTATGTATTCTAACTATTTTATTACTTAGGAAGGAAGAAAACCTTTTTTATTTTTATACGGAGGGCACTCTAAGGTCAAGTACTATTCATGCTGCTAATATAAACTTGACAGTCTTTTAAAATTAGAGCCCTTTGCTCTACTAATGCCCAGTGTGACAACGCCACGATCAGATCTGTCACCAAACACAACAAGTTTCATTTGTTCACCAAACACTAATTTGTTCATCAAAAAAGTACTGATTTTTAGGAGGTCTTTATGTCTGTGGTGATACTTCTTGAATAGACGGTCCGTTTTAGGCATCCCTCGTTATGATCAAGAAATGTATTGAATTTTCATTTCAATCTTATAAGAGAATATTCTGTTTCGTTTAGGTAAAATATCTTCTTAGTAGTGTCAATTGCTTAGCATTCATAAAGTAAAATCTAGTATATCGAAGGGAAATTATCAATCAAATAATTTCAACAAACTCATCTTAATTGATCTGCAACGGAAGGAATTTGCTAAAACAGAAAATTTTCTCCCAAAAAAACGCAGATTCGGGAAAAATTAGGGTTTGATAAAAAAAAAAAAACTTTTTTTCCGAAATTTATTAAAAATGTGTCATTGTGGGTACCTGTTTATAAGAAAATTTATAGAGTTTATTTCAAAAATACTTAAGTCTTCTGGAATAAGCTTACAGTTCAATTTTTTTGGAGGGAGGGTGAAATTGTAAATTTAAAACCATAGTTTTTCATTAACAGATACGCACATTTTCAACCACATCTTAAGATTCATATCTAGATTCAGGGAGAATAAGTTATTTTCCTGTAGATTACGGAATTCTAAAATGCTGCATTTGAGATCGTTTTATTGTCATTTTACATTTTTGATCTAAAAAACTAAAATTTGCTCAATAATTATGTTTTTAAAGTAATTAATATGTGGGTGATTCTCACGAAATATGACAATTTACAGTCTCTTGTTCCAAGTCTAATACTATACTACTAAAAGAACTTTTTTAAAAATTTTAATTAATAGCATTGCTGTTAGCCTTTTTAAAATAACCTAATACTAGCATTGACTGTTTTGTATATTTAAAAAAATTTTTTGAATTTCAAAATGTCATTTTCCTGGTATGTCACAAACAATATCTCCAATAATAACAGCTTCAAAACTTCCCATAAATTTTTCAATACCCATTTTTTTTAATCTCAACCATTGTAAGCATTTCTAGAATATATGCAGAGGGTATAATTTACAAAAACTTTGTTGAAAATAATTTTTTCTGTCAATAATTTGTGCGTCACAAGAAAATCCGTCATTTTCCTGGCTACTTTTATTTAGTGATTTATAACCAAAATAGATAGCGCCAGCAATCAATATCTTATGTTAATAGATTGATTAGAATACTATTTTATCTGAACATGTCTTACGGCATGAATAAAGAACCCACTTTCTGGTTCAAAACCTATTTCAAACAATTTTTCAAGGTGAGTAGGTTTTTATGTCATTTTCCTGTCTTCTTGAAATCATTAATAACATAAACTACACGGATTTACCTGAGTTATTTCAAGAAATCCTGTTGTTTTCTACGGAATGTAAACATCTTAGGCCGAAATGTTAAATTAAAGTTAAATGCTATATAATGGCAAATTGTCATTATCCTGGCTTATGAATGCCAAGGCATTGAAACAGTTACCAGAATTTTTTTTAAACAGTTGAATGTGAAGAGAGATAGCAAATATTAACCTGATACCAAGTTTATGTAAGATTGTAATATACTTGAATGTAATCAAAATTATTTATTTATTTAATGATTGATTATTATACACAATTTTATTCTGTACATATGAGCAACAAAAACGTTTTTGATTCTTTCTACAGTGGATAAAAGAATTAATTTAAGCATTTCATGGCCCATCTACCGCAAAGGCTTAAGTTGAGTTACTTACTATTAGCTTAAAATGACTGTTTTTTTAAACTTCTAGGCTAATATGTTTGAATATGTATGAATTTTTTTTATTTCCAATGCAGCAGGCGATACAGACATTATCCTAACGCCGAACAGAGATAAAAAAAAAAGGAAAAATACAAATACAGAAAAAGAGATGAATTATACAAAAACAAGAGCAAAACATCAAACACAAAAACTAAATCAAGAATTTAAATTGAACAAAAGGTCTCTGGCCTCCCAGTATTGGGAGTAGATGCAGTTCTTTGTGAGAATTGAACAGTTGAGGAAATTTTCAGCATTCATCGTCGCACCACTGCGGCAGAGGGGGCAGGCAGGATTATCCACTATTTTAAGAAGGAAAAGATGAGCGTATAGGCAATCATGCTTGGTAGCAAGACGAAAGGCAGCTACAGCACTGCTTCTTGGGCAATCGGGGAGATTAAGGATGTTATTTCTCCACGATTTTTCTTTTGCCCGTTCTTTTACCAATGATATATGTGTTGTCTTAAGTGTATGATTAACCATTAATGAAGTGGACTTATAGCTAACCAAGTTATTTGGGGCTTGGTTAACAAAGCAACCTCTTTTGGCCAATGCATCCGCTTTTTCGTTGCTGGGTATACCACAGTGGGATGGGATCCATTGTGAGGCAATCGCTTAAGCCATTAGCTTAAGCGATTGCCCAAGAGTGAGGCTATTAGCTTAAAATTACTGTTTTTTAACTTCTAGGCTAATATATCATTTTCCTAGCATTCAAAACTTGGTGAATTTCTATTTTTTTTTTCTTGAGCAATTGTCAATAAACTACACTGCTGTAAGATATTAATACATGTAACTAAATAAATATACAAAAAAAATTAGATTATTTTGAAGGCTTTAAATTTGAAGAAATTTTTTGTTCCGAATTGTCATGTTTTCAAAGAATCACCCATGTACGTTTTTGACCGTCAACCTCACATAAAAAGCAGTTTCAAGCTTATTCTGGGATACCTTTTTTTTTAAAAAAAAGAAAAAGTATGTGACTATAGTGACAACTTTATACCGTCTTGAAAATTTGATTTTCGAAAAAAAGCGGTTTTGTGAAACACCGCTTTTTTAATTACGGCTATTAAAACATTATTATTATTAAAACACAGCTTTCAGGCAAACATGCCTTAAATTTCATTCAAATGCCTGTTAAAATTACTTTTAAATATTTCGAATATTAATTCTTTTAAGTTATATGTTTATTAAGACTTAAAAGAAAACATATAACAGACGCGCCACTCCCACATACATGCAATACATTTTTTCAAAAAAAAAAAGGGAGAATTTTTTTGAAGTTATTATTTTAAAATGAGCAATTAGAATTCTAAAAATGTTTTACAGTTGTTGAAATTATTTTTCTCTTTTCGAGATTAAATAATTATATAAAAATAACGACAAATGAAAATTTCCCGATCACAACAATATGATAGATTTTACATGCGTTTACAAATATGGAAATCGACTTGATCTAATCGATAGAATGTTCAAAATATTAACAAATGCTTCGTTTTTTTTTACCCTTAAGAAAAGAAAAAAAAATAGCTTGGTCCAAAAAATACAAAATGATAAATGAGATGATACAGATGTGAAATACCAATTCAAACCATAACCACCAATTCTTAGACCAAGAAATAAAATCAGCAATATATAGCGTCAGAATATCAAGTTTAAAATTTTCGAAGAATAATTAAATGTGTGGCATCATTCTCACAACGCCTATCGTGATTTTAAAAATATTTAATAGTTTAAAAATGTCTTCAAATATTCACAAAATATGAATGGGTGATAAATTGAATTAAAAGAATTTTTTTTAAAAAATAGCTCGCTTGTGGAAATTGAAATGTATTTTCGGTTTCTAACAGGGAGCAAATAGGAAGTAAAATATACGTACGACCATCTCCTTTCGAACGCAAACCAGATATTGCAGAATATCTACAGAAAAACATACCATCACCTCAGTTGTACCAAGAAATATTTTCAAGGTAATATCTATTTATATTACCCTCCACTACAAATATTTCCTTTAGTTATGGTCTTCTGCATGCATTAAGGCTTCTTCTTCTTTAAAAGAAAATTGTGAGGGTTTTATTATGGATAAGAAAAAAGGTCTATCTGTATAGTATGGGCGAAGGAAACAAGGTTTGGTCAAAAACTGGTGGCGTATACAAATGGTGGTACAAGTTGGTCAAATATTGATGGTGCAATTTTTTTTCCTTTTCTTTAGTTAAACTTTTACCTACCATATTGTTAAACAAAAAATTCTATTTATTATACAATAGTCCGATGTTCAAGCTTAAAAGTAAGTGGAGGACTCCATTTATTTTTAAGGACTCCACTTAAAGCGAATTTGTGAAATTGAAATGTCACATGATTCCTGTATGCACATATTTTTAGAATCCTCTAAAAAACAAGGTAAAAAAAAATGCTTATTAGAGATCTCAATTTATAATTATATCAGGCCTATAAACATCCAAATATCTATATCTAAAACATATCGATAATAAGAGTCCAAGAGATATCCAAAATATCCATATCTAGGACTTAAACATGTCTGGATATATCTATAATAAACTATAAATAACCATATCCTCCAGGTATCCATAAATGATATTTAGATATCTGTAAGAAGTCTTAACATGTCCCAGTGCCGGATTCAGAGTACGTAGGGTTCTAGGCCATTCAAATTTTTGGGGCCTTAGATTAAATTTTTTTTCTCGTATATTTTTTTATTTATTCAAATATAAAAGTATTTATACATATTTTCATTCAAGAAAGCATATTTAAAATAAAAATAATAAATTGAATTTTACTTTATTTTGTTAAATTAGAACTAAAAAATAATAATAACATTTTATAATCATTACATATATATTTGAAATTGATTTTTTTTAAATCATTGTTTTTCTTAATTTTTTTAAATTTATTTTCAAAAAAATCCATTTTAAGGGGGCCTCAGTCCATAGCCTAATGGGTAATCCGGCACTGGTATGTCCACTAGATGTTTGGATATCCCTGGGATATTAGTGGCTGTATTGGTTAACACATAAACGTTTTCAAACTTATGACAAATCGTTATTAAGAGGCCAGGAAGAATTAAATTTAAGGTACTTAAATGTATTTTGTCTTTTTTAAGAACAGTCTTTACTTTAAGCTTCATTCTCAAATATACAGAGTGGCTACAAAATTCAGTTACAAATATCGAATACTTTTATTGTATAGATATTAAATAGGAAATGATAAATACACAACTACGATGAACACTTATAAATGCAAGTTTACCTTAAAATTTTTTATTCGAATAGACAACCATCTCCATCGATTACTAAAGTTAATCTCTTACGCCATCGTCCGATGCCGGCACGAATCATTTTAAGAGGTCATTTTCCCCATTCACGCAATCAAGAAGCTCTGAGAAGGTTCAACATTTTTGTGCTGCTTAGCATTAACTATAGACTCTAGAATTCCCCTCAGACAATAGTCTAAAGGATTTAAATCCGGTGAAGAAAGGGGCCACTCTTCTTGCTTAATAAATTTCGAACAATTGACATGGAGCCAAGCCTGTGTTGTTTCGGTTCGGTGCAGAATCTTGCTGAAATATCTAACCGATTTTGGGATACAATCTATTAGCATGTGGTAATAAATGTGAAGCCAATATTTCCTTTTTGTAACATTCAGCATTGATTTTTTCCCCTTTATAGATGAAATTCAGGGGACATTTTCCACTATTTGACACTGCAGCCTAAACCATTACCGAATTCTTATTCTGTAAGTGTTGCACATTTCGTACACTTTCAGGTTATCGTCAAAGGTTGCTGCATATACAACATTATTTTTAGTATTATAACTTTGCTCTGTGCAAAATATTTTCTCATCAGAAAAAAGATTACTCTGTCAACACTTTTGTTACAGCGCCGGTTAAGTGATTTCTTACATTTTTGTAATCTTTTAAAATTTTCTTTTGCGATAAGGACAAAAACCCAGGTCTTCATTTAATATAACCTGCATAGTTCTCCGACTCACGTTCTCTTCAGCAGCCATTTTATAACAGAGCGAAGTGGATTTTTTTGCGAATTCGTTTAATGAGTTCTTGTGTACGAACTGAGCAGACCTGGCTCGATCTTTACAGCTATTAGTGTCCAATAATTGATTTATAGTTCTATACAGAAATGTTCCATTAAACCCAAGAGATTTCAATTGCTTAATGATTCTACCTGCTGAAAATACGCGATCGAAAAACTGTTTAACCACCAAATTTTTCGATCCCATCTTGAAATTTATTCGAAATGTTTTGCTGTAAGCAAAAATCGTCAGCACTTATAGAAAGTGCCATTGACAGGAATAGGGAGAGACAAATTGTTTTACTAAATGATTAAAATTAATTCCTATTATTTTGAGTGTCACAGTATTTAACAGCCATCCCGTAGTAATAGAAATAAATTCACAGGTATGCTTACTAAAACAGTCGATTGCAACTCACGGTAAGGAATTAAGCATACCAGAAATCGGAACAATCCGTTCTATTTTCTCGTGAACATCTAATTTTTCTAACCCTTTCTCACAAACGTCTCTTTTTGTTGTTGTGATAATTACCTGCTGACGTGTACAACACGTCGTAGGTAATTTTGTGAAAGAAGCATCTTGACCAGCGTGGCAAGTGGTTAAGTTTGCTCTTATAGACCTTTACGGTGGTTGGTCATAGTTTGAAAATGCTTATGTTAGTCCTTATTAATATATTAAATTGTAACTTCTAATGAGCATGGGTTTTTAGCTTTTTTCAATCACGATTCTAAAATTATGCATTAAAAGCTAACGTTTTATAGAACACCATGTGTCACTTTTTATTTCCCCTTTTACAGAAATTCCAACAGCCAAGATTCGTTGGATTCTCTCAGCACTTATGACAGTCAAGGCAGCAGAGAGAAGCTTTACCAAAGACAAATGTGGCCAGGACATCCAAGCAATATGCAGGCCGAATTGTCTCAACTTCCAGAAGAGAAACAACGGCGGAAAACTAGCGGCGAAAGATTGAGAGATGCCACAAATGCCCAGTATCATCAACACAGGCACCATCATGGCGGCTCTAATAGAAACAGTGACGTCAGCTTAGAAACAACAGCATCCACCTCAAGATGGTGCAAACAGCATGAGAAACGCACAGGATACTGAAGTGGATCGACTAATACTAAAAATAGTTACTGTGCAATAACAAGAGGATGATGTAGGTCAGGTGACAAGGAACTATTTAAATGTTCAGATAAACTATTTATGAGTCATCTGTGATAGATTATATTGTTAAAAGATTTTATTTATGATTGGATCTGACTTATAATTGATACATGATTATGTATGAAAGTTATGAAAACTGGATGAAATATACTTATTGCCAGTGTTTGAAATAGAAATACACATATGTAGAAAAGAATAATTTGTTTACATCAGAAATTCTAAATACCAGCGTTGAATGGATATTTAATGTTAAAAAAAATAGATCAAATTGAAAAAAAATTTTCAAGCATAAAAAATTTTGACATTAATTTCTAATACTATTATATTTATTAACATGCACAAATTGTTCCAAAATTCTTAACAATTAGTTGTTATAAAAACTGAGTATATTCTATGCTTACTACTTCATTTAAAAATTATTTATTTTAATAAGAGAAATAGCACAGCAAAAACTTTTGAAGAACTGTGACTTAAATAAGAGAAACATGCTTTGTTTCATAATGCACATAAGGCATTCCATTAATAGAATTAATTAAATTTATATATATTTTTTTACAACAAATTATTTTTGCAGTTGTTTAGATTGTCAATTGCGCTGCAATCAAAAGTTTTTATCTTCGCACTTGAAGGAACGTATTCTCTCAATTTATAAACTAATCCTAATTCTTATTTTAAGTAATAACCAAGGTTTTAAAATACTCAAAATTTTGACTAGAAGCATTTGAGAATTGAAGAAAACCTATTGATAAGAGCAAAGTTCATTACTTTCTGCAAAATCTACAGAAAGAACTGAAAAGCAAAACATAAATTATGGTTTATAAAAAAGAAAAAGTTGAAACTATGACACTTTTATACCAGTTCATTGTGAATAAATGTACATTGTGAATATATGTGACGTAAAATTCATTTATATATGTATGCATGACATATCTGTTTAGTGTTCATTAATTTGTTTTATTTAATGTAAATAAATTAATATTATTTAGTTTTTAAAATGACTTCTTATTGTTTGAAAAATAATTTCCAGCATTAGAATTTTCATAATCATTTTTTAGACAAACAGGTTATTATAACATTGCAGTAGACAAGGGCGCCTGTAGGGGGCGCACTTGCACCTCCTGGCTTTTTTTTTAAGAACAATTAAAGAGATACAGAAAAACAATTTTTTTTTTATTAAAAATATATTTTTCAAAAACAAATAATTAAGTAATCATTGATACATAGACAATTAAAGAATTGTTTAATCAAACAAGAATTATAATCGTCTTGTTTGCTGACCAAATCCGTATATAACGTTTTCAATGAATTCTGAGTCTTCTTTGATTCTTTTCTTATGCACACTGAGCATGCACAAACTGCTTAATCTCACGTGAGACATTGTTGACTGATTCCAGGGCCTGATTATAGCCTAGGCCCAATAGGCATGGGCCTAGGGCCCACAATTTCGGAGGGGCCTCAAAAATTAGTAAAAGCACTAATTAAAGGTGGGCTAGCTATGCCTTGATTTAAGTACTAAATAAAAAATAATTCAGCTAATCAGTGACTTTTAGCAAAAATCACTGATTTCAATTGTCTGTGGTCACCAAACTATTTTCATTTTCATACAACATTATTGTGTTGTTTTATAATTTGCTTTAATTTATAGATATACGTAAACTTTATATTAGAAAAATAATCCTCAATTGTCTGCCAATCGGTGAAGCCATTCAAAAAATAGCGTCGAAGCTTAAGTTATAACAATGACTTACAACTATAGACAGGGCCTGATTATCGCCTAGGCCCAATAGGCATGGGCCTAGGGCCCACAATTTCTGAGGGGCCTAAAAAATTATTAAAAACTAATGAAAGGTGAGCTAGCTTTGTGTTGTCTCAACAAAAAATAATTTCAGCTTACAATAAAAAATAATTCAGCTAATCAGTGACTTTTAGCAAAAATCACTGATTTCAATTGTCTGTGGTCACCAAACTATTTTCATTTTCATACAACATTATTGTGTTGTTTTATAATTTGCTTTAATTTATAGATATACGTAAACTTTATATTAGAAAAATAATCCTCAATTGTCTGCCAATCGGTGAAGCCATTCAAAAAATAGCGTCGAAGCTTAAGTTATAACAATGACTTACAACTATAGACAGGGCCTGATTATCGCCTAGGCCCAATAGGCATGGGCCTAGGGCCCACAATTTCTGAGGGGCCTAAAAAATTATTAAAAACTAATGAAAGGTGAGCTAGCTTTGTGTTGTCTCAACAAAAAATAATTTCAGCTTACAATAAAAAATAATTCAGCTAATCAGTGACTTTTAGCAAAAATCACTGATTTCAATTGTCTGTGGTCACCAAACTATTTTCATTTTCATACAACATTATTGTGTTGTTTTATAATTTGCTTTAATTTATAGATATACGTAAACTTTATATTAGAAAAATAATCCTCAATTGTCTGCCAATCGGTGAAGCCATTCAAAAAATAGCGTCGAAGCTTAAGTTATAACAATGACTTACAACTATAGACAGGGCCTGATTATCGCCTAGGCCCAATAGGCATGGGCCTAGGGCCCACAATTTCTGAGGGGCCTAAAAAATTATTAAAAACTAATGAAAGGTGAGCTAGCTTTGTGTTGTCTCAACAAAAAATAATTTCAGCTTACAATAAAAAATAATTCAGCTAATCAGTGACTTTTAGCAAAAATCACTGATTTCAATTGTCTGTGGTCACCAAACTATTTTCATTTTCATACAACATTATTGTGTTGTTTTATAATTTGCTTTAATTTATAGATATACGTAAACTTTATATTAGAAAAATAATCCTCAATTGTCTGCCAATCGGTGAAGCCATTCAAAAAATAGCGTCGAAGCTTAAGTTATAACAATGACTTACAACTATAGACAGGGCCTGATTATCGCCTAGGCCCAATAGGCATGGGCCTAGGGCCCACAATTTCTGAGGGGCCTAAAAAATTATTAAAAACTAATGAAAGGTGAGCTAGCTTTGTGTTGTCTCAACAAAAAATAATTTCAGCTTACAATAAAAAATAATTCAGCTAATCAGTGACTTTTAGCAAAAATCACTGATTTCAATTGTCTGTGGTCACCAAACTATTTTCATTTTCATACAACATTATTGTGTTGTTTTATAATTTGCTTTAATTTATAGATATACGTAAACTTTATATTAGAAAAATAATCCTCAATTGTCTGCCAATCGGTGAAGNATATAAGGTCTCAAAAGTGATTCTGATTCTACCGCTCATCAGTCAAGGCCGTCTCAACATAACGAAACAATATCGTCTTCCACAGCGCGAGTTGGCATCGGAACGTAAGAGAAAGTCCTTGCGTGTATCGCTATATCGCTATATCGTTATATCGTCTTCTTCACTTGACGGCTTAAATCAGATTTCTGATGTATCGCTTGGAATGAAAGTTGCTGTATCGGTTTGCCGATATAGGCGTTAAATCGATATGTCGCGATATATCGATTTATAGCCCAGTCCTACTCACTTTTATTTAAACTTTGAAATAACAATCAAGATGAAAAAGAATTTGCCACGAAAATTTTTTTCTGTAGCAATGGCGTCTTTTAACAATGCAGTTAAAAAACATGCTTTTTTAAGAAGGTATTTGAAAGCTTTACGGCTGCAATGTTAAGCAACATAATTACTAAAATTTTCGAAACGGACTAAAACAGAAAAACGAATATAGTTTTGCACTTAATTCAACAATCTAGACCAGCGGTTCCCAAATGGTGTTCTGCAGAACCCCAGGGTTCTGCGGAATCGTTAAAGGGGGTTCCAAAAGTTATGACATTGGTTTTAACAAGTAACCTTTAATTATAATTTGATCGAAGCAATATTTTGAGCCGTAGTAGCTCAGAGTATAGAGCGCTCGTCTCTCAATGAGGTTCAACGTCTAATGATGGCCAAGTTCGAATCCCAGCGCTGGCTGGCTGATTCAGCAACAACCACAGTGTTGAAATAAAATATCCTCAGTTGTAGACAGATCATGGGTTAGAGTCCCCTTGCCCCCAGGCTAACGATGGGAGGTTTTTGCGGTTTCCATGTAAAGCAAATATGGGTTATTTCAATCAAAAAATTTTCCACCAAGATAAATTTCTCCAAATACTTAATCCTGGAGTTCTCTTGTCTTCAAAATTTCACGGCTACGGAATTGCCGTTGGTGGTCGTAAACTCAAAATTGAGTCGGCTGTTCAATGACGATTATAAAATTAAAATAATTCACTATTTATTTCATATTTTAAATTTATTTAAATTAAAATTGCATTGGAAAAGAAATTGATATTTTTCTTTTTACTAAACACATCTTTTCTAACAATATATTGAATAAATTATGAAAAGATCATGCACTTATAAAACTTTCATTATTATTTCCCATTGCTCTTTTAAAATGAAAATAAAACTAGCAAATTTATTTACAAATAAATATGTTTCCTTTCAACGTTTATGGCAATCTGTTTTAGTTTTTATTTCAAACCACATTTCTGCTCATTTCATTAATTTTTAGCTACAAGCATAAATTACACCAAAAACAAATTTACAACTAGAAAAGCTACATGAATTTAACTGTGGGACATAAAAACTAAATGAAGATAAAACGAAAAAATGTCATTCTCCTTTTTACTTTTAAAACGACGTCTTTCATTCGTAAATACGTTTGAAATCGACCTCATCTTTATAAAGTCGTGGTTCGGTCGACAGAACGTTCAATTATTTAGAGTTCCATTACCGAACAAAAAATTGGGAAACACTGATCTAGACACTTTAAACTGTAGAAAATTGGAAAGAAAAAAGACCTTCAATTCAAAATGCAATTGATACATTTATTTACAGACTGAAAATGTCAGTGTACAAGAAAACTAATGGTAGCTTTATAAAAGACATTACACAAATTGCTAGTAGAATTTACAAAGATATGAAAGGTTTTTAACAGAAAATTGTTATTTTAATGCTACATAAAAATTAATAATCTATAATAACATAAGATTTCTATCACATGTGAAAAATAGGATTAAATATATGGACATGATCTATGAGACTGTATATAAAAAAGAATAGATTGAGCATTCAGATTTCCGAGCAAGAAAGAACATGCTTTTGGAGACAGACAATAGAAACTTTTAAACATTTTTGAAAAACTTTTCAAAAGGGTATACCAAACAGTCATAACACCAATAAATTGTACTTCTTTCAAAATGAAAACAAAAAAGCAATAATAGTTGCTTGCGTGAATTTGCCAGCAAATTAAATAATTTTTAGCATCAATACATTTTTAAAAATTCAATTTCTAATCAGATGCTTATCACAATATTTCAGCATTTTTCCCCCTTCATAATTTTTCATAGTAAAATTAAATACCGCTTGAAAATGTAAAAGATTTTGAAATATAAAAATAATAAATTTAAATCAATATGAATAAACACTTATAAAAGTTTCTAAGTTAAATTAGCTCAAATTGATAAAATAAACAATCTCAGTGTAATGCTGACTTAATTATTCAGCTTTTAATATTTCCTTTAAAATATTTTTTTTTAATTAATCAAAAGAGGATGATTGAAAAAAAATTTTAAATTTCTAATGATTTAACTGGAAAGCAAATTGAATCATTAAAAATAACATAATTAAATAATCATTCAATTAATAATTAATTTATTCTTTCCATTCTTTTTCTTCCTCAATCTTTAATTTAATGCAATTAATAAGTAAATTATTATAAATTTAAAATAACCGTTAAAGGATTAAATGTAACAATTCTAGTTGATCGATGATGCTTTTAAACTTTCATTAATACAAATGACTGAATAATGAGCACAATTGTATTTTCCGCATTATTTTCTAAAGATAATGAATCAAAACATTTAGTTTACATGCAAAATAATGAATATAATAATTCATAATTCAAACCTTTGTTACTGATCTTTGAATTTTACAAAAATATGAATTATAAAAAATTTAAGGAAAATTAATAATACACATAAATGAAGTTAAATTATTTAAAGATCATAATGCGCAAATAAGATAAATAATTACATCCACCATGTTCCCTTAAAAGTAATACCAATTCCTATTAATGTATTAATTTTTATCCCAAAAAACATCTTGACGTTTAACATAGGAGTGTTTTGTTATTTATGTATTTGCATAATCATTAGCAATAATTTAAATTTAAGAATCACATTTATTTCAGACATGTTCGTAATATTAAAATTAAAATGGCACGTTAAGACACGGAAAAAAAGTAGCTTAGTATTCAATTTAGAACACTAAATGTCAAAATACTTATTTTAAAATGTAAATCATTAATTTTTATCATAAAAGTTTTACATTTAGAATTGTTTTTTTACAACACTATTGAAAACTAAAATTATGGTATGAATATAGAAGATTTTAAATAATCATTGCTCATTAATTGTTAAATGCGCATGGGTTAATATAGAATATTGAAATGTTCACTGAACTATAAATTGAATTGTCTTAACTGAAGTTTATTTTAAAAATAAGGATACATAGTAACTAACCTGAAAAACATGCCTTTTTATAAGGGTTTCATTTAGGGAAACATGGTAAATTTAAATGTTCATTCCTTTTTATTTATTAATATTTTAAAGCTACGCAACTTTTAAAAAAAATTTAAGCAATAAAAGTTTTTTTTTAGATTAAGTCTGAAACTTGCGATATCTTTACCCACTGAAGCATTTACAACATTCATTGTGGATAAAATATAGTTATTAGGATTTAGCGTGATCAAGAGTTCAAAAAAATTTTTTAGGGTCTCAAAATTTCACAGACATCAAAGAAGCATTTATCATTTAAAATAATGTAAAAATATTAATGAATATTAAAACAAAAATTCATATTTCTGAAGAAAAAAAAAAATAAAGCTGTCAAAGATATCAAAGTAGGGAGGGGGAGGAGGGAAGAAACAAAGTTTCCTAGTGGAAATTTCGCAAAAAATTAGGTTCTAAAATGATTTGATTAGTGAGAGATTTGAAAAGTTGAAGTAATGCTTGAAAAAGATCAAACAATCATCATAATTGCTAAATTATTATTTTCTGAGCTGGTTTAAAAAAATAAGGTAAAAGACGAGGTAATTGTAATTCAAAACATAATTTTGTGTAGAATAAATTGTTAAATGTGTAGAATAATTTGTTAAACATCATTTCGTGTAGAATAAATAAAAAGTTTCTCACTATTTTAAACTTAGCAGCTCAAATAATAACAATAAAATATTTTCAAGTTTCAATTATAACGTGTCTAAACCAATCACTTTTAGTTAAATATTACTTAAAAATAGTAATAAAAAAAGAAAAAAATTAAGATAAGCTAGATTTTTTTCTGGCACTTCATAAAAAAATTCTTTCAACAAACCAGTTTTTAATGCCAAAAGTAGAAAATTGATTCACTACCATTAGTTTAAAACTAAAAAATTAGAAATAATAATGAAAAAAAAAATAAGGCACTACTAAATAAGAAATTATAAAGCACAGTAATATCTTATCTAAATAAAGTTTAATTAAGTCAAGTTTAAAAGTGTTTCTATTTGTTAATATTGTAGTCAGATAGTCTGATAAGAGTTATCAAAATAACATGGCGTTACTTTTATACAAGTATGTTAAGTAGATGTTGTATAAAGCATATAAAACTGTTTTAAATATTTATAAACAAAGCTTCCCAGAATTCAGCCGTGAGCTCTCGAAAGAAAAACAAAAAATAAGAAAATGTAAAACCTTAGATTTTAATTGAACGTAGCAGTGAAATTACGAAGAAAAAAAAAGGAAATAGAGTGAAAAATTGATTTTGAATACAAAATATAAACAAAATAATTGAGAAAAAAAACTATACAAAACAAAATAAGTAAAATCATAAATGAAAGGAAAACTAAATGAAGGTATAGTACAAAAGAGCCGAAAAATATTACAAATGAAAAATAAATTATATGATTTTATCAAACATCAACAAAAATAATGATTTGAAATAAATGGTGTTAAAAAATAAATTCTATAATTACATGCAAAATTAGGTCTTGCTTTTCCCGCTGCTAACTAATTACACGTTTCATTTTTCTGTTCCTTTTTCTTAAGAAGTATCTTTTTCTTGGTAAGTGTTTGGATACTGCCTTACCTGAAAATCGCAGAATCAGTCTCATCAATAAAATACACGTAATTAGTATTTTTTTTTTAAGAAAAACTAAATTTACAACCAAAGAAATTTTATAGATAAACAAGTGAAGACTTACAATTCTGAGAGCAAAAATTTAAATTTCAAGAACACTGGTACATTTTATCAGAGCTGTAGAGTCACAGACAGAAACTATTTTGCAGGAGTGCAAACAATTTGCTTGATTAATGTTAAGAAAAAAATTCAGAAGTTTTTTTACCAATACAATTATATACCATTCAATTATATACTTTATTAATAATAAATTATTTTTTGATTCCAAAATCCAAATTTATTTAGCTAAATTTTAAAGTTAATTCAAATGATAATGCAAATGAATTGCTTATAATAGTTTGATAATTCATGAACATTCCTTAAAGCAACAGTTCCCAATTTTTTTTCCTGCTATGAAACCCTAATCGATCAAGCTTTTCTAGACTGAACCCAGGTTATAAAGAAAAGTTCGTTAGCAGCTGCGAATACACCAACCGGAAAAGAAAAAAAAACCTACTAATTATTTCGGAACTATTTAATATTATGACTTTTTTCCTGGCGTAAGCATGTGCTGAAAATGAATAAAATAAGCCGTATTAAGGTTTTTAAAAACGAACTGTTATAAACCATGAGAATAGTTATCAGAAAAATGTAACTATTATTCTTGAAATTAGCTATTTTATTTTGAATTGAAAAGCTCGATGAGAATTACTAATGAAATTTTTATATATGCATATTTTTTAATAATTTATTTAATGGATTACTCTCAGAACTTCTGTCATCCTTCCATGGAACCCTGGGGTTCCGTGGAACACTGTTGGGAATCGCTGCCTTAAAAAATCTTTTAACAGTAAAATGTTTATATATGCGTAAGATATTGAAATATATTTTATTCCTGTAATTGTTTAACCCAGTTTCAGTACTTTGAACCAATATATTAGTTAAATTTTATTTTTTAACTGTTACGTTATAATATAAAATCAGGGGTCTGTCTAGATTTTTATGAGAGGTACCTATTTCGTGAAAATTTAGACATAATTTGTGAAAATTAAAAATTATATTCAAAAATCAACACAAAAATATGCTAAAGTAAGAAGATATTTTCAAAAATTGTCACTACAAATAAAAATCATTTATGACTGGTAAATTTTTATATATTTTTCCCCATATATTCAAAAAAAATTTTGCTATTGTAAAAGTTTGGGCTTAAAATTGTATCTAAATGTAAAAATCCATAAAACTCATTGACCAGTGTTAAATTTCAACTTGAATTAAAAAAAATAAATAAAAAAAACATGCATTTAACAGAAGTAGCATTAAAAGTTATTTTCATTATGAGGACATTTCCCACGGGGTCATAAAGAAAAAAATTTCACAGAGAAAAAAATGTTTCATAAAAAAACAAAGGTCTGTTAGATTAAATTTAGAACAATATTCAAATGTTTAGAACAGTGTTCGAATTTAAACTTCCAGTAAAGTTTACAGAGGAAAAGCCTCGTCATTTAATTAAAAAAAAAAAAAGCTCACTATAATATGGCGTAAGCGACTGGTTAGGCTACCATACTGCACTATCTGACCAAACATGTGCTACCTATTCGTATATGCGGAAATAACCCAGGAATTATCGTTTCTTACAAGGATACCAAAACAAAATTTTAAGACGGGGGGAGGAGAATCAATCTTAGAACTTGTTTTTTTTAAAAGCATTTTATGAAACTACCATTTTTCCTTTAGTTGAATTTGTGAGGGTACGGCTAAAAGTTATATAATACTTTGATTAGTTTTTTTAGTTCTATTCACTACAAAATCTTTTCACAATAAGATGTTTGTGTATGAATGAGATATTAATATACTCTTTTTCTTGAATGCTTTTACACAATTTAAATATTTTATACCGATATATTTCTTAAAATTTAATTATTTAATTGTTATATTATAGTATATGATGTAATTATAAATAAAATAACTTTAATTCTAATAAGACTTAAAAATAATAAGAACACACAATTTCAAAATAATATTTATTTAGTAGTAAAATTAATAATTTGGACTTTGTGAAAATGATAAGATGAATTCGAGTCAGGCTCACAAAAATTTCAACTAGTCTATTGAACCTACAGTTCTGCATTTCATATAAATTCACTATGGTTTATTTTTGCACACAACCATTTTATAGCAGATTTTAGATTGTAAACTGAGTGATGTTTATAAACAATGCTTGGGTAAGTCAAGTGCCAAGATCCCCCCCCCCCTCCATGTGCCAACTTTTGAGGGTTTCGAAAGCAATTAATTCACACTGGTTTAAACAATCAAAAAGCTCTAACTCAAATCAGTTCTATCTCTAAAAAGACTTAAAAATATAGTCACTTAACATGGTACCTCTCATTAAAATTCTAAGAATCATTGGAATTTAGGTTCTTGGAAGAAGAAAAAACTTACACATACTTTTAAACTTTATTGGGACTGTTTAATATGTATTTAACTCATTAATAGTTTTTTTATTATTATTATTTTGGAAGGCTATTAGCTATCCATTCAAAACTATCACAAATTTTGATAGTTTTGAATACAACTCGAACTCTAATTTTGTTTACCAATAAAACTTCTTAACTTTAAATTTTGAATTAATTTAAAGTTGTCTGCTTTTAAAATGACATATTTAATAAGTCACACATAAACCATTATAAAAGATGTGTCAAAATATTACTTTTCTATCCTATTTGTCTAATAACATGGAATTATGCATTAACACTACAATTGTTATTTTAGGTACAAGCAAGAGAAAATATTCTGAAGAAAAATATGCAATAAATATAGTTTAAAACTTGATGATTAGTATCTAAACACAAAAACAAAATTGATTATCTCAACTTACAATATTCGTTCAATTAAATAAAAGTTATGTGTATTGAAAAGTAAGCAAAGCTCAATTTAATTTTCCAATTACCTATTATTAATTTTAATTGTTTTGAGATTTACAGATGCGACAACAGAAGATCATGAAATCAACATTTGTGTAGTGTAAAGATAAATTACTTTTAAAACAATTATTTTCATCAAATCACTTCAAATTTTTAACAAAAAAAAATTTTTTTTTCACTTTGTTTTTAAATAATCTGTCTTGACATTGTCTGCTTTTTCAAGTAATTACGATTATTTCCTTGGGCAGAATTAAAGAAATTATTAAATAAAAGCAGAACCATTATTTACGATTTGTTGTTTTCTTCAAATTATTTAAAGCAAATTCTTTTAATAATTTTTAAAAAAAAATTATTTATGCATTCGTGTCTGAATTTTTATTTTACTCACTTTTCTTTTACTCTTTATGCTGTAAGCACAAAAGAATAATTAGAATAATTAAATCATTAAAAATATATATATACCTTCAGGGCTCGAAATAAAATATTGACACATAAATGTAAGCAAAAATGCATAGTTTTATTTATTGAGCGAGACACATGGTCTCCCAAAATAGGCTTGAAATTCATAATTATGAAAACTCACATTATAATTGAATTCAAAAGGCCAAATAATAAAGCTCTTAGGGCAGAAGTTCCCAGTATGCAGCTATTTATTCGGCAAAAATATCTATTTAAAAATATTTTCTTAATTTAAGAACCTTAAACATCAACACAAAACTAGAAGATTTTAGCAAGCAGAAGATACTTTGGAATAAAAAAAATTTTTGTCCTACACAAGATGCATAAAAATAATTATATTTCATACTTACAAAAAAAANAAAAAAAAAAAAAAAAAAAAAAAAAAAAAAAAAAAAAAAAAAAAAACTATATAAGAAATTATAATTTTTGATTGTTCCTGACATTAAAATGTCCTACTGAGGATTAAGAATTTGCTTATCATGATTTTTTTATACAATCAAATTGATTCAAATAAAAACAAGACACTTCAAATTTACAATTGGCATCCCCTACAAGCAAGCAAAAAATAAACTTGCAATAGATAAGTTGTACTTATACATTGGTTAACCTTTTTATTTTTATACACAAATTTTTTATTGTTTATCAGATTAAGTATCATTTACACACTGGATTTTGTCAGGAGTTTATTTTTTAACTCTAAACAGGAAAGGCAGTTAGCAACATCAATGAAATTGTATCAAATTTTGAAGTGATAGTTACGATTCTCACAGCAATTGGAGCAAGTAATATCGAGCCCTGCTTAAAAAGATTTTTTTCAGTTTTACAATTAAGCAACAATATTTAATAAGCTATTGTGTGCAAAGTATATATATCATTTCAAAAACAAAAACGGCCCCTAAGTAACATCAGTATCATTAATGAAAAAAAAACAAAATTTAATTTTAAAACTTTGTTGATGTATAGAACTAAATGTGGCTACAAATAATTAAAATTCATCAGCATCTTTGGCATGAGGTCTAGGAGACCATAATAATTATGCATAACATTTTATCAGATATAGTTCCCACGAATTTTAACTTCCATAATTTCGTCAACTCTTATAACAATAATCAACTAATAACAGTGTTTTATACGAAGGTATTGCAAATACAATAATAAATTTCTTCGTGCATCTAATTCCATTATTTAACATACATAAAACATATATAACAGTTTTCCTCTTTTCAAAAAGGTCGTGACTGAAAATGTTGCATAGTTCTTAATAGATAACATTTTATATGACATCTATATGATTGGTTCATAAGTAATTTTATATCACACAGCACACATAATAATATTTTCTTTTTACAAAGCTGAAATCTACAATACTATGAACAGGCAATGAGATAGATACAACTGAAAACTCAAACAATCATGAGTAAAAATTATTAGAAGCAAACTTGGTTTCTTATATTTACAACAGTTGGGTCACCGTATTAGACAAGTGACGCAAAGACGAGACGGCCCGATGCAATCGTCATGGCAAAATGCTCCGCACTTAAGACACATTACCATGGCTTTGAGATTACAAGCGCAGCTATTTTCATTACCTGAAGATCCATTTCCACCACCACTGTCTCCTCCCGAACTCGTCACGGCTCCTTCGATTCCAGAAGACGCACCGTTGATAACTGGACTTGATTGTAGAAGAGATCTGGGTGGCGTGTCCCCCGCCGGCGTCCCGACGACACTCGCAAGTCCGTTTGCCGACGGATACATGACACCTCCAGATGCAATTGGAAGTTGTGTGGAGGCAGGTACGACAGACACAGCTTGACTCGGTAGGCTGCCGCCCGACCCACCCGTGCAACCTTCAGGCAAAGAAAGGTGGTTTGGACCAAATGTTTGGGGATCAGTGGTACTACTTAGTTTATTAGACTGTTGAGAAACAGTAAAATCTGACGAGGGATTAGATTGTGGACGACTCACAACAGAGGTAACAGATTGTATTGATGAAGTAGTTGATGTTGTCAAGCGACCAAAAGGAGATCCTCTGGTGGCTATTATTTCCACCATAGTTACTTGGGGCGTAAGTTTGCTACTAACACATGTCTGATCAATTGTTAAAGAGGAAGGCATGTGATTCTTAAATTCAGGGGCTTTGCTAACAGCTAAATGATCATTTCTTAGAGAAGAATTGCTACTTTCTTCAACACTTGAAGATGAGAATGGTAATAACCCATCTGAACTATGAGGTGATGGAGTGGGAATTTTATCAATTTTATCGCAGTCAGATTTAGTATCATCACTTTCAGGGGAATCAAAATACACTATGGGAGAAACTTTTGAGCTTCGGTAATAGGATTGACAACTAGCAGGCCTTTTTAAAGTGTTCACTTCAGACCCAGAGGTCTGGGTGGGGGGAAAGTGCAAGGGAACACTTAAGGGCCTAGAGGGAGTATCCAACTGAGTTGGAAATGATTTTTTAGAATCTTCTTTAACAATATCTTCTTGCAATGAAACATTCTTCAGTGGCACAACATTTGTGGGCAATTGTTCAATGACCATTTTATTTTCTACATCAGCAGATTGCTCATTGTTTGCCAATGAGGTTTCAGAATAAGGTTTCATGATCATTTCCTCGGTAGAAGACAACTTGCTTTCGGTATCCTCGACCGAAGATATTTTGCTGTCGTCGTCGTCTAGCGACGAACACTTACTCTGAGTGTCTTCGAGTGAAGAAAGCTTACTCTCACCGTCTTCGACTATCAAATGTTTGTCATCAGTTTCATCCATGGAAGAGAGCTTACTTTCACCATCCTCTACAAAAGTGCTTTTTTCTTCAGCATTAATAGTATCATCAGATGCTACTTCAAGAATTAAATAATCGTTTCTCGAAGAATTGCTTTCATTCATAGTTGAAGACGAAAATTGTAACATGCCATCTGAGCTATGAGGCGATGGCATTTTATCGTAATCAGATTTACTATCATCCCCTTCTGGGGATTCAAAATACACTATGGGGGAAACTTTAGACCTTTTATAGTAAGATTGGGAACTAGCCGGTCTTTTCTGAATGGCTACTTCAGGTATAGAAGCATGGACATTCAAGGGAGCACTTAAGGGTCTAGAAGGGGTATCCATCTGACTCGAGTCTAATTCTTTAGAAAGCAATTCTCCTTCCAAGGAATTTTCTTGTGGCACAGTATAGGGTTCACTTGAAGTTAACTGCTCAGTTATCATTTCACATTCATTGTTTTCTTGTTCAAGAGACTGGTCATTTTCTATATCAGTAGATGATGTCTGCATTTCAGAACAAGATTTTGAAACCATTTCTTCAGTAGAAGTCAGTTTGCATTCAGTATCTTCAACAAAAGATATTTTGCTATCATTGTCGTCGTCGAAGGATGAATTTTTACTCTGTGTATCGTTGTTTGAAGAAAGTTTACTTTCACCATCTTCTAACATATGTTTATCCTCAGTATCATCCATGGAAGAAAGCTTACACTCCATATCATCCATAGTGCCTTTATTATCTTCTTGCATACTCTCCTCTGCATTAATAGTATCATCAGACACAACATTTTCTTCTTCACTAGATGGCATACTCAGAATGATTGTATTGTCTTCATCGATAACTTGTGAGTCCTAATTTTAAAAAAAAAAGAAAAGGCATATTTAATAAGCAACACAGAAAATATAAAAGTAATACAAACTTAAAATAAAATTTAAAAAAAACAACAATATATTTCAGGTTTAATACAAGAAAAGCCAATAACAATGTTAGAATGTTTATGTACCCTAATGAAAATGGTACTATTTTTATGAGCAACATCGACCAATATAAAATTTTAAAGGAACAGGACAGAAAAAGCCACAAAACCACTTATTTAGTAATACTTTAATTAAAAAAAATATAGAAAATTAAAATACCCATCCTACCTTTTCTGCATATCATGTTATTTTAAGCCAAACCATGAAAATTTTATCTGATTTAAAATCAAGAACTGAAAGTTTTCCTCACTATTTGTCTATAGTACTAGATAAAAATTATATATTTTACGCCACTGTAACTACATAATATCAGGAACAGTTAATACATAAAGTCTGAGCATTTTGAAAATTTATAATTTACGAATAATTTATAGCAGACAAGATATGTTACTCTTTTTTTTTTTTTAATTTAAGAGAAAAAATCTTGAACATCAAGAACGATTAAAGATTTTATTCCAAGAGTTTAGTCGGAAAGAAGTTAAATGCAAACAAAAAATTCCACATTATTTAACATATTGCCTGGAATCAATAAAAATGTGCATTAATTAAAGGAAATAAATGTTTTAGTAATTTTTCAATAGCTTGGTGTAAAATCACTTCTTATATGATAGAATAAATGTTGCCCATAAAATAAAATTAACATTAATACGATATACTTAGGCATTAAGCCATTTAATTTTTAAACTACTTAAGTACATTTGACAGGCTATGGGCAATATAAGTTGCAATGATAAGCACATATGAAATTATTTGGTGAAAATACTATCATCTCTATGCAGGCAGTAAAAAGTTTCTATGTATTCTACTTTCATTCAGTTGAAATTTTGGATACTAGTCAAGTACCTGCACGGCAACAAAAGATGCAAAAAATGTCACTTTCGGAGAAAAAAAATTGACCACTATAATGCAAAACCTTAAATTTTTGTAAAAAAATTTTCTTTAGAACAGTTTTCCTTCATTGAAAAATAGAAAGAAAAAAAACAGTTACCTAATGAGTTGTGCAAAAAAAGAAATCAGGTCCTAGCTATACTAAATTTAGGATCAAAAGTTTAAAAAAAGTAACCGCAATATTTAGAAACCAAACACTGCCGTGGATCTAATAATAAACTATAAAAATAGCACGGGAAAACAAAATACTTAGCCTGTTTAAATTAACTAAAAAAATTTTTATGCGAAAACTATAAGATTTAACTACTTACGAATCGGTAATAATAATTAAAAAAACATTGTCTTCTTCGTAAAAAGAATTATAATAATTAAAAATTTAATGAATCCTTGTTGCTAAAAAATAAAAATGAAGACTTACATCAAAGGGTTGTTGCAAGCTTGATGAATCAGAATCAAGACATTCAGAGGTCAAGCAGCCTATATCATTATCTAGCAAAGAGGTTGTCACAGTATTAATTTCCACAATTTCACAGTTAGAATTGTAAGATACTGAATCCTGAGAGGCAATGGGTTCAACAGAGGTAATGTAATGTTCCATGCTTTCCTCTTCGGTCGTATCAGCTTTGGTTCCAGGGGAGTCATCGACCGTGGCTATATTCGTGGATGTCGTAGACTCCTGGTCCATTGCCACGTCATCCGCCAGGGCAGACGAATGCTCCGAAAAACCTTCCATCATCCCTGATGCTACCGAAGAGGGCGAGGCATCGATGGTCAAATCGCCGGCAGGAGATTCGGGAAACTCGTAGGGCTCCTCGATGCTGGTGGAATCTGCTGCCATGCAAACCGGAGCATTAGGATCGATGCAGCAAGATTCTGAAGTATCGACGGCAGCACACTCGGCTGCCTCTCCGTTGGATTCAGAATCGAGGGAAGATACGTCGGCATTAGTGCATGTGTTAGAGGTATCAAGCGGGTTAATGGTGGAAGAAACAGAATTAATTGCAAAGGTAGGAACGGTAGAAGGTGTGCATGTCTTTAACAAATAATTAGAGGTCACCTGAGTTTCTGGTATATATACATTGGATTCAGTCATCTGACTGTCTATTTCACCGCTTTGAGTTTCCAGAGAGCTTTCGTCGATTGCCTTGTCAGGCGTATCGGAGGTGGTGACGGATGAAGTGACTGCCTCTGAGGATTGTGGAGGTGCAGAACTTGATGATGAAGGTTCTTTTTTGTTATGAAACTCTAATGCTGCCTTACATATTTGATAAGAACGTTCAAGGTTTGCCCCTCCATCACTGCGACCAGAACTTTTCTTGCTTCCTCCAGGTCGCAGTACTGGAATTGAGCGGATTGTTATGGGTGGAACTAAGCTTTGACTGGGAGCCTAAAAAAATTAATAAAATTTTAGAAATTTAAAAACTATAACTATAAAAGCTAGTGAAAAAATAAGAAAATTTGTAGTAATTGGCACAAATGTATCACATTGCAAAGCAATAAAATTTTTATATTATAATACAGAAATAGATTCTCAAATAAAACAGAAAAGAAATTTGAAGTTACTAATTTTTTTTACCAAATAAAAATATGGTTGGGGCAACTATAGTAAACTTCCTGCAAACCAAGCAATATGCCCACAATAAACAATGGTTCACTATATCCAAAGTCATTGATTTTTTATTATTATGATTGTTTTTTTTTACATTCATCAATAAAATTTGGAAATAGTGATTGAAATAGTACATAATTTGCATCATGAATTTTTGACTAAAAATACATATAAAAGCTCTTCCCAACAGATACCATAGAGCGAATATTTTGCCATAGGGTAATTTTTAATCAGAACATTAAAGAACATTCAAAATATTCTCCATATATGATTATCTTCCTATAATGAATTTTTTTAGACATTAAACTTTTTAATTTCCCACATTTTGCAGATTTTTTGCTTTCGTACACCCATCACTTTAAAAGAAAGTTGCAATTTCTGTGCTACTGACTCGTTCTCCCATTCACATGTTTTTGGAACCACTTACATTATACATTTCAGTGAAATATCTCCTAAAAACACTCCTTATAAAAAGCATTACTTCACTTTTGATTAAAAGTCATATTTATATATTTTGAACTTATCCTATAGACTAAAGATTTTGTAACATTTATTTAAATACAAACATTTGAGTTTCCCACAAACAAACTATCAATTTCTTAACTGTTCGCAATAAGCGCATGAAATAACATAAGTTAAATAACAGTTTAGACAAGATCAAAGATGCAAGAAAAGAAAATATAACTACAAAAACTACATTTTTAATAAAATGAAATAGATAAACATACAGTATCCTCTTATTAATTAATGAATTTTGTAACTAATCAAACCAATCAAAAGGAAGGATACTCACAGTTGTTTGAACCACAGTCACAGACAAGGAAATAGGAATGATCGATGAAGTTGATTTATTTATCTGAAAAAACAATTAAATCTTCCATTAAAAAGGACACTAATTTTCACATTAAATTCAATGTTGTGATTCAAGTAGTCAAAAATGCAAAATAATACTAACATTCAACTACCTTTATAATTTTATAAATATAAAAATTTCAAAAGACTGCCAAAAATAATTCATCCATTAAACACGATACAAGATACCATTTTCCAACTGATAAATGATAACAGAAATAAAAAGGTTTAAATTACATAGAAATACGTAATTAATTTAAGCATTTAGAGACTAGATTCACATTTGGATATAGTTATTATTTAGGCAATAATAAATTATTGAAAATTTATGTATGAAACAATGAAAATGGAGCTATTTGTCAGTCTTGGTAATGTGGGGGCGGAGTTAATCGACCATGCCAACCGTCATCTATCAAAAGGTACCTCATGATAGAATCAAGTTAGCATGCTTTATATACTAGTGAATGATGTTAAACTTTTGTAGTGGTAGATACGCTACAGTACTCCCCCACCAGAATTATAGCTATGATAGAATTCGATGAATGGATGCCACTAGTTGATTCATTGCTGTTTTGTGCGAAGCCGGGAGAGCTGTATTAAGATCACCGTATTTTTTTGAGTGCTGAATGTGAGAGGTGTATTAACTTCACGGTTGTAGTCGCTCCTGTGTTGCCGTTAGCAGTCGAGTGTATGCAAGCCAACGTTGTGTGTGATCGAGATGAGACTGAGTAGCAACTGCGTGAGGAGGTGGATAATGATGCAGTCACAAGTAGCAAGTCAACTGTTCAATGTGGACCATCCAACGAAGTAGGCGTTACTGCCGATGTAGGCGTATCCAGATCAAAGTGGGCGTTTTTGCCAAGGTAGGCGTGTTCACATCACGTCCGAAAGTCACCAATATGGGGAGAGTAGTTACAGACCATGTCAACCTTCATCTATGAAAAGGTACCTCATGATAGAATCGAGTTAACATGTCTTATATACTAGTGAATGATGTTAAACTTTTGTAGTGGTAGATACGCTACAGTAACATGTATGGCTATTTGAAAGGTTTAATGATGGCCCATCAAGAAATAAAGAGTTGCTTTAAATACCTACAAGACTCAATTCAGCAAAACAGTTGGTAAACAAGTGTATGACCCTTCAGTTTCAAAACATTGGCTGATGTCTAGTCAACTGTTTCTTTGATTAACTTGTTTCGGAGTAAGAAAAATATAAATTTCAGAAATTCACTAGTGGGTAAGTAGGAGAACCAAGTTTAAAATAAAGTTATGGTCGTTAATTTATATAGGCCCAATGGATAAAAACTTAAATTCCTTACATCTTTGTTAATGTCCCCATCTTCAACAGAATGGCATGGTGAGGTAGTGGATGTCACTGAGGATGGACATGGAGATGGACAAGGTGAAGTCTCTTGCATCACTGCGTGTATAGACTCTTCAGACGATTCTGAAAACGAACACAAAAAATTATTCCATTTAACAGTATATATATATTTAAATTCGTAGATATTTAAAAAAAAACAGCTATAATATATAAAGAAAGATCTCCAAAAAATAACAAAGTTGCCACCTATTAAGTTTCTTTTAATTCTGATAACATTTGGTTTAAATAAAAACAGCTGATTATAAAATAAAAATATAACTAAGTTATATTTTCCCAATTGGAAATGGAATCTTGCAACAGCCCAACGCCTGAACTCGCGAGGCTCGAAGTGTGTTGTGGTTAATGGATATAAGAGTATATTCATGAATTCCAATGAATGTCCTGGCCATTTAACTCACTAAATCTTAATTGGGTAGAGCACGTTTGCGATTTGTCATGTGAAGACAGCTCAGACACCCTGAAGAAATATCTCAACTATGAGTGAGCGTTGCTTAGACATTTGGTACTTATCTCCACTATCTACCAAGAACTTATAGCATCCATGACAGGACGTGTTGAAGCTGTTTTGAAGGCCAAAGGTGATGCAATGTGCTTTTGATGAGGGGGGCATAATGCTTTGGCTCCTCAGTTTATATTATACTGATAATTTTAAGAGGAAAGAAAGAACAAGAAGGAATACTTGTTAAATAAAGAATTGATTTCACAAAAAGAAAACCTTAGATATTATAATCTGCACATAAATACATATATTTAAAGAAAGTGAATAACACACCTTGTGATTCAGATGAATTGGATGACAGAGTTTCAGACAATTTTAATTTCTTGGTGGGAGGGGCATAAAGAGAATCTGCCTCAACTGCTTCTGTTGTGTCAATATCTAAGGTTTGATTGTATAATGGGGAATCACCAGCAGGGTGATTTTCATCTGAATAGGTTGGAGACTAAAAAGAGAAAAAATATTTTTATTTATATCACTTTAATTATGTTTCAACAATATTTAAAGCTGATTATGCATCACAAATGTAAGAATACAGAAATGCAAGAATAATAATATATAAAACAAATTCCATGTGGATTTTTGATTTAATTGTCTAGCTCAATTTAATTTTGTTTCAGTTTAAAAATAAATAAATAACTAAGTATAGTACAGAACCTCTTATCCGGAAATCAGAAAACCAGAACAAAATTCGATAAATTTTCTGACCATTTGAAAAAAAAAAAAAAATTTTTCCTCATAAGATTTTAGACTTTTTCTTTCTTTTTTAAAAGATATTTACTTTACCATAATTTTAGAAATAATCAATAGTTCCCTACACTGTCAAGAGAAGTAAGAGTCTTGTACTAAATATCATCAATCATTCCCTTCCTCACCGCCTACATAGTTGTTTCGTTTCAATCATAGCTTAGTGAGAAGGGGTGACTCATTAAACACCAGTTTTCTTATCATCTGGCCCATAAGGAGGGAGAGTCATCATGTCTGTTGATTGCTTAGTCCAGGAGAGTTAAAAACAAATAATTTTATTTGTCTTCTTTGATTCTTAGAAATATCTTAAAAGTACTCTTTACAGGGACTGCAGAACTCCTATTTTTCCTATTATCTCTGTACCCCTTCCTTTTTCCCCTTATTTTCTACTTTTTATTATTTTTTAAAAAATTATCTGACATTTCTGCTATTCCCCCTTTTAACATAGTGACAGCAAAGAAACAAGAATAATGACTCAAGGTCAAGTATTGCAACTGCACCTGTTTTTCAATTCATTCATTATGAATGGGGTGTGAAGAGGGGATAGAATGTGGTAGAACATAAATTCTTTTTATTGTTAGCTTCTGTGTAGGCTTGCCAATTTATGTTTAACTGGAATAGAGGAGAAATAAAATTGCTCAGCTTAATGAGGAATAAGATTTTGATACATGCGTTTTTCCTTCTGATTTCGATTAATGTTTTAGCAAAATGTTGAAACCCAAGTTAAACTCTTCTAGATAGTAATCGTGTGCAAGAATCATAGCGATATTGTCGCAGAACGTTCGAGAGTTTCTTGCTGAAAGATTTTTACTTTCTTTTCTGCAGAAATTTTCGAAAGATTTTTTTTTCCCTATCCAGAATTATATTCAAAGATGTATTTCTAGTGCATAGGAGGTGGGAAAAGAAATGTTTGAGAACAATGAAGTAAAAAAATTTGTTTTTCTTCTTTTCCTGAAAATTTCAAAGGATTCTTTTTTTCTTCTTTTATTTCATCCAGAATTGATGTCTTTCTCAGGCATAAGAGGGGAAAGAAACGCTCATGATTTTTCTCTTCTGATTTCAGAATAATAAAACATAATGAAGTAAAAAATTGTGTTTTTCTTTTATCCAAAATTTTCCAAAGATTCTTTTTTTTCCCATCCGGAATTATAGTCATATGATGTCTTTCTCGCGCATAGGATTTGAAAGAAATGCTCATGATTTTCTCTTTTCATTGGAGAATAAATAAAGAAAAATGAAGTCAGAAATTTTGTTTTTCTTTTCTCCAGAAATTTTCAAAAGATTCTTTTTGTTTTTTCATCTAGAATTATATTCAAACGATGTTTTTTTTCTCGCGCATAGGTGGGGAAAGAAATGCTCATAATTTTTCCATTTTCAATTGTTAACAATGAAGTAAAAAAATGGAGTGAGTGGTTTTGAGTTCTGATGCAGATGTCGAAGTAGATGAAAGCGACAAGGAAGATGGAGCCTACCCCCCTTTTTTCCCAACTTACCTTTTTTGTTCACTTCATATTAAGCCTGCATATATTTTTATTTCATTATTTTTTTCCCTTTGCATCTTATTAAACTTATGTGAATTACTTTATCGTTTTTTCTTCTTTTTAAAATTATTTCTAAATAAAAATTTTTTAGTTGGGCTTGACAATGAAAAAACGGCTTTTTGTAGCGATTCAAAAAACCGGAAAAATCAGTTATCCGGAATATGATGGTCCTGATCGTTCCGGATAATCGGTTCTCTACTGTAATATGAATTTTGATTTGCTATCTTATTTTTTAAACTAGGAACTATAGCCTCTCATTCATCTTTATATTTCCTCCCTTAAAAAAAGATACATTTTAGTTATTAAATATATAATTTGTATAATCTAATGCAAGATCATTATGTTAATTGTAACAAAATGAAAGACAATTTGGATTTGAAAAATAATCATATGTACTTTAAAAAAATTCGACATAAGAATATAGAATGTATGTGACAATATGGAGTTATAGATGAGAAGTAATTTTACTTGATAACTATTTCTAATGATAACCTTATAATGTATAACAGTTCAAATTGCAAACTGTAATATTACAATGTCTAGAGGCATTTATATTTAAAAAAAATTTCCATTCAAATATAATGATTTATATCTGGCAACATCTTATCAGTTTCTCATTTTTCGTTAAAATTATGATAACGAGAGAGAGAAAATTTTTGACAAAAATATATAAGTAATCATTATTTAAAGTTGAAAACTCAGGGGGGGAAAAAACACGTAAAATTGCAATAACTTTCAAATACATTGGAATTTTGAAAGAAGAAAAATCATGTTACGTTTATAATTGAAAGTGGCCCTCACAGCCCATCAAATTTCAAAGCTATTGTTGCATTTCAACAGGCAAACTTCAAATTTAACAGTTGATAATACACAAAAAGTACTAATAATCGTATCCTAATATTTTCTATCTCATCAAATTCGAGATATATGTTCTTACATACCATTGCAATTTTAAAGTTCTAAATATTATACATTTTGCACAGCCAAACAAAATGTAAAGTAAAAAAAAGTGAGAAAAAATTTGCTAAAAAAAGTACTTGAAATAACAATAATTTTTAAACAAATCAAAATTTCAAAAAAACTCTGTGTTAAGTTCATAAACAAGCACAACCCTTTCAGCCGAATCTAGACTCTGTTTTATCCAACAAGTTTAACAGGAAATGACTTTTCAAATTAATAGAATGTTAAATATATTCTTGTTCCATTTTCACACACCTACATAGTTTCCAAATCTTATAGTTTTAGTGCAAAACAAAAAGCAGCATTAAAATTGAACAACCAAAAGAACATTGGCTGCTCTCCCAATAGTTTGATATAGGGAGAAATTAAAATTTGTTTCTCTGCTCCTAGATGACTTTATATTTTCCTTCATTTATCAAAATTAAGAGTAACATGTTGTATTAACTAAAATATTACATTTATAATTTAAAAAAAAAGAATACTTTTCAGAGCAAATATTTTTTGAAAGTTCACATATCTGGTATAACTTTTCACATTATCAATCATTATCTTTGCATTCGAGTAAGACTTAACAATGTGGAATTTTCTTTCCAAGTATTTTAGATCTCAATGGTTGTTAAAGGTTGCCATTGAAAGTACATCTTTAAACATAAATATTTTTTGTAAGAGGTATCATACGAAGTAGGTATAGTCTACAATAAAAATTAAATTGAAAAGGGGATGTTTTGTTCCAATCCTTTAAAAAATTTATAAATAGACAAACTTTTATGAAGTGAAAAAATTATTTCTGCATAAAATTTCTAAAAATATCACATATCATGAGAGGTCTTATGATAATATTGTATATCTGTTGATTAAATTTAACAAACCCTGAAAAGATTACAATCCAAACAAATTATGCTATGTGTGCAACATGCATGCATATTTTACTTAATTTGTTTTATAGTGTGTATTATTTATAGTGTTATAAGTGATGTATTACAATCTATAATTTTTTTCTTAGTTTTCTTTATCGAGTGCTTCATTTTTTTCATATTGAGTTATTTTATATAAAATTTTGTTTTGAGAAATCAAACTTCTCAAATATCTTTTTATTTTTATATTTTTTGCATATATGGTAATCAATTTTCAACAACAGGCTGATAATTACAAAGAACAAAATGGTTTGATAAATGCTATCAAATTTTAGATAAAGCTAATTTTATAACCGGCATTTTTTTGGGTTCATAACAACTACTATTCAACCATGTTGCCTTCTAATTTTGAACCCAATTCAGAAGACAAGGGAACTCCCAGATCAAGTATTGGGAGAAATTTGGTTTGGAGATATTTGCGTGGAGGACTTTTTGATGGAACTAACCCGCATTTGCGTTACACGGAGGAAGTTCACGAAAACCTCCCAAGGTTTGCCTGACAAGAAGGGGATTCACACCTGTGATCTGTCTACCACTGAGGATATTTTACATCAGCACCGTGGTCGCTGCGAGCAAAATCGACCAGTTATCGCTGGGATCAGACCCGGGTCACCTGATCGGATCCCCTGATCCACCACTGCTCGGATAATGCAAAGACTGCATACTCACATCTTCATCCATGATACGTCTGTGTTTTGACAAGTCTCTATTTAGTCGCCCTCTTCTCACAACAGGCTTAATTTTAATGGTTGGCACATGTTTACTCTGAGGATTTAAAGAAGATTTCAACTGAGAATTCATCAGAAAGGATTGTTTCGACTGCTCAGGTAGATCTGATGAAGATCTGTAAGAAAGAGACATTCATCAGAGAAGAGATAATCATTAATCTGTGCTTTTGCATCTTGAACAGTGTGATGTTAAGTTACAATATCTGAAATGCAGCAAAGCAAAGTCTCTAACTCAAATGTCTTTCATTTAAAAAACAGTAACTTTATAATATTTATTATTAAAAATTTCAATTCACATTTTTCATTAAAAAATAACTTAAAAAAAAGTGCTTTTTACATTAAAGTATTTATGGAAAATTTAGTATTCAAAATGTAAAACAAGAGCAAAATAACTAAAAAGTATATATTTATTGCATTTTGTAAGCACACTCATTTCCATAATGCTGAATTACAATAAAATATTATAATNAAATTCTGGAACAAAGCTTAAAATGATCTAAATCTAAGAAGCAAAAAATAAATAAACATTATTTTTAAGGGGAATAATGTTTTAGTATTAGAATATCTAATCAATAAAATATGAAATATTAGAAAAAAAATATTATTGCTTAAAATATAGAAAACTAAAAAAAATTGACATATGAAAATAATAATCCGCCATTTTTAACTAGAATGATTCAAGCAAGAAAGGGAAATTCCCATCATTCATTAAGGTGGGTAGATGGAGGAGAAAAATTCATTTCCTCCTTATTTGTGAAAGAAAATAAGTGTAAAGAGGAGATCATTTAAGTTGAGGGTGGGGAAGTAACAAATTATTGTTTTCTCTCCAAGCATTGGCTATCAATCAAGCATAAAGGCGGGACACGCTGATCTGGTTCTCTTTATTTTTTCTTTTATAACTGAAAGAATCTGCTAAAGATAGAATGTTACCCCCTTTCCCCCCGCCTCCTAAATATTACATGGTATGGGGAAGAACGAATGTTTTATTTCTCAAGGACGTGTATACTTTTAGACCTATTCAAATTTTCCGTTCTGACTCCCCCTCCTCCTTAACGCTTGCCCCGTTTACCCTTTTCCACAGTATTTCTTCTTTCAATAAAAAGGTTCCAGGAAATGCCTCTTTTACTAGCCACCTGCATGGGAAAGGAGGGGGGAGGGGACTCAGTTGCGGTCTTTTGAAAACAAATCTCCCTCTTTTTCCTACATTCCAAGGGAGGAGCGTCACTAACGGTCACTCAATGGTCTCGGTAGATCTTCACTTCCCCTTTCTGGTGATTTATGGGTTCGATGCATAAATCAGAGGTTCAGTGCAAGCTAGAAAAAGAGAAAATGTGTCAAAAGATCTTTTTTTTTTATTTATTTATTTTTTTTTAGGAAAGGGGAAGATGGAGAGATGTTTGTTTATTTTGATTGTTAAAAAGTGTCCGGGAAATCGACCCTTCCGGGAAAGGGACGTCCGGATATGGGACGTTACACTGTAGTTGCAGTTAAATGTTGGAAAGCATCTCTAGCAACAATTTTACTTTGACCCCAGTTCAATTCAAAATCCCTGTGGCAGAATTTTTTCTGACTTTCTGCGACAAACCTAATTAGAACCTATATTTTTCTGCAAGATATTTTTATCGTTATAAATGTATGTGTAATGAATTTATAATAATAGATGAAATTCGTGTTTATAAAATAAGTCTAAATGCATGGAATAAAACTGTGTAGATTTTTTTCTTCTTAATTTCATAATATAAGTTTACATTTCTTAATAAGTTTAAATTGTTTAAGTATAAATTTGCATAATCTTCGATAATAACGAAAAGTTATAAATGTATAGATCTGCAGACAAAAATGCTTACTAGAGCATAAATAAAGATTACCCAGAACCTGTAATAAGATAGAACTTATAGAAATAGCTAAGAATGGACAAAAAGATTAAATTTATAAAACAAGATAACTGAATTTGAAGTATCAGTTTAAAACAGTATGATTTAATGTTTCACTATAGTAGTTATATCAGGTACAGAAACAAATCAGGTGAAAAAATTAATATTGAAGTTGAGTAATCAAAATAATAGAATAGAATTGACTATAACCGAATTCTAAAAGCAAAAAAATTAAAGCAATAATTGTTTCAATTTTTTCTACATCTAATTAATTTTATCTCATTAATTATAGATTAATTAGATTCGATTAATATTGTACTGACTTATTGAAAGATTTTCTTTTTAAAAAAAGGCAGTAAATAACACTTTTTTCGTGATCAGATTAAGTTCAGAACGAAAAAATTACACAGCGCTTGTGATTTCGCACTGTATTGTGTAAATATATAGCATTGATTCCACACGAAGTATACAGAAGCGGTTTCCGACTCAATATGCTCAAGTATTTTCAACATCTCGAAACGAAATAGTCTTTATCAGTACTGAAACATCGGTAGTAGAGCCATACTCATAGGATGCAATTTTTTTCGCATGCGTATAGAAACCTGTTTGAAAGTGTTTNTTCATCCCTCCCATTCATTGCTCATTTATGCCTCCCTAACTTTAAAATGACTTTTAAATTTAATTTGCATTTTTGAATAGTTAAATTTATAGTAAATTTGCCTTTTGACTTAAAAATTTGAATGGGGAAAAAAATTTATCTTCAAAATTTGCCTTTGGCAAAGACTTTTGAAATTTGGCTAACACTTTTTATAATCAACTAGTAATTTTAATTACCCTGCTTCTGAATAGACTTATAGAACCCCTAGATATACAGAACATATTCTTATTTATATATATATATATAATCAAAAATATCAGGCAAAAAAAGGGTTAAAAATATTGCTTAACTTCTTTATTCATTTACTCTGTTTGAATTAAAAGAAAACCGCCACTAAAGTGAGAATCTAAAAAAAAACATGGTGCTTAACAAAAAATGGATTCAGAAATAAGCTGATAAAATGGTGTTTCATATTTTTAAAAAAAAATTCTTTTTATGGTGGAAAAATCAGGACAGAATCATTATGCCATACATTTTTTGCAATTGTAGTAAATTCAATAATTTATCAGAGAAAATTGTCAAGCATTTTGTAATAATAACTACACTTAAGGTTTTTTTAAAAAAAATTTATATCATTTTTAATTTGAAACTTTTATTCTAAAAATAAAACACTTGAAAAACCTAACATGAAAGTATGCTGAACAAAAGATGTAAATTCTTAAGTCACATGGGAACTAAAAGATAATCACCTTCCAAGGATCTAATTTGCTGTGATCCCGTTCAGCTTCCCCTTTTAATTTCATCTGATTTTCAGGGGTAAATTCTCCTTCTTGTAATCTTTTCTTCCATTCTTGGCATGCTCGTGCAAAGAATTCATTGCTTAAGGCTGTGGCACAAAGCCTTACAGAATAGTCTGCCCCAATAACTCGATCTGCTTGAGGTAATAGATGCACTAATCTATATTGATATACAGGAGGTAATGAAGCAAATGTATGCTTGTTTAATAAAGCCTAAAATAAAACAATTATAAAATATCATTACAAATGCTGCTAAAATGGGAAGAAAAAAATTAACCATTTAAAATTCATTCTTACCCGCAAATTTGTATTTACAAGTATAGAATCGGGAGTTTCAATATTTATACAGCCTTGCTTAGTTTGAGCAATTTGAGCAGCTAAAAATAAAATAAAATTTGCGAAAAATCGTAAATATGAATACTTATTAATGTCATAAGTAAAAAACATTAAAAAAAAAACAAAAAAACAGTTACTGCATCTGTATTAAGAATTATACTAACCTGTACTTAATTTCCTGCTGGATCGCTTCCTCGGCTAAAAAAAAAAGACAAAAAAAAAATACATCATAAAATATTCCATTAAGAATTTGCACAGTATTTTACACAATTAATTTTTTACAATACATAAATAAGTAAAAACTATGTAATATTACATTTTTAGTAAACATATTAATAATATTGATGCTACAAGATATTGAACCGAACATAGGGGTTCGTTTCAGTCAGAGATGACTGAAACAATCATTAAAACTCCAAAAACTTATTAGTAGAATCTTCCAGAAAATACAGCAATTTTCTACACTCAATTACAGCAAAAATAACAACACAAAGATCTCAAGTGCTTCAATGAACTCACAAAAGACTAGCAAATCAGAAAACTAGTGCAGTCACAAGCAGATAAATACAACGCTGCGCGAGGCACACTCCTATTTACATAGATTTGAAACCCCAGAACTTTCCACATGATTCTCAACCACTGTCACATAACACTGTAAATATTGGTACAATTGCTTTTAAACTCAAAGTTTCCAGAACAGTCATTATGTCATCAAGATTATCTAAGTCGATAAAAATGTTGCCAAACCAGAACTTTCATAAGAAATACATTAGGCGTTATTTTTTCTCAAAATTATGTCAGAATCAGGCAACTTAATTGCAAATTTTCTAATTTAACTGTTTATTTAGGGTTCGTCTAAAATATTTAGCCTTATAACAAAAGAATATTCATAAAATTTTATGCATGTTTACAAATTTGTAACTATATACACTGGGTGGCTAAATTATTATGACCAACCCCTCAATACACTGTTGGACCACCTTTAGCCCGTAATACTGCTCGAATTCTTCTTGACATAGATTCTATGAGATGTTGGTAGGAGACAGGAGGAATTTGAAACCATATTCGATGAACTGCACTTTTCAGTCCCATCAGATTGGATGGCACTGGAACCAGCTGTCTGNGTAACAGTTTGTGTTGGAGATTAACGGAGAATTACGAGCGCTTTCTCCTTCCTCGGTACGCTAGAAAAAAAAATATTTAAAACAATTCTGTAAGAAAAAAAGTTTGAACCATTATTGCTTCTGCAGAATTTTTTTGTTTCTGAAGAAAATGATTTTTTTTGTTGGTAAAACAGCTTCTGTTTCTGCAGAATTTATTTTGAGAACTTTTGTTTGTGGCAAACCAAAAAATTTTTATTTCCCAAATAAAAAAAAATCTTTCTGCAAGAACTCAGTCGCTTTCTGCGACAATGTCGCTGTGTCGCCGTGTTTCTGCCACGGGGTTCTATGAGATGTTGGTAGGAGATAGGAGGAATTTGAAACCATATTCGATGAACTGCACTTTTCAGTCCCGTCAGATTGGATGGCACTGGATCCAGCTGTCTGATGCCCTGTTCGATCCCATCCCACAAATTCTCTTTTGGACTGAGATCTGGTGATTGAGCTGACCAACAAAGCAAGGTAAAGTCACCGTCATGTTCTTGCTGAAAGTATCCATCCCCAGCAGGGTACACCATCAACATAACAGGATGCACTTGATGTTTGATAACACTTATATACCCTTGGGCATTCAGACGTTGCTTCACAGGAATCAACGGATCCATGCAATGCCAAGAAAATACCCCCCAAACCATAACATGGTCTAAACCAGCTTGAAGTGTTGTGGCAATGCGGTTAGGGTCCATGCTTACATGCTGTTTTCGCCATATCTGAACCCTGCCTTCCGCAAGGTGTAGTTGAAAACGGGATTCATCAGACCACATGACCCTTTTCCAGTCAATTACTGTCCAATCCTTATGCTCCTTTGCAAGCTGGAGACATCTGCTCTTGTTCAAGGCTGACAGCAAAGGCTTTCGAACAGATCGTCAGCTCCCATACCCTATATGGTGTAATGTGTGGCGCATAGTTCGTTCAGACACATTTGCAGTTGCACCTTCATTGGGATTCCCCATTATTTGATATACTGTTGCTCTTTCATAGGACTGGACAATTCTGGCAAGTCTCCCTTTAGCTCAAGTCTGTGACGACAACAAGTCTGACATTGAGATCTCATTTTATGCTTGGTAGTCCATTCTCTGTACACATTAATAACTGCTGCTCTCAAACACTTCACAAGAGCAGCCGTTTTGCCGATTCTGGTTCCATCGCTTCAGGCGTTTACAATCATCCTGCGTCCAAACTTAATTTAGTCACCTTTTCTACCCATATCTCTGTATGTAACAGTGCAATGGATGGTTCACTTGCCTTGTATTCCCTTCTTGTTTTATTATTGTTCTAATTTATACCTTATTCTTAATATTGTTCAAATTTACACTTTACAAGTTTCAAGAATTTCTACTAAATCACTGCAGAAACACAAACACATCAAACAGACTACATGGAAATTGTGGGGTACTCATCTATCAAGTATGCCCACATCAATTTTAAAATGTTGCTTAATATTATATAGCCCTAAGCCCCTCATATAAAGTTTAAAAATACAGAAATTTTTTTTAAAAAAAACAGGTCTTAATTTGTATAACAGTTTAAAAATTTCAAATCACAGATAGTTTTAATTATTATGATTTAATTTGATACAATTTTTAAGAATTAAAAAAAGTAGTTTTTTTGTAATTCAATAGAGAGAAAAAAAACTTGACAGGTCAACTGCAACTAAATTTAAACAGATACGAAGAAAGTATCATAGCGTTGCAGAAAAAAATAAGATGAATAAAAATTATATAATGAAGAAAAATGTCTCACCTTGAAACTAAGTCCTGGTATTGAAGCAAGTAATTCTCGCATTGTTTGAGGTTTGTGCCTAGTACTCTCGCGCAATGAGGTTTTCTCCAGAGAACATCTCCATCTTTCTTCAGGCACACATCCTACAAAAATAGTTTTGAAAAATCAAAAACTATACAATACACATGAAATAAACAATTGAATCATTCCTATAATTCCGCATTGTTTTCACAATAAAAGTTGTTAGATTTTGATGCATTCCTTTAACTTTTTAGAAATTATATCAGATTGAAAGGGAAAAGTGTTGTCCCCAGGTGGGCGAGCAGGGGACTCTCTTCATTTGGGGTTGATAGGTAGGCTTCTTTTACTTCAAAGAGTGGATCTAACCTTTACCACGTGCACAATCATCTTAGCTGCTAGCAGATGCAAGCAAAGATACCGTTAGAAAAGTAAAATAGTATTAAACCAATAGAAAAATATGAAACCAACAGAAAGAAAATTTTAATTTTGAAAATCAGACTAATCTGCTAAAGCAGTGGTGCGCAAACTAGATGTCGCAAGAAGTTCTTTGGGGGTCGCCTAATTTTTATGAAATGCATTATCCCTGCCTGCTGCATACTATACAGTGTACATATAAAGAGTGAAGCGCCGTCACTCACTGTTTAATTGCAATTTCATGCTGTCCACTCTTTCTTTGACCGTAATGCGTAATGTATTCTCTATCTGGCTATCCGTGGAAAAACAATATCCCGTTTTGTGCAAGAATTGCATCAGAGTGTTAATACAATTTGCATCACCGTATTTAGTGAAACTGGAATTAGCAAACTAGTTTCAATAAAAACTAAATACCGCTCGCGTTTAAACCCTGAAGATGATATGCGAATTGCAATTAGCAACATACATCCAAACATCGGTGAGATAATTAGAAACTTGCAGCCACATACATTTCATTAAAGGGCAATTACTGATTTTTGTGTTATACAAAAAGTATTGTCTTAAAATTATAAATAAAATTAATATGAGTCAAATATGATGATGCTTTTATTCGATGAAGCGAACATCGTATTTGTGAACATTTATCTCTAGGGGTCACCAAAAATTTTCTCTCTACAAAAGGGGTCGCAGTCGAAAAAAGTTTGCGCACCACTGTGCTAGAGCAAAACAGAGCAGGATCCTGATTATTCAAAGAAATTGGAACCAGACATACATGGAATTATCCCTTTGATGCAGAATTTTTATTAAACGTATTTTTCATTTTTTTAAATTATTTTTTATTAATCTGGATCAAAATAAGTGAAAAGTATTATAATAGGAATTTTAATAATTTATAGTTATGAAATACAGCATAAAACACCGGTGTCTTGGTTTAAAGGTAAAATATTCCTAACACTATTTTTTCAAATGTGCAAATGTTTATTTCAGTGTGCAGTTATTCAAATCAAAAAGAAACAGTTATTTATCATTTCTCTACTTAATCAAATCAATTATTGATAAATTTGTGATTGATTATTGATAAACTAGTGTCTTGGTTTAAAGGTAAAATATTCCTAACACTATTTTTTCAAATGTGCAAATGTTTATTTCAGTGTGCAGTTATTCAAATCAAAGAGAAACAGTTATTTATCATTTCTCTACTTAATCAAATCAATTATTGATAAATTTCTAAAAACGAAAATTTCCAAATCACTTTTTGTTTGACCTTTATATTTTAGCACGAACATAATTCTAATAATCTAATAGATTTTTTTGGAAACTATTAAAGACTAGTTTTTACAATTAAAAAATACCAAAACATATTTTTGCTTTTAACTTGAGTGTCAGAAAAAAATATATAAAAGAGAAACCGGTATCCCATCTGCGTCAAAGGGATATAGAACACTGTATATCTGACCAAGATTAAGATTTTAGGAGTGAACATATTTTCAACATTGGGGCTTTGAAATTTATTAAATAATTTAACTTTGCAGTTAATTTAACTTAACTTGCCGTTCCAAGATGGAAAAAAATTTAACCGATTAACTTAAGCATGCATAAGTGAAAGAAATTGCGTCTTAGAAGTAGGAGCTTTCTTAAATAGACTTAATAAAAAATACTTAAAGTATACCTGCAACAGTTGGAGCAGGAGGTAACGGTTTCATAATAATCCGAGGTATAGGTGGAGGTGCATTACCACTAGCAGCAATTGCTGTGTTACGTCGGCGCCTCTTCTGCTGCTGTCGTAATGCGTGTTTAATGGCTCTTTGACTATGACTTTGAGACACCTACAAAAACAAAAATTTATTATTGCAGATTTTTATTTTACAAGGTATTATTCAATTTTTGTACACTGTATTATATTCGACCTTATTGAATCTGTTGTCCCAAAAACTTTGAATTTGACAGTTTAAAAAAAAAAGTACAAATAAAAAATTCAGCAGATAAGGCAGAAACCAAAATATGTAAGGCAAAGTATGTAGCCAATTTTTTTAACACAATTTTAAAAATTCAAAAATATTAAAGCACTTTCTTCTTTAATAAAAAAAATCATATTCGACAATGTGAATCAATTATTTTTCCTGTTGTTGAAAATTCTTCATAACCATGTACATAAAACTACATTTTTAAAGACTTAATCTTGATAAAATAAATTGTAAAAACTTTATTCCATACTTAATTAGCTACCTTAAAAACATTTTGTGCATAATTTTAAAAATGCTTAACATGAAGTTGCACATTCTATTTGTTAAACTATTAATTACAGTGGAAAATCCCATACCTGGAATTGTCAGGACTTCAACAAGTTTGGAAAATAGATTTTTCCAGATAATAGGTCCGTAAGGTAAGCAAACATCAAAACATCCTACCTCAATAAAAATAGACAATAATGTGTGATTTCTAGGGGTAATAATTCTTTTTTGCAAGACGTAAGAAGAAATTTTTTTAATTTTTTCCGCACTGTAGTGAAATTCCGGAATTGGTTTCCATGACAACCAATTTTTTAAAAATATTATAGTGAAAATCGAACAAAAAAAAAATTTGGAATACGGGTAAAAATCATGAAGCGGAAATTAGCAGAAAAGCGGAGGATTTTCTTCCCTGCATACTATTTTTAACATGTTGCAAGTGAAAAAAAATAAAATAATAATAATTATTTTTTTTTTTTGAAAAAGGAAAAGTGTGGTGTTATTTTGATTGTTAAAAAGCGTTTAAAAAAAATGAAGACCCTTCCGGTAATTGGACATCTGGATATAGGACTTTGTACTGTAAATGATTTCCATCATGCAAAAATAAATTCATTTCAATTTCTACAGTTAGTTACACATTAATTAAAAAGTTATTGTGTGCATAGCTTATGCTTCAATAAAAATTATCTATAAATGTGTACAGTAAAAACATTTATAAGATAAATATCATTAATTACATTGAATTAGTGAGGATGTGTAGAGTTAAGCGCACTAAAATCCTAAATTAATTCATTTTAGAAACGTTCATTAGTAAATGACCCCCTGTTAAATTTTCATTAAAAAATATAATTTGGTTCAGTATTTCTTTACTTAAATGATTAAAATATAGTTTCAATAATTTTAAACTGAAAATAACTTTACAGAGTAAAGTTAAGCATTTTTGTCAAAAGTAAATAACTATGTGGTCCCTATATTTATGAGATCTGAGATTACTGAATTATTTTGTACAGATATTATTAAAAAAAAATAATAATAATACTAAACTATGTGAAGTAGGTAAAAATTGCAAATGATGAATCATTTTCTCAGTAAATACTAATTACCTTTGCAGGAGAAGATACAGATAAATTAGCAGCTGAGGCTTGATTGCATTTTTCATTCTTAGTATTTTCTATCATATTTTCCCCATTCATTCGACGTATTCGAGTGTAGTACTCATTCTTATACGCAAGTGGTTTCACCGGAAGCTGATCATTTTTATGAACTCCTGTTTCTTCCATTTGGTGGTTACAACTGCTATTTACAGACAATGGAGAGCTTTTGTAACCAGGAGGTAGACGCACATATAGAACTGAAAAAAGAAGAAATCATTCATTGTTTTTTTTAAATAGTTTAAATTATTCTCAGCTGAATGAAGAAAGTGAAGGCAAACTTATAATGTTTAATGTTGTTAGTTCTTAATTAAAACTGTGCAGTTGTAAAAATAAAAAATTTAGACAGTAGACCCATTTTCTCCTAAGCAATAAATAGTTTACGAAATTTAAACATGTCATTAATTAACTAGAACTTCGCTTTCAAACCCAGTGGTTTACATACTCCTAAAAGTTTGCCATGTGTGTTAAGAAGGTTAGCGAAACTATTATTGTAATGGCAAAATTTGGAGTAGCTATCCTAAAAACATAATGAAATAATTGATATGTATATAGTTACTGTTGTGAATCTAAAAAAGTTAATTTACTTTTCCTGAAAATTTATTTCATTTGTTCTCTAGTACATTCCATAATTTGTAACTACAAAAGATTGCCTACTCAGTTGATATCTTTTGTTAATATGAATGACTTCAATTTGTTATTACAAAGCACAGGTATCGCTATTTTCAGAGTGCATTATACATTTAAGGCAATGCTCAAAGGTTTTCAACTTAGGATTTAAAGGATTATTTATTCTCAATGACTCAATTTAGTCAATTCATAAGTTTTTAATTGAAAACTGCATAAAAATACACTATGTATTTACAACAAGTGAAATAAAAAGCTGTAACCATGATTATTCAAAACACAGACAGTTATCTAAATAATACACCTTCAATTAAAAATAATTAATTAAAAAGAAAACCTATTCCTAAAACATTTTTCAGCAGTTTTTTTTTCACAATTTAAAAAGTTTGCTAAATGCTTCAAAAGAAAGTTAAGTTTAACATTGCTTGAAATACGTTTGTGAAGGACAAGTTTTAAAAGACTTATCTTCCTCAAAACTCCTCAGAATACCCAATACTTAATCATTCGATTGTTTTCTTTTTTTATTATAAATACTTAACTTTACCCATTTCACAAGAATAAAAATGAAACCCCTTAATTGGGACCTTTCCCACAGTTGGACGGGCAATATAAAAGAGGTCAGCAAATCGTCCCCAAAAAAGGTGATCATCTATAACATGAAAGAACAGGAAATGCATTTAATCTTAAACTTTCTACTTTAAGTATTAAGAAAGACAATTAAGTTTAAGTTAAATCAAAATAAAAATCTAAAAGAAATCAGTTAAAATCTAAATGAAATCAGTTAAAATCTAAATGAAATTAGTTAAAATATAAATTAAGCTACAATTAAAGGCACCGTAACAAATAATTTTCACTCCAGATCCCCCCGTTTGAATTAGGCTTTTTAATGCATTTGCTTGGCATTATGAAAAGCAAATGAAACACACACTATTAAGCAATATTATATCATATTAGAATTGTTATTGAACTCATATTACACGCATAATTGATGAGATTTAGGTTTTAAAAAGGTATAATGGAAAAGAAAAATAGTAATCTATTTTATTTGTGCATCCATAAAATGTTATAATTTTCTTTAGTTCAATAGTTCAAGGGAAAAAAATTATTAATCACTTTCCGTTATTAACCTGTTGGTGAAGAGAACTTTATCCAGACTAGTAAGAAATATAACTTTTTGAGCTATGTATAAGAAACGCACTTTCAAATAAAAATTTTGTTTAAAGTTACAAACAGCCAATTTTGATCATATCTGCTTTTTTTCAAAATTGACCGTAGACCAACTTTTACTGAAGATATAACAAAATGTTTCCAAATAAGTTTTTAGCTAAATTATGAATGAAAAATAATAAAAAATTTTTTCCAGTTATAACAAATGCTTTTATTTACTAGAAAACTATTTCTTTAACGATATTGGAATTAGTAAAATCATTAGAATAATCAATGTGCTATTTGCAAGAAAATATTTACATTTCGTTTGTAGGTGCTGTCTATTAGTATCTATCTGTAAAGTGTAATGCCTACAAATCTAAATTAAAAAATAAATATCTTATTACATTTACTCATGTGCTGAAAACAAATTTAGTATGAGATTAACAGTTATCACATTTTTCTACAGTTGTCTTTGAATAGAATTCATTATGATTTTACTTATTCTCTATTAATAAGAAACTGATAAATACATGGATTTCCAAAATGACATATATGAATAATTTTTAGGTTATTATAATTTTAAATTTGGACGTGTTGAACGTAAATGAGTGTTACCCAGCACTAGATACAAGGTAAAACTAGCCGGGTTAGGGTACCGGTCCTCGAGACTAAAAACTAGATCTGAAAATGCAGTACAAAGCCTACATACTCAAAAAGTAATGTAAAAAAAAAAAAATTTCAGGTAATAACTGGGAAAACATAACATGAGCAGGTAAGCAAAATACCAATACATCTTTAGTCTTCATCATATTTTAACTTTCTTAATTTTTATTGTTAGGTTAGAAATATTTTCACGCTTCATGGGTAAATTTATATACACAATAAAAAGAATGAAAGAAGAAAAAATATTTATATCAGCTAAAGTATACCTCGATCATTCTTTCTGCCAGGAGATAAAGAAGCCCCAGAATCTTGATCAGAATCACCGGGATCAAACTCTTGGCCACTCTCTTCTTCATCGACTTCCATCTTCACGCCACCATCCGGAATATTACTCTAAAAAATGAATTATGATTATGCACAGAGAACAATCTTAAAGACATTGGAATATGTAATGGCATAAACAGATAAATATTACTTCATATAGATTAATAGGAATTTAGAAGATTATTATTTCTATTTTTCCCCTTAAAACAGAACATTAAAAATGAACTAAAAATTAATTAGTTTTAAATAACTTCACATAAGGCTAAAAAATGCAATATTCTATGCAAGAAATAAGAATGATAACAACCACAGGAAAAATTAAACTCATGATAAAATTCATCCTATAAAACTTTGAAAGAGCAGTACAATAAAAATGACCAACAACAATGCTGAAAATAATAGGATCAGTAATGCACACTGACCACCATTATTTCCCATAAAAGCTGAAAACTGTTACCCCTAATTGAACTTTGATGCTTCAAAGCTATTCGTTCATAAATTTTTAAAAAAATTAAGTCAATATAATAAGAAACATACAGGATGAACAAACAATATAGAAATCTTTTTGTTGAAAAATAAAAACGTAATGCAACTTACTGCAAGTCCAAAAACACTGGTGCATCCATCTACTCTATAAAACATTGCTTCTGGTCCTCTGGAATGCAGGTGCAGCATTGCATTTAAACATGCTAAAGAGGCTGGACCACTATACAAAACAAAAATTTTCATATTATGTACTGTTTGTCTACGATAGGTACTCTGACCGCCACAAAGTCTGCGGCAGTCTGGTGCTATGGAAACAAGAGGGCATTTTAGGGAGGGTAGCTTCAATTATTGCTTGTATAGGATTGCTTGTAGGGCTAATACAATAGACCGAAGAAAGAAGTCTCCTTTTCTCCCATCGAAACCAATCCCTAAACCCCCCTCACCCCTACTTGAAATAATCATACCTCGTTACCATAGTCACCGCCACACCTCCAGACAAATGTCTAACAGAGTACCTATCGTAGACAAACAGTATGTATCATGATAATATATATATTTCATATTATATACATCATGAAAAAATCATATTTAGTATTGATACAGTGTTCTCCCAAAGCGTTTTTAGAAGGGCCTTGGTCCCTATTAAATCTGCCCTCCTTGCTCTTTGTGTAAAAATAAAACCTTAAAAACACTGCCTTTTTATTTTATTTTCAGGAAAAGGTTGTTTTCTTAACTACCTGTTTCATTGAAAAGTCCACTTCTGATTTATTTAGTTACAGATAATCATATAAATTTTATTTTTAATTTCATTCCTTCATTTTTGTAAAAAAGTTTTCTGATGTTGTCTAGTTATATAGTTAAAACTCGTGCGATATTCGGTTCCAGAAATATCCACATCTTTTACTTGGAGTTTTTAATTAAAAATGTATAGCTTGCCTTAAATTCTTTTTCAAAAGCTTCAAATTTTTATGTCACTTTGATAATGAGTGAGAATTACTTTTTAAAATATACAAATAAAATAGTGTAAGAAGGAAATTGAAATTCAAATTCAGTTATTACATAATATTACACATATTAATAAATTTAAACAGTGATAAGTGAGTGCCTTTTCAAAACTCAAAGTGCCCTAGGGAGAACTTTGGTTGGAAATATAATTCTAACAAATTTTATGAATTAAAAGAATATATGAAAGAGATCTTTTGAAAAAGTGATCTAGTATTTTGGTGCATGTCCAAATGTAACAACTTAAACAACATTTTAACAAACGATAAACTAAGCAAATATTTTAAAATATTTTCTTGTGCTTTAATAAAACTTTTTGCAACAAAATGTATTTTGTTACACGTGAAATAGTAAACAGTCTTAACAGCAATGTTAATAGTTTCTCCCATAAATTTATAATGTTTAAAATTATCTGAATTTCAAAAATTCAACAAAAAAAAATTTTTTTTGCATAAGAAGTGAATATTTACTGCATATGATACCAGTAAAATTTTAAAATAGCTGTAGTTAAAATTACTGTTTGCACGTTCAAAATTAAGATACAAGTTGATTCAATACAATTTTATTAGAATTTTAGAATGGAAGAACTTGTTAGACATTTCAATGGATTGTAGAAAATGAATTATAAAATGCATCACAAAATTAGGTAGCTCTTTGCAAAATAAGGATGATGGGTTACAAAGCATCACTTAGCATGTTCTTATAAAAAGATTGTAATAAAAACAGACTATTGAGAAAAATTATAGAGACATATTTAACAATTGAAAGACGGATAAGGCCAATTTGGCTCCTCACATTTTTTTTTCTTTCTTTCCTTTTAGTTCTAAAAATAACTTGAGGAAAGTGTTGAGTATTTCTGACTTTTCATAATGTGATCCATTTTAAGCGCTTATTATATAGTTCAGATGTCAGCGTCATAGAAACATATATAGAGAGAATTTTATACCTAGAATGAAAGAGGAGCAACAGTGGCCCCTTGGCCTTTTGGTAGGTATCACTTAATCCAAGGAGGTTTTGAGTATAAGGTACCCTTAGGTAAATATAAGGTACAGCAGTTTCATTGAAAAAAAAATAGTAATTCAACATATCAATAATATTTTTTATAGAAAAAATGTAATTTAGCTATCCAAAAAACTATGCCTAGTTGAAAAGTCAGTATCCCATTTAATCAAATATTTCGGTTAAAAAAATTTTAAAAAATACCATAGAATTTCAATGATTAAATATATTTTACATAAACCAGGGGTGCACAACCTGCGACCTGTGGGCCACATGCCGAGCGACAACTGTTGTGTGAAGCCCGTGAGAGCTTCTGAACACAAGGAAAGACAATTTAATAAAAAATAATAATAATAAATGTTGAATATTTTGAATTGCATATTTTAGTCCTAAATTTGTTGATGTGCTTAATTTGCACAAACTCCATTGTAAATCTATGTTTCTCGATCCCTTTTTCTGCGCTAATTGTTTTTGAATTATCAGTGATTTTCAAAAAACCAAATATTTTTATATAATATTACGATATGCCATTTTGAATTTGAGTAATCACTTTTTCACTCGCTTTATTTTTGCCGATTTCGTTACAAATCCAATCATTTTTCGATTATTTGCTTACATTTTTTCGGGGGGGGGGCAGTTATAACTAATTTCTATGTGTTTTTAAAAATTCAGATACATTTAATAGGACATTACAGCTCGTGAGCTATAAATCGTGCATTTAATTTATCACTATTCGACGTGATGTATTTGCACGGATTTCATCATAAATCTAAATAATTTTTTTTCTTCTTTTAAAGGCAGTTATTTCTATGCTATTCCACGTGATATTAAAAATCTAGTACTTTTATCAAATTTATGAAACCTTTCATTAAGTATTAAAACCAAATTAAGTATAATACCAAATAAATATTGCATCCTATTTTTTACTATAATGGTTCTGTTATAATTTTTGTTAAATTTTCTTTAAGATAATATTTTACAACTTATATTACTCATTAAATTATTTATTTGGTTTTTATACTTACATTCTGCAAGCTTCGCATATTTTTTAAAATTTTATTTTAAAATGAACTTTTGTATCACATGATATGATTAAAAAGGACCTTTTCTTTTCCCCAATATATATAATGCAGTGTTTTCTCTAAGAGATTTTTTTAAGGGCGGCCCACCTGTCTGCAGTTTGATGTCCCCTATTGGCCTTTTTTGTAAAAAACAGCAGCCATTCAATAAAAATACAGCCTTTTTATTCATAATCCATTAAAAAAACAATTCATTGTCTAAATAAAAAATACACACAATCAAAATTATTTGTGTTTATAGGTTTAATTCTGATTACTATAACAAATATTTTTTCAGAATTATTTTCAAATGCTTTTTCCACCAGCTTTTTGTTCAAACGATCTGTGTATTTATTTTGTAATTGATGGCTTCACCTTATGAGTATCGATAAGATCGATCCGTGATATGCGTCGCCTCGGGCTGACGTGGAATTCTTAAATTTCCTCATGGGAGCAGGCCTAGTATTACAAGTTATAACTGCACCTACTTTCCATGCATCTAATTATAACACTGTAAGCAGACAATGTTGTCTGGTATTTTAGGTCTGTTATAAATGTATATTAACTAACATGTCTTTACTGCACTGGCTCTCATTGTTTAATTAACTTAACCCACTAGTCATGTAAAAATTCTTTGTGCTATAAATATATCTGTCCATAATGTTTATTTAAATTTAATGCATAAATTATGTAACTTGCAGTTCAAATTTCTAATGCTTTAAATAAATTATGTTTTAACATTCTTTGGATGTTTCTCTGTTAGTTACAAATAACCATGGTCTTCTACCATCAGCTAATGCTGGAATGCTTGATTTCCCGTACGTAATTAAGGGCTTCATCACTTCTTACTTTCTGCTTTTCCCATTAGAATCAACGGTTTTGAGGTTTGCAGAAATTTGCTAATTAGCACAAGACTCACATGCCTGATCATCACCTAAAAACCTCTAGAAGGTACACGGATCATGGTATGTGAAGCCCTAGTCTTGGTTACCAATACTCTATAACTGTGTTTATTATTAGCAGTATTATTCAATAAATAAATTATCAATAATAAGTACAGAAACAAAAAATTTTTAATGATTTTCCAAAAAAATAAATATATATTAAGTTATTTAAATTACTTGTTAGTAATAATATTTAAATCAGTGTAATTTTAATCAATCAACCACGATTAAAAGTTATTAACTAGTTAAAAAATGTATAGAAGAACGTGAATAATACATACATTTATAACATTTTAAATAGCGAAAGAAAATCATTTTTACCTGACATCTTTTAATCCTTTAGCACGAATGACATTAAAAATCTCTTTGTCTCCCAATGGAGTTTTTGGGTAAAGTTCTAAAGCCTGAAACAAGAGAACATAATATTAAAATAACAACCATAAACTCACACTAAACTTATCATAAGAGATCAACCCTAATTTATTTATTTTTAAGAAATAAAAATACAGCGAAGAATTGATGCATATAAAATCAATTTGAATTATTTTCAGATTTTAGGCCCATAAGATTATCAAAAAAAATTTTTTAATTTGATACTGCCAAGAAATTAAGGGGGAGGGGGATAAAAACCTGTTTTTGGATCTAGGATGGTTAGGAATTGCTTTTGCTACCATATTTTTTTTTCCAAGTAGTTTTTTTTTATTTTTAATTTAAACCCAATATAAGTTATTTGTACTTGTGTTGCAGGTAAACTGCTTTGTTATATGATAAGAAATTTCAGGGTACACACTCAGAAGGCTGAAATCAGAGGTATAATCTTAAATCAAATATGTTTTTCTCGAAAACTTTAGCAATTTTATTATTCCTAATTTCTATATTCTGTATATTTTTTCGAAGATATGGCAATTATTCCTAACTGATTTTTTTTTAGGTACCACAGAACACAGTTTGCTTTTGTCTTTACCAATGATATCTAATTTTTCTATACATTTTTACCACTAGATATTTGATGTTAATTTTGTTTAATGAGTTGATAGAAAAAAATTCTGCTAAATCTTGGTTAAAGGAGGATAAGGATGAATATAACATTTAACTAGGTTAGTTGTGGTCACAATGTTTCATAGTCACCAGATGCTTAACTTGCATCCTAAACAGCCTCTTTTTAACATAACTCACAACAATATGTTAATGCCTTTTTAAATGCTTACCTTTGTGCATATCCTCATGTTTGAAATATGATGAATGGTGTACATGTACATACCTAAAATATCTGTAGTTATGTTCCATATAATGTGTTATTCTAATGTGTTCATCAAAGATAAAAGGTAATTTTTAAAACAGATTTCAAACTATTAACTTAATAATCGTTTGCCTTAAGAAGCTATTTGTTTTGTTGTTATCACTAATTAAGACTTCAGTGATGCACTTATTTTCTGGAATGTATGTTCATAAGTTTGGTCTTTCAAAACAAGATTGCTAGTTTAATTTAAAACTGGAATTTTATCACTCGTAAGGAAAAGTCCTTTTAAAAATTTGCTCTTTTTTTCCATTTAAAAAAACAAAATTGCATTTATTTTAAGGTAAGTGAATTAAGAGATATATATTTTAAGATTACAGAAAAATTATTTATTTAAATAGCATCAATATCTAGTAATAAAATATAATTTTTGTTTACAAACTTATAGTTACTTCTTTAAACTAGTCATTTTTACTGGTAAACTAGCAATTTCATCATGATAAAACATAATTTATGGATGTTTTGAATTCAGATGTTAAATCAAAACAAAACAGGGCATTAATAATAATTAGAAAAGAAATAATCCTGTAGTTGGTAGGGAAGAAATAAAATTCTGTCTTTTCAATTTAAAAAATAATTTATTTGTATTTAACTCTTTAAAAGTTAAAGCATCGATTAGAGAAATTCATTACCATACAATCAATTATACTAAAGAGAGAAATAAAAGGATATAATTAACTATGAATATTCATAATTCAATCTGAGCTGTCACTAATCTAGCCAAATGTTTGAAATAAAATAAAGAATGAAGTGAAAAAAGTGCCGATGACATGCATTTTTTCACCCTTAATATACCAAGCACGTAAATATTTACCGATTTTGTAAAACACTGATTAATCTCCCCCCTCAATTTTTGAAGAAATCCTTGGAAGGGGAAATCAAGGACACCGAAGCAAAAGATAATAAATAAAATAAAATTCGATTATATTTAATTCAAAATTATCCATCACTATTCAAATTAGTGTCATATAAAATCAAAGGTTCTGATTCATATTCACACAATTTAAAAATTACACAAAATTATGACTCATATCCCTGCATTGGTGAAAATCTAATATCGCAATTGGTTTCACATGATTTTAATATCAAATATCACATCTGATATCTGCACAATTACAATTTGTTTCTACACGATTTAAAGAAATCAAGAATTGCCATTCGTAATCGTGCTAATTTGAAAACTACCTATGGTGATTCATATTTTTATGACTTAAAACTACCCATCGTGATACAAATAAACGTGATTTAAAAAAAAAAAACACTGTGATTATTATTCCTGGGTTTTTAAAGATCGAACATCACATTTTGTATTAACACACATTTTTACATCTTAACATTTAAAATCAGTCCTAAATTTATCAACTACTTGGAGTTAATTACAAAACTACTTACATTTTGTAGTTAATAACAAAATTCAATTGTAATTTTCAAAGTGTAAATGCTTTTGCTTGAACAGTTTTGGAATGTTATTCCTCAATGAAAAGCTAATTAAATGAAATAATAAAACAATAAAAAGCAAACAGCTATCAGAAAAGCTTTTTTCTGCAGTATTCACTTAACAATTCATTTTAATTTTCTTATATAATTATCTTAAATTTTTCTGTTGATTATCTTACTTTTCAATATTTGTATCTTTTTGCAAAGTGAAAGTGCAAGGTTTTTGTATTTGTAATTAATTTTTGATAAACAATATTGTGGGTAGAATTCTTTCTTTCTGTTAATGTTTTAAAATAAAAAATTTCTGAGGTCTACAAAATAATTCATTTGTTTTCATATAAAAATAATCTAAATTAAAATAGATTTTATTTTGAGTCTAAAAATTGTGCTTTTTTAAAATTCCTTTTAATTAATTTTATAACCTAACTGCATGATGCCAATCGAATAAAAAATGAGAAAAATCTTTCGCATTATTTTTTTTTTGCTAATTTTTAATAATAAAATTTTTTAAACATACAGCTAAGAACAAATAATTCAAAAGTAAGAGGTTTCTTTCCTGACAAAATCAAATATTCTACATTTCTAGTGATATAAATCACCAAGATAAAAAAAAATTGCAAAAAAATTAAAATGTTTCAAGTAATAAAAACTCACAATGCTTGGATGTTATGCAACAGAATTTAAATTATCATATATCTTCACTCATTTAACCCACTGGCGGTTTAGCAAATAGGCGAAATTGGGAAAATGTTTCTCCCCAATACACCACTTTTCTAACTAATAACGTGGGAAAACCGGTTTTGCAGATGCGGAGAAGACTGCAGGTTAAAATATGACTTTTTCCCTGCAGAACCATAAGTGGGTTAATAAAACATTTACTTAAATTCTAATGCCTAGATGAGACGATTTACAATTCAAAATTTATGTAATTTTCAGAACTAATTAATTTTAGAAATACATTTCTATAAAATTCAAATAAAACAAACATTAATTTAATATAATATACTATAACACTTTAAGAATTGCTGCAATTATAATTAGCTAAAATATGCTTTTAAATTTATCACAGAGCAATAAAAGAAAAATACTGCACTAATAAAATAATTTCACACTAACCTAATTGCAAATTACTACATTAATAAAAAAATCAACTATTGATGAAAACAAACATTTAAAATATAACTTTTAAAACAAAATACTAATGTTAAATCACTTAATTTATTACAAATAAAACATCAATATTAATAGATTTAATTAGAAAATTAAATTCATTTTAAAACAATGTTACATATACATCAGATATTAAAATACAAAATTGCATTAACTAGGATAAAATCCTTCAGATTTTATAAAACTGAAGAAATAGTTTTCTACTGAAAAAATGCATCTATTATATTAAAAACAGACTTGTAAATAAATATTTACCTTAAAAATAAGTTTATTTAAATCTACGAATAATAATAATAAATAAGATTTATAAATTTGCAAAAAAATTTCACGTAAACATTTAAGGAGAAAATATCACTTTTAAGTAAGTTTCGTTTTCATATTTTATTTAAATTTCGAAGTTTACGTTATAGCATACATAATTAACAAAATTAAAACAAAAATTAACAGTAAAACAACCTACTTAAAAAATAGTATAAAATAGTTTCAAGAAACAAATATTGATACATGTCATATGTAGTAAAAAATAGAGAATTTACGAATGTAAATACAAACGATTAATGAGCTTAATTTCATAAACATATCTCATAATTAGGACCAAGTACAATATAGGTAATTTTTTAAAAGAGTTATAAAATATTTAAAATTCATGTAATAGAAGCAACGAAGCACTCAAACAACATTTAAATCGACTGACTGACACGAAGAAGAAAATCACTTTTGCGACTATTTAACTTACGAGCTTCGCCGCTTCAGTCCATGTTCGAGCTTTCTTTTTTCTAGCTTGTCTTTCTTTCGAAAGTTCGAATTGCATTTTCCCGGGTACACAAATAACCATTAGTGAATTATGTATCCTGGCGATCGCCGATACATAAAAAATAATGTTAAAAACGCAGTAAACGTAAGCACTTTGTCAGAATCACTAAGTCAGCCATTACGTCCGCCATGACACTATTAAGACAACAATGTCACGTGACTGCCTATTCAAGCTATCCTGTTGATAGTCGATACGATTTCTAATTTTGTCTGCATTTCAATGAAAAGTGTACAAATACAAATTTCATTACCCAAATTGCATTGAAATTAAGCAAAACAATTACAAGTATTTTGCAATAATGTTTATTTTAAGTTAAAAGAAATAGTAATCGATTATACTGGGATGAAAAATGTGAACTCTTTCTTTTTAAGTAAAATTCAAAAGTCGAAATGAAAACGAAACTATACGGAAACTCTCAAAACAAGAATCGTTTTATTTGAGAAAATGTATGCTTTTACGAAAGATAACTGGTAGAAAAAATAAATATTCTTATCGTTAATTTTTGACTTACTTTTAATTTTCATTTTCAGTCTAATTTCCCTCTTTTATTATTATTTTTTTACTGTTTTATCTAAATGCCTTTTTTGCTGGAATTTAAATTTATAGTATAGTAGATTGAAAGCTTTTGTTCCTAATTTATGCTTATTTGAACCAGTTTTCCTGTATCATATAATCATTTCTATATGATAAATTAAATGAAGTGACACAGATCCAAAATCCATACGTGGTTGGCTTTAGCATTGCGCTCCCCAATTAAACCTTAAAAATCTTATCCTTTTTCAGTATAAACTGTTATAATTAAAGATCTTGGAGCGTAATATTGGAATGTATTCGTCAATTATTTTATAATATTTAAATTCAAAACTGAGGACTTTGGCGAATTAGCATGATGATGCGTAGCACAGCACATGCGCAGGCAACTCCTCTCCTCTGAGTTTTTTTCTTTTTTTTAAAAAAAAAAATAATAATTTACTTTAATAAATAATAGCAAACAAGATGCCTGACTAATGAATTTCAATTATAGTACTAGCTTCTTTTTAATTTTCTCTCTCTCTCTTTTGGAGAAAATTTTAAAAATGTCAAGTATCACCATATTTTGGTGTGATTAAAAATAATTAAGAAATGCATTTAAATTTGTATACCCTATTGGAATATTTTTAAATAAATGAATTTGGTTCAAAATATGTTTAAACATCCAACTACAACAAATAATAACAATAAAAAGGCTATTAATAAAATATTTGGTTTGACTGTTAACATTGCACTAGAGCTACACTATTGTGTTATTGCTGAGAAAATAAACCCAATCCTTTATAGTCATGCTAAAAATACTTACCAATTAATAACTATTCGGAATTTTATTACTATTGTGTTTGAAAATTATTACAATTTATTAATATTTTACATTAATAATTTATTTTAACAATTTAATGTATAATTTCATAAAGACATTTAAATTAAATTTAGCATATTTGTACACAATTTATTTAGAAATTTGTTTTGAAGTTTTTAAAATACAGGATTTTGATTTAAAAACTTGTTTAAACTACTAACAAGTACCTTACAAATAATAACAATAAAAATGTAGAGAATTAAAAGAATACATACTTTTCTAGTGGATAATTTATTTATTAAAAAGGCTACTAATAAAACACTTATGGCTGTTAACGTCACAATATATACATATATATGGCGGATATAATCGTGTGAGCTGATGAAAAGATATCTTCTATGTTCCGGATTTTTATTAATTTTTTTCTCCCGGTTTCTTATTTTTCTTCTTCCCCCTCTTTTAATTGTTCTGTAATTTTTGTCCATGTTTTCTCTACAATTTGAACTTATTTTATGAGTTCTATTTACTTGCAGCTTTTGCGCAGTAAATAAAACTTATTTTTCTTAATTTTCTCTCTTTCTTTTTTGTATTTATTTATTATGCTATATATTTATATTTCAATAAAGATATTTAGATTAAAGTTAGCATACTTTTTAATGATTCTTTTTTTTTTTTTTTTAAGATTCTTAAGACTTTTTCAAAAAAAAATTTTTTTTTCTTCATTTAATATAGTATTTATCCACTATAGATTATGGATCAATATTTAAGTTTAATAACTGATATTTCAGGAGTGAAATTGTTGTTATAGAACATATTTAAAAAAAAATTAGTACTCTAATTCAAGTTCGGCTCCATAATTCTCTATATGGTACTGAGTACAATTTTTTCAAAAATTTGAATGCTCGTATTTATTTTTCTTAAAAAAATTTATAAAATAAAAAGTTATGTCAATTAAGTAACTATCAAATCAAATTTCGTTGAATGTAATGTTATACGGATGTAACATAGGTTACAAGAAGAACTAATCTAAATCAAATATGTTGTTTGCATTTAGCATATTAAAATATAGTTTAATCGATGGTAGAGGTAAATTTGGCAATTGGGAATTTTGTACACATTTTAGAAGAAACAACTACCTGATACATACTTACACAAAATTATAAATTACGTTAAGAAAAAAATATATACACTATAAATAAAAATGAAAAGATAAATTACAGTTTTATTGACTTAAAAATTTACAATGATTGTAGGTTTATTTTATTTTTTAATTGTAAAAGCACAAGATTTTGCATAATTGGTCCTTGTGTATCGAAAACGCTTGAAATAAGCGTATAAAAAAAATTACGAAAAAAAAATCAGTAATTTATCGGCTAACATGAATTAAAATTAGTTCTTATAACAGCGAATTTCTCGGAAATGTATGCGGACATGTGCATTTCATCGTTTGCTGAATGTTAAGCAATTATATAAACGGATTTTAATATTTATATTTCAGGAAGTAAATATTGGGAGAGATAATTACTCAAGTTTTCACACACGCAAATAAAAAAATTTTTTCCTTTAAAATAGTCCAATTTACTTGGTTATTATTCCCGAAATTATATCCGATTCATTATTATCGAAAACTTCAGAATTTAAGGATATACAACACTGTGCAAAATTCTGGGTACAATTTGGAGTCATAATTTTGATACCGGTCTATACCGAAATGAATTGATTTTTTTCTTAAAACATGTTATGAAAGAATATGTTAACTCTTATGTCCAGGCACTATATAATGAATTGTGAGATTTATTATTCTTAGAAAATTTTGACCAATTTTAAAACTACACTTTTTTTATCACGCGAGCGAGTTTTGGTTGCCATATTCAATTTAATCTGGATAATTCGACATTTGCGATTATCGACTCACACGAAATTTATCTTTTATTGATCATTTTCCTACAAAATTATCAAGAAAATTTGAAGAGGTTTGCAAAACTATTAACAGATTTTTTTCAAAAGAATTTGTGTGTAAGCAATTCATAGAACATCTTGGCAATTCTGAAGTTCATACTATTTGAAATTGTTTTCTCTATCATGCAATGTGATATATATATATTTAGGTTTTTCAACTTTTGAAAGTATACTTTAACTGTTTTCTTCTTTTTTTTGTGTAGAATTCGAAATTTCATTAAAATATTCAACTGTTTTTAAAATTGTCGTTTTTGAAGTTTTCTGTAGTAATCAGGAAGGTTTGATTCAAAGTGCTTGTTTGACTGACAACTCCTCTTAATTTCCATAGGCAGTCAAGGAGATTTTGATATTCCTCAATAGTGATTCGTCAGAATTTACCAGAATTTTTCTTCGTTTAAATATTAATTTGTGGTACACAATAGGCATACTTTTTATACTTCATTTAAAATAAGAATTCAAAACATATATTAAGGGCTGTGATTGTGGAACATCCTGTTAAGCCAAATTCAATTTACCTCATTTCTCAGATAGATGCACTAGATGGAATGTTAAGAAGAAAAAATATTGCATAAGTGAAGAAAACACTCCTATATATCACACAAATTTATTAATATATTATACACAATTACAGGACTGAGCAAATACTTCTGAAATAAAATACATTTTAAAATATTCAAAAATATTAATATATAAAATAAGAAGAAATTAATATTATTTCAACATTTAAATAACAATTTTCAACATGAGTATGCATGGAAAGTGTGAAAGAAAATTTCCCTTTTTAGATCTGAGGAATGTAAAAGGAAATGCTGCATAGGGATATTAGTTGCTTTTTTTGAAACAAAAATGCTCAGACATCTACTAACTACACGTAAAAAAAAGCTGTAAAATTTAATGAGCATTAACGAGAATATTAAGATAGTTCTTTAAATAGTTTTCTCAAACCTAGCAGAACTTTTTTTTCTTTAAATATAATAGCGATAAAATACATCTGAAGCATTTCACTTTTAAGCTTCAACACCTAATGTTGCACTATACAATGACTTACACAAATTACAAAGCTCTATTCAAATAGCTTTCACAGCATTCATTTGACCTAAATAAAAACTGCCTAATTTAAATATCGCACTTAAAAAATGCCTAAAATTATCACCAGGACCTTAACATTTACATAATTTAGCATTATTGCACAAATGTAAACATTTTTTACCAAACGCTGCCAATTAACCCGCTCATTAAAATCATCCGAATAATTCTTATTGTATGGAAATTCAGAAATTTAATTTTTTTCTTATTATTTAGTCACAATTGGAAATTTAAGACCCTATTCTTAACTTTAGTCATTTTAATTTTTTCGAGTTTCAATCTCTGAAAAATTAATAAACATTAACTTAAAAAAAAAAAAAAAAAATTTAAAAAGACTAATAATATAAACTGAGTTTTTGATGAGATGCCTGAGCATTTTGATACTGCAGTATTTGATAAAAATCAATTAGCAATAGCCTTTTTTTACGCTCAAGTCTAAAAATATCTACATCACAATTAAAATATTATTGCCAAATATACAGTCAAAGTGTGCTATGAAAAGCAACATTTGCATTTATTTATATGTATATGTATCTAAGAGGATTAATTAGCTGCCGTATTTTTTATTTTTTTTGAATGACTTTGAAATTACGAAAAGTAAACAGGAATGAAAAGATCGGGTCCCTGATACTGCAGTCTCAGTTTAAGTAAAATATAATACTGATGTTGTGGATGATTTTATTATAAGGTTTAAATTACACTTTGAAGATCAATTTGGCTTACATTTTTTCTTTAAAATTAAATTTATGAATTTTTAATTTGCATTTATGTATCTTTAGTTTGCATTTAAGTAAATTAAATCAAAACCATTTGAAGAAATTGCAAAGAAACTGGTTTTTATTTAATTGAAAGCAACCAGGTTCTGAAATTGCAAAAATAACATTGAAACATCATCATATTAAATGATAAAATAGGAACTTATATTTTCTTTTTGCACCCCATAAACTCTTTTGCAAAAAAAGTTGAAGCAAACAGAAAATCTTTTAGCAGTGTGACTATGCTTTTTTCTTTCTTCCAAATTTTCTGATGTGTTTTTAAATAAATGCTCAATATTCCTTTTTAAATAAAATAAACAAAAAAAGAAATAATGAAAGTTCTTGTGCAAGCAAAACAACATGTATAAAGATTATATAAAATTTCAACAGCTCAGAAAGTGTGCATATGTTCATATAAAAAATAACTTGGCTTAATAAGCTGAAAAAATAAATTCGATTTACTTTTCAATAAATAGTGGTGATAAAATGGTGGCAAAACATAAAACTTTTGACACTCAAGCAAAATATAGACATGGATGGACGAATGTCTTAAGCAGATATATTTGCAATAATATGGCAGGAATGAAAAGCAGCAGTTTATTAGATTAGATATAAAATACCAATAAACAATGTGTGTAAAATGAAAATTGACAAGAATTTTCATATCAAAATATATCATTCATGCATGTAACAAGAAATAAATCAAATCAAATAAAGTGCATAATAAATATAGATATCACAGCATACAAATTTTTCAAGTAACATAAAGTTGGAGAAGAGTTGTAAAAAAATCTATAATATTCAAAACAAAAGGTTAATTTTAAGACTAAAAGGAAAATGTTATAAATTTCAAAGCTTTAAATAGAGCAGTATATTCAAAAAGTTAAACTTCTAAATATGAAAAAGTACATAATACACTGAACAGAATAAATTATTTTGAAAGCTAAAATGAGAAGTATAAAATAGCTATAAATGTATAGAAACTTGGAAAAGTTTTTTTTAAATGGTAAATAGCAACTTGTTTATAAATTATTCAAAATGAAGAGGAAAAAAACAGAAATATTTTAACATAAATATAGGTAATATGACTAAAGCAATTGAATACATATTTATCAAATAACTCTTGAAAGTAATAAAAATATATAGCAAAAAAATTCATGTTAGAAGTCACTGCTTATTTTTCTATTTATGTTAAAATTAAGCAAAAAAAAGTAGTTCTTGAAAATAAGGTTTTAGCCTAAGAAAAAGAATTTAAAACGTTTAAGTCGTCAGGCAATTTAGTAAAAAATAATAAAGCTTTTGAAAAACTAAATATTTCCTTTTTGCAAAACAGTGATATTCTTTAAAAACTTTGTAATATTTTAGCCAAAAATAAATAATTATTTAATTTTAAAGAGCTAAATTTTAACGAAATTAGACCAATTTTTAAAGAATAATTTTAAATACATGTATATATTTAAGGTATATAGTATTACAAGAAAAAAAGTAATGCATAGTACATTCATGTATACACATTGTTTAATATTTTAACTTATCTAATTTGTAGTTTTAAACTTATTTATGACACTGTTTAAAATATTAAAGCAATTTTAATTTTTCTCTGGACATTTTGTTGTAAATACTGAAACACTCTTTTGATTTTTAATATTTATGACTTGAACAATAATACTTTATCTAAAACTTTTGCTCAATTAAATTTAGAATAAATAACAAAAAACTACTTCAGCTCGAACTCTTTCTTGCACATATGCTGTTTCAGTAAGCATGACTAAAATTGCCAAGGTTCTCAGATTTCTAAGCTTCATTTTAATTTTTTCAGTGTAAAATATGAAATTGAAATGTCTAAAAAATGCAATGAATACAAATTTTGACAGATGATGATGATTGTGCTGGATCTAACTAGTCATTTAGCAGTAAACAAAATTGTACTTTGTAACAGTTCCTTTTTGAAAATATGTGCGATTTAAATACTTGCATAAAGCCAAGAATAATACCAAGTAGTTAATATTTACAGTAAAGAAATATAAAATTGGTTTGTAACAATTTCTAGTTGCAAGCAACCATGACAAAACAATAAATATAATTTCATTTTTCAATGTTTTTTTCTTCATATAATGATAAATAACCCTCATAATAACAGTAAAAATATTAGTAGTAGAAACCTTCCTTTATACAGAAAATGACAAATATAACCAATTTTTAATTTTTTTTAACAGTATAAAAATAATCATGGTTAAAAGTATTTCCTGATTAACTACACCACTTTAAAAAATTTTCAATTTACATAAGACTATTCTTCTCAGAAGTGTGAAATAACTACCTTTTTTTTTTTAAACAACAATCAGTACCTAATATTAAATTCTGAGAATAATTTACAAACTACACATTTTGTACAGTTATTAGTATATTTTTTTGTTTACTTTAATATATCACATAATGCAATATAACAGCTACAATTTTTTATCATTTCTAACTTTTATCACTTTCATTTCGATTTTTGAAGAGTATATTATCACTACAGGATAATTACACTTTATAAGTGTGATTGGCTGATTTTGTTAATTTTCAATGTGCTGTGAAATATTTTTAACTCATTTTAAAATAAAACATTTACTAGAACTAATTTTTGAATGAAAGAAAATAAAAGATGGATTAGAAAAGTTATCAATGGTTTAAAATACATCGAGTTTAAAGTTTATTTTTAGAATTACAGGGACCCATGCAGAGTGCTGCTTAAATATTAAATTTAAGGAATGTTGACTAAATTCTATTGTGTTAACTTTCGTTTATAAGCAGTTATATACAACATCAACAGGAGATTCTTGATTGAGGGATTCTAATTTACAGTTTCATCTACAAAGGCAATGCATGCAACATTAAAGACAACCAAGACAGATCTTAAAATCGGACTTAAACTGTAGTGTGACGATATCTCCTGCAACTAATAAATAGAGCTAAGCAACATCGCTTACCATAAGCACCTTTTAAAAGAGACGCAGATGCAAGCAGGAACAACCATTAGCTTACTTTATTATTTTTGATGATGATTTGCCAGAAGTCCCCCAAAAAGATGCAGTTTGATTTTTAGTTCCTCACGCGAAAAGACTTGTGCAACCTTTTAGTGCACTGATCTGAAGAATATTTTGAAGTCTTATCAGCTGTTCCCACCTGCATCCTTTAGATCGGGTATATGTTGTATGTTTTCACAGAAGAGCACCAAAGGACGATATCTTGTGAGCAATCTATAATTGCGAGAATATACATACAAGCAATATTTCGTCCTCAGCAATATTTGGAATGATGAATTTAAACATACATATCATATTGCTTTACAAAGTGCATTCAAGTGAGTCATTTATACATACATGGCACTCTTTATTTATGAGTATTAAGAGATGTTATACAAGTGAAGCCCCAGATATGCAGTCAAATAGCAACAAAAATTAAACATGAAATGTGCATAGGTTCAGAACAGTGCTATTCATTTACACAGTGAGAAATTCGCGTAATTAGCACAACTGTAGTCTTTGGGTGGACAACTGGCATGTTCGTTTCACAACTGATGAAAAATGTTGTTATGACAGTTTCATAACACATTATGAATCTTTTTATGCTTCAAAATTATGTTAAACGTTTAAAATAATTAACGTGCAAAAAATTATAAAGACAAGAAATCTAAAAATTTAAATAGCAGGAACAGTTTGCTGGGGTTTCATTTATTTGAAGAGCCCTGTCTTTTACACCGTTAACTTTTTATAGGATTAACATTGCATTTCAATTATACGCCATTCACTTCTAACTTTTTTATCAAATGAATAAAACTCATTTTAACTAAACTTAAATAGATATTAAATAGAGGGTCAAAAATATTTAAAAATGTTAATAGTTTGATAAAATGAAATTCGATGGCAAAAGAAATGAAGCATATTGTTGTATATGACACAATAATGGATTATGAAGTAAGCCTGGGCACGGACAAATGAAGTAAAAAAACTGCTCATAAATGTATCATATGAGAGATATATCTGTGCTTTTTGACTGCATTTAAACAACACACACTCTGGAATGTGAAGGCTTCCGACACAATAAAACATGTGCAACCCGTTTAAAATACTCATAATATGAATTTGTGATGCTTGACAAAACTCGTTTGAGTAGATTGTACAAATGTTTGGCATCCATTTTTATTTCCTTTACAAAAATGAAACATCTTCAAACAACAACAATTTCACAACCATTTCTTCTTTTTATTTCACGAGACAAAAACATTAATTGTAATGTTTAAAAAGATTTTACTTTATAGCTTTTCAAAAAACAAAAGTGAATTATAATAATTCCTTACAATCACGAGACAACATCGATCTTTTACAAAAATACATTATTTCTTTTACAGTTGCAACAAGTGGCCAACTTTATTTTAGTATTTATCGGAATTTAAGAATCTTAATAGTTTATAAATTGAACTTTCACAAAATACAGCAACTACATTTAACACATGTAAAGAAATCAGAATCGTTTAGAACAGAAAAATATACGGCTTGATTAATGTAGCTATTTAACTCACTTGTTTAATAATAAAATGAAGAGGACAATTATGTATAAATTTCATTAATATGACTAGAATAAGCAATATATAGAATCATATCACTCTCAGATAAAGGCATAACACATAAAGACATGACTATAAAAATATAAATTCAGGACTAGAAAAATAATGAATAAATACTAAAGAGAGATGGCCAACTGGTACACAGAAAACACTCAGCTTTTGATATATCCTCAGAGAGCAATCCACCTGCAATGAAAGGGGAAAAAAATTTTTAAAATGAGTTTTATCTTACCTGAAGTAATATAATAATAATTCATATAAAATAATTATTTCAAATATGAGTTATTTTCTAGTAATAGAAAATGTTAAGGTTTAGCATAAAAATGTCAATTAAGCAAGTCAAACATGAATTTTCGTAAACAATTATTTTCAAAGATTTGCTCTGTGCACTAAATTAAATATATATAAAAAAAAAACTTCAGAGCATAAAAAAAAAATTGAAAGAATGTCATTAACAAAGGTTTGCCCCAAACAGTAAATTTTATTTTTTTAAGGTAAGACATAATTCATTTTTCTATTTTTAATAAATTTGAATTTAATTGGATATTCTTTAAAAAAAATTTCCTTAGAGATAACTATCAATTCCAAAGTGTAAATTTTTTTTAAGTATCTTTCTGTTCGCATGTTTTTAAATGGCACAGGCATAATTTTCAAACTCATAAATAAAAGTCCACATGTTAGTATAAACAGACTGTTTTAAGTAAACAAAAACTATTTTATTTTTGTTCCAATATTATAGTCAGTGTATTTATTGTGAGTATTATTACTGAAATATTGCTGAAATAAATATTTAACAACAAGTATTATTACTGAAATAAATATTTAACAAATTTGAATTTCCCCAATGATTTACAAAGAGCTTTGAGACTACATTCAGAATAAACATTAAATTAGCATTTATTTGTAATAATTTAGTTCTAATTAGGCTTAGCATTAAAAATTACAATTCCAAGGTGCTTTGAAAGTATAGTCAGGATCTTTAAGCAGATGAGTTTGAGATATTTTTATTTGGTAAAACCAATATGTACCAACCTATAAATAAAACACCCCCAAGTTTCACTATACATTAATTGCAATTTCATTAAAAATGCAAAAGAGAGCAAATTTTGTTTAAATTTGTCAGAGAACCATAACAGATAATGCAAGAAGTAAAAATTATATTAAAATTCCGACTGGAATTTGAGAATAAGGCAAGCCTATATTTTATAGATTAAAAATCTGAATCTATCAACAGAAAAAAAAACTATATTAGGTAATTCACAATTAGTTTTTTGGTGATTAACAATTCAATTAATAGTTAACAACAATCAATTAGAATATTAACCCTTTGAATTATTAAGAGTGCATCTTAGTACACGCATAAAAAATTTGATCAAGAATTGAAAAGAAACTAAAGAAAATGTACTTAAAAATATTATTTATGTATTTCAAATATATCGTTCCTTGCAATAAAAGGCATAGCTTGTTATACATAAACTATTATTTAAACAATTATAAAAATACAACTAGATAAAGGTATTAATAGTTACTAACAAAGTAATAATCATGATAAAGTAGCACTGTCTTTAGATGACTGCCGGCTCATAATGCTTTGATGGTCATGTCCAAAAACGGAATCATCATCTGTAGTGGACTGTTGAGAACTTTGTGCTAATAGAGGAGGACGGTGGGATTCAACCACTGCATCTGGCTGCAGAGCTGTTTTGTCATCAGTTTGAGCTACACAGGAGGAAGGGTTGTTATTTGTGGTTGAGGATGTGATGGGGCTTACAATTGGCACTGTGGCTAGGAGCAAAGGCAATCCCACAACAGAGTTGGCAAGCTCACTTTTTGAAGGCTGGGCAGGTGTTGCAGTTGTGTTTGCAACAACGGTAGTTGCGGGGGAAGAGGATCGGCCATGGCCATAGGTAGAGGTATTGGCGCAATAGGAAGGCACCCTATGTATTCTATGACCACCGTGCGCCGGGGATCCCGATGTCGTGGAGCCGTCGACAGGAGCCACGTCTTGTTGCGCAAAGAAATCACTGTCTTGAAAAGCGTGCCTTCTGTCTGGAGCTCCATCAGGGAATTGTAAAGTTCGGGATAGAGAGGGACTAAGGGGTTGATGTCTTTGCATACCACTACTCAACAATGTAGAATCAGGGCAATGAGATATGCTAAATGATGGAGATCCCCTCCCCGATGCAGAATCCGAATCGTCATCTAAACCAACAAATTTAATAGGTTGTGCGTGGGATTTTGAACCTGTTTTAGGGCCAGCAATTTTTAAAGCTTTAGAAGAAGGAACTGAAGATGTATAAGATGTAAATGGATCATGAATATTAGATGTTGATATTGGAACAAAAGCACTTCCACTAATCATATCTGAGTAATCTGGGGCATTTTTATGATCAGATATTAATTTTTCCGTTTCTTCTTTGTACAAAGAATCTTTTTTCAAGATTGATCTCTTTTTAGATGTATCTGGACTATTGAACTTCTTCATGGACGAACCTCTTTCTAACGATCCTCCAAGTAATGGACTCTTGTTCCCATTTTTTCTAACTGAAAATATTAACCAAATACATGTAAGATAAGAAAGTATATAAATAAGTTAATAACAATAGGAAATAACTTATAAAGTGTATCCTCTAAAACTTCATAAATTTTTTTTACAGTTTAGTGGACAGAATTAATGTTTTACAAGTAGCTACTTTTTTCCACAGTTTGTAGTGTGTAGTTTGATACAAAAAAACCTGTAGTTTGTAACAACTCCTGACAACTACTTTTAACGTTACTTTAGTAAAAAGACAAAGTTCAATTAATTTTTTTAATCTAATTGATGCAAGTTTTCAAGTCCACGAGCACAGCAACGAGAATGACTCAGTGGCCAAGCGCTTCAGAATTAGCATTACGTTTGCTTTTTAATAAGAAACACAAACAACTAACAATTTTAACATTTTTGGTGTTATCTTTTGGTGTTTTGGTGATATCTGTTAAAATTAGTTAACAATTTTAACATTTCAATTTTAAAAATTTAAACATATTCTGTGAAATTAAGAGTCACAAAAAATATATTTGGAGATTAAAAGATACTTTTTCTATTATAAGCATAGTAAATGCTTGGGGAATTCAGAATTTTTCATAGTAGTAGTAAGTACTTTATTTATACTGCACTAGAGCAGCACATTGGGCTATTGGTGATGGTCTGAGAAATATCTTAGAGGATGACCCGAAGACATGCCATCACAATTTTAATCCTTTACAGAGGGAGTGACTCCCCCCACTTTGGTAACACGATGACCTGTGTGAAGTCAAGCAGTTTACAGTGGATCAGTTTATCGATGTCCGATACTGCACACCTTCAGCCAATTCCCAGGCTGATTAAAGTGGTCCCTCACCCACTCACTGACCACAGCCAGTGATATTTAACTTTGGTAATCTCTTACAATCTTACACTGTGCGGTGAGATATTTTGAAATATCGAGGTACGAATGAATTTCTTATTAAAAACAGTTTCAAAATGCTCTACTTAACAAAGATTTTCACATGCTCTGTAAAATTATTGATATTTTTAACACAATCAGAAAAGAAAACAATTAATATAAAGATGATTTTTTTAACTTTTATTTAAAATATTTTCATAAATTTTTTTTAAATTCTTTTAAAGCAAGGGAATGATGTACATAGGGATACTTTTCATGTTTTAATTACGTTCAATGGTTATAATAAGAATAGCAATCTAAAGATAATATTTAAATACACAAACATTTTCTTTCATAATACATTTTCTCCAACACAAATAATTTGATAATAAAAATTGTTAACCACTTTTTTTGTTAACAATTGTCAAATAACAAAAAAATTGCAAAAGGGTCCCAACGTACATAAATTTGAACTGATTTCAAGTATACACTTTTTTTAAACATGAAATTAAAAAAAGGAAATACACATTGCAGCTATAAAATTCTACATATTACTCATAAATTTCAGCTAAAAAAAAAAATAGAAATTTAGAATTGCACATTTAAGTGTTTGACGCACTCCATTTGGAACAACAAAGTTATTCGTTCACTTTTTTGTGATTATTGCAATCGATTTACACTCAGTTTTTAAAAATTTTAATACAACATTATTGCAATTCATTAATTTTGATATTAGTAATCGCTTTTGACGCTCTTTATATAAACCGCTTCCATCTTAAATTCAAGTGATTTTTAAAAAAATCTTTTTTTGGCAGTTAGGGCTACAGATATCTATATTGCTTTCAAAATTACAATATTTTTAATAAGTTTTAACGTTTTTCATGCATCATTGAATTTAAATAAAAGCTTTCTCTTTTATTTGTGCAATCTTCATCACAAACTTTTACTTGTATTGCTATGCATTACCACATGGTTATTAAAATGTTGATATTTTAAGCAGTTATTACAAATCTCAAAAATCTAATTGTGTATTTAGTCACTAACCACTTTTCGATGCTCTTTATTTGTGCTGATTTTAGCGCAAGTCTAAATTATTCTTTAGTGGTTATTTCCGGGAGTTATTAAGTGGCACTACGCATTCCTATATGGTTTTGAATTGGCTTGATATGGTTTCAAGATTAATACACTTGATTTACGATTCGCACATTTGAATAATCTCTTTATTTATGCCAATTTCTTCAAAAATACAAGCGATATTTTAATCTTTTCTCAGCAGTTACAGTCTAGTTCTGCAAATAGTTTTGGAAATCTTGATATTTTTAATACATGTGAGTTTTGAATCGCACATTTATGTAACAAATTTTCAACATGCTTTATTTGTGTCAATTTTATATAAAATCTAACAAGTTTTCTGATAATTGTTTTGGGCGTTATTGGTATGTTTTCCCACCAGGTTTAAAAAATTCTGATACTTTGACACAATATTATCTCAGGTTGTAAAATTTTTAGTTTTTTGCTTTTTTAAACTGGTTTTATTTTAAATAGTGAAATATTTAAGGTAATGTTGCATAATCTGTAGCTCACCAAATATTTGATGCACTTGATCTTAACTAATGCAATTTTTTGATGGGTTTCTTTGGGTGGTTAATGCCACGGATTTACACAGATCTTTTAAAATTCTCTTATTTTTAACAAAACATTATAACGATAATGCAGTCAATTCGATAACGATAAATTAAACTGAATTTTTTCCTGATAAAGCAATTTTTTTAAAATAAAAAGCAGCCAGTTTTTTAGTTTAACGATGATGTTTCTATAATAATTACTACTTATAATTGCTGTCAACATGTCTGTCTAAATACTTCGGCATGCGGCCCTTCATAGGTTAGTCTGCTGTGCACGTGGCTCTTCACTCAAAAAGGTTGTGCACCCCTAAAGATTTGTAAAACCTCTTACAATTTACCTGATCAAAAATGTTGTAAGGTTGAAATATATTCCCATCTACAAGCTAAATTTCATTTTGCGCTAGAATACTTTTGATATAGTTAAAATTCCCTTAAAAAATTTAAATTTTCTTTAATTAAAGTAGAACTTAATGGAATATTTATTACTTTTTAAAAAATTTAATTCTATGAATAGTAAATGTTTTATTGTTGGAATTTATATTAAAATGAACTTTTGTATTGCTATCTAAAGTGATGAAAAAACAAAACTTTTCTCCATTGTTTTTACTTATTAGAATTAATCTTTTTTTCTTATAAAAAAAATCAGTTTTGAATTCTTTAATTTTAAATGAAATCTTATATTTAAAAGTTTATCTTACAAAAAAAGTACTAAGTTAACAGATAAAAAGAATTTAGTGCTTAGGACACTTTTGTTTATTTAAAAATGGTTATACATTCCCCATTAATTTCTGACTGTTTTAGAGTTACTTGTTCTTTCAAATATTTCGGTACTGTTTTTAAAAATCTGATTTTTTTTTAACGCAGTATTATTATGACAAGCAAGATTTTAAAATTCAAGAATTATGCTTATTTCCATATCAATTCATAGAATGTGCAAATTTAACTCAGGAATTTTTAAGTTAAGCTATTTCTCTTTGGAAAAAAAAATTCTTTTCAATGATAAATTCAAGAACTTTGTATATTTTGGGTTTCTTAAAAGCTTTACAAATTTTTGTGAAATTCAATGCAGTTTTCGCAATGGGTTTCCTTTTTTTAGGAGGATATAATGCCCTTTTCAGTTTTTAATGCCCAGAAAAGTCCTTAATAAAAGTTATAGAAAAAAGAGAAATATTGTGGCTAAAAATTCAATTTTAAAATTAGGCTTAGCTGTACTGTTTCTGCAATATTTAGGAAGAGAACCAAAGAATCGCTACCAAATTCTAATGTAACATTTACTATATTTAATTGCAACAAATTTCAATACATTCCTAAGTAGACACTATTAAAAATTATGCATATGTTGTACCATAAGATTTGTCGCAAGACTTGTATAATCCCCACATAAAATAAAAAAAGTGGTCTAACTAATCATTATTTTCACAATATTACAACACGTTCTTACGTGTCAATCTGAACATTAGATCAAATGTTATTTAGGTATCCCATTTTTTATTTTGCTCAATAATAACTAATGCATCTTTTCATGATGTGTTTACAGATTATATGAGCGCACAGTATAATTAAAATTTTTGAATTTACCTCTCATTGAAAATGATGGTTTAAGGCCAAATCTAGATTTCCCCAATGACGTACCACTGCCCTGCCTTGAGCTGTTGTTACTCGTAACAGAATCTAAAGATGATTGCAAACTGTGTTGTGAGGCATCGGGAGTGTCGAATCTAGTTTTAGGCTTCCTAACTTGGAAGAACCAGGGTTTTTTAGTGGTCAATGCTGGTGTAGATGAATGTCCTTCTTGTCTGGGATCAGGAGAGGTGGGTAGGGATGAATAACCATCAGGAGTCCTTCCAGTAGGTTCCTCATAACAACTACCACTGTCTGTAGAGGAAGAACTGTAAGATTTCCCAATGGGTGAGTGTTGTGGGAAAAAGTGTTGTTGCATGGTATAGCCATTTCGTAATTCTATTTGAGCTGGTTGAGATGTGTCTTCCATGGGGTTAATGTACAAATTGCTGGAGTTAATGTTCTGGTTAGGTGGGGTAGGTGGTGGCCGAGCGGTGAAAGGATCGTCTGCAGACAAATCAGCGAGTGAGGCACAAGGCTGAGAATTGCAAGTCGCATAGGTATCATAACTTTCCATACTATTTACATCCCATTTGTTAATAGTCTTAAGCTCTATATTGCTCAGTAGGTCGCACTGAGTCGATGGTTCTTGATCAATAAAATCTTTTACATCCTAAAAATTACAATATAAATCAAGTTAATAAAGAATAAAAAGTTAGACTATAAAACCAAATTTTGAAAAGCAATATTTTTGATTCAAACAATTTAAATTACAATCTAAATGTTAAAATCCGCCGTAGAAATTACAAATTTTTTAGTGGTATCATAATACACTCTCAAAATAAGGTGATTATGATTAAACTGAAAATTTCATGACAGTTAAATCATTAAGCAAGATTTGAAGCTAGTTTAAATGACTGAATAAGTAAAAATGCTAATTCACAGTTCAACAAATCTCTAATAATAATCATATTGTCATCGAACAATGGAATGCTTAAGATGAATAAAAACAATTAAAATCAGCATATTAAATATATTTATATTATTTAATTATTTTTTCTTTAAATTTCTCATGGAAATAAATATATATCATTTTAACTGTTGTGCTCACGAATGACATTAAAAAAATATATATAAAGTTTAAAAATAAAATTTGAAAAAGATCTAACTTGTTTTTTTTAGCTGATGGCATATGCTTATATGATATAGTGTGACATGTGATAAGGGATACTTAGTGACAAAGGGGAGGAGACGGATAGAAAAAATATGTAATAGCATTTACAAACATCCCCTAAGAGCTTTCTACGACTCATAATAAAACATATTTCAAGTATGATTTGTTTTCCCATTTAACAGGTCAAGAGACTTAACTCAAATCATGTAGATTTAAGAGATTATAAATATATTATAGTTATGAATCATCAATGTGAAGATCTGTTACTTTAGAAGTGTTTAGTTCATGTGAGTTTTCATACTTAGCAATAAGGTTTAAAGCTTTCAGAGATTTGAGGAACCAACAATAAATTAAAAAAAAAAGAAACAAGTATTTTTGAACACCCTAAGCTATCAAGCAATGAGCTTGCTAATTTTATTGATTATTTTATTGATTGCTCAACTATTTGCAATAACAGCTTAAAATTTAATAAACTCCACCAAAATATTTATGGATGTATGGAAATTTTTATTTAAAAAAAAAAATAATAAATATTTTTCTTGTCTTAAGTTTTTTTTGCTATAACTTTAAAAATATTCAGTAAAATTATAAAATTAGACAGAATTTTGGATGTAACTTAAAATGAATTACGAAATTATTATTTTAAAATTTGAAAAAAAAATTTTAAAATTGTGCAAGATATGAATATTTAAAGTAGCTCTTTTAATTTAAAAAGTTTTTTGTATTTTTTAAAAGAAAGCTCAAAACAATAAGGGATTTTCAACAAATATAATTTTGTTCTTACTGTCCAGTTATTATAAGATAGTGTAATTTTAAATACAGTACAGAACCCGTAATCCGGAAATCAGAAAACCGGAAAACCAAAAAACCGGAACGAAATTCAATAAATTTTCTCGCCATTATTTTAAAAAAAAATTTTTTTTCCTCATAAGATTTTAGGATTTTTCTTTCTTTTTTGAAAGATGTTTACCTTACCATCATTTTGGAAATAATCATAGTGTATTACTTCATCGTTTTTTCTTCTTTTTAAGATTATTTCCAATTTTTTTTAGTTGGGTTAAACAATAAAAAAACAGCTTTTTGTAGCGAGTCAGAAAACCGGAAAAATCAGTTATCCGGAATAGCAATGGTCCCGATCGTTCCGAAAAATCGGTTCCCTACTGTACTATATTATAATATTAATTGAAAATCCCTGATCATTTTGAACCTTCTTTTAAAAACTACAAAAACTACTTAGAAAATTGCTAAAAAAAATTTACGTTTTTAAGCTATTTAAACCCTATATAGTAATTTTAACAATGAAAACATTTCTTGTAAATTTTATTTTTCAAAAAGAAGAATGATGGGGGTGGGGGAATAGCAATAACACATTCATAGTATACAATTAAAAAAATTACCAAAATATTCTAGTATAATGGTACAACTTAGTGAGCATTTTTAAAGATATAGATGAGTTTTCACGCAAGTTTCTGCTTTCATATAACAGTTTTTTCATAGAAAACAAAATAATTTCCATAAAATAACTAAATTGAATAAAAATACATGTCTGCTATAAATAGCGAAAACACTTTATATTGCCACAGTAAATATTAATTTTTGCACCTTTTCATTTATATTTCAAATAAACTAAATACTGCTTTTTGATTAAATTGTGCAGAGTTCAGCAAAATATACTGCGTCCGAAGTGAAACCTAATTTTGATAGCCATGGTCATTCATTCTTAAATTTTACGAAAAAATTCTTTTTCCAGCATGTAGTTAGTACTGAAAAAAGTATTTTCACATAATCATGATACACTTATATAAGACCATTTTTATTTCTAAAACAATGTTTACACCTGTTTTTGGTGCAATATATACTAATTTTAAAACTATACCCACTTTACTCCACTCTGGGGTAAAGTAGGTATATCAAAACATGTTCTTTTGAATACATTACTGTAAGAATACAAACAAACAAAATACAATAAGTTATGCTTCATATTTAATCTATATGAATTAGATATTAATAGAATGAATATAAAAGGCATCGAAATTTTCAGTAAAATAAACTTAATAGTTTCATTTTCAAGTCTTCTTTAAAAAAAGGCTCAATTTTATGCCCACCTGATCCTACTCATATCTCGCGCATTTTTTAACAATTTTTTTATCAAATTTTAAAACAATGGCTTTGTAATTAATTTTAAATTGATACAAAAATTCTGTTTAATTTTGCTGAATATTTATTAAAGTTACATAGTAAAAAAANAAAAAAAAAAAAAAAAAAAAAAAAAAAAAAAAAAAAAAAAAAAAAAAAAAAAAAAAAACACACACAAAAAAGGTAGTTTTTTTTTAAAAATAAAATTGTCCATATCTCCATAAATATTTAATCCAAATTTATGAAATTTTATGCAGTTATTCAAAATAACAATTTAAGTAATTGCTACAAACTACAAGTTTATTACTTGATTTTCTGGCATAGGGTGTTTAAAAGTACTTATTTTTTTTCGTAATTTATCATTGGACCCTTAAATCTCTGAAAGCTTTAAATCTCATTTCTAAGTATAAAAATCATGTGAACTAAACATTTATAAAATTTCAAAATAATCCAAATTTAAAAAAAAAACGAAAGGTCTCTTCCAATATTGTAAGGTAGTGTATATTTAATAAGTCTGGGAAAACCGGTAATCACAGTAAACTGCATAAGCAAATAAAAAAACAACAACTATTGTTTAAGAAATAAAATAATGCTATTGTAACCTTTTAAAAAGTGTATATTGAAGCTAAATGTAAAGCGGCTTAAGGTTGCCTATTAACTGTTATTTGATTTAAACTTAATAAAACTACAGTTTTCATTTTAAATAATATTTTGCAAATAATTGTATACATAAAATTTAGTCACATATTGCATATGAAGTAAATAATTAACCAAATAGCCAACCGAAGAAATATATCCTTGTTGATAACTAGGTGGTATATTCGAGCTATTCAAATGATTGAGCGTATTGTTTGAGAGTCTGCTGTCAGATGGCTGGCCCTGTATGTCTAGTAGATTATTAGGATTGGCTATCATGACTCCTAAAGGCAACGATTGCGCCTGTGAGTTCTTTCGTTGAACATTTCCTATACTTCCATCCAAGGAGTGGTCAAAGTTTTTGTAACATCCTGCACCTGTGTGAAGTCGCGCAGAGTCATCCCCAATGCTAGTGGTGTCAATCTATACAAAAAAGTGAGATATTTTATAAATAGTAATTCCATAGCATGGATAAGGTGCTTCCGTAAAGTACCTTTAAATCTCCATTGGAAGGTATTTGACATTTACATATATATATATATATATATATATATATNTTTTATTGCATCTCTTGGACAGAATTTCTTTGATGTTCTTCAAACTGTTAAAATGGTATAGAAACGAATACAATATTTAATAAAGAACTTTATGAGTGTCACTTAAATAGCTCATTTCTTTTTGAGCAATATATTAAGCAATTTTGAAAAATGCATTAGAGTAAAATGTTGGGCCGAGAAAAATTGCTTAGTTTTTATGAATTGTAGATAATTAAATTCAATTATAATAATGGTATTATATTTCGCTTTTTATAAAAAAAAAAAACAAGAATACGGTTTAAAGTTTTAAAAGAAAAGAAGTTATGAAAACACTTATCAGCAGTAAAAAAAAAAGTTTAAAATGAATAAGTACTAAAATGTTATTTAGAAGGAAAAATATATCATAATGATGACAATATATAAGAAGGAGTGATTCAAGACTTGGGGGGGAAAAATAGGAAATTCCAAAAATTATTAACATCACTAAGTGATGTTTAAGCATTTTATTGCCCTTGTAAAATCAGTTTTATATTCTTTTCCCTCAAATGACATTGCCATCAAGGAAAAATAAAAGCCTCATTATATAATCTCACGTTTCTATTTTATGACTCCTACAAGTATCCCGAATTTAACACGGAATTCAATTATAATGTATAATCAATTGAATAAATATATCTTTTTAATGCTTAAAAACAATAAAGAAAAACACATTTTTTTACAACAAAAAAATTCGCATTTAAAGATGATTTTGCCTATGCCATCCCGAGGCATAAGGTTTGAATGAACTTATTTCCACTGGAATATTATTTTGGTAACTGAAATTCCCAAGTATTTAACAAAATGTTAGAAACATTACTTATGTAATTTAATACTTGTCAGTACTTAAATGTAAACATAAAATCTTGCGAACCTTAAATTGTTAAACAATACATAGAGTGATTTACCTGACTTTCATTATGGCCACTGTCCACTAAAACATCAATGAAATCCATGCTTTTTGCAAAAGCATCTCTCAGATTGACTCTGTGGAATGACACGATGCTGCCTTCTTTTTTGGCGCGATCAATAGCCTCCTTTCGCTTAAGAGCTTTGTCTCGTCTCATCTGGTTCTGATAGAATTCTGCAAAATTGTTGACAATGATTGGAATGGGCAGAGCAATGACCAGCACACCGCAGACGCAGCAGATGCTACCAACTAGTTTCCCTAGAGGAGTGGTAGGGTAAATATCACCGTAGCCGACTGTTGTCATTGTGATACTTGCCCACCAAAATGTTTCAGGAATGCTGGTAAACTTAGTCTCCTTCTCATCTTTCTCAGCAAAGTATGCAAGACTTGAAAAGATCATGACTCCAATGGCTAGAAAGAGCATAAGCAAACCCAATTCTTTATAGCTGTTCCTCAGTGTAAAGCCCAGACTTTGGAGGCCAGTTGAATGCCTCGCTAACTTCAATATGCGAAGAATACGCATAATTCTAAATATCTGCACCACCCTCCTCACATCTTGAAACTGATCCGTCTGCTTGTTTGATTCGATGAGAAAGGCCACGAAATATGGCAAAATTGCTAGGAGGTCAATGATGTTCAGGCCTCCTTTAAAAAATTTCCACTTGTTGGGGGCTGACATGAAGCGTAAAGCATATTCTAGTGTAAACCATGTGATACAAACTGCTTCTACAACAGCAAGTTTGTGGTTATCCTCTACATGTCCATCTTTACCTTTGTCTTGTAGGGCTGGTAAGGTGTTTAAAGTAAGTCCGATTGTCGATAATACAATGAATAGAATGGAGAGAACTGCTACAACCTGGAAAAACATCATGTAAAATCAAAAGGGCCGGAAAGCAAAAACAAAAAAGTTTCTACATTAATGTCTGGTAACTAAAGGCTTTTGTTGGACCACTGTAACGAGTAATCTTTAAACATAAAAACTAATAATAAGCTAAAATAAGATTGGGATCGGGTAAACATAAAGGCAAAAATAATAATTTGAAGCTTAAATATATACTGAGCTAAAATTAAAAAGTTCTGTTGACTTGAGGCATCAATTTAAAGTAACAGGATTCTTCAAATAATTAAGTATTTGTTTATCTTTTAGTTAAATATGCATAAATTTTAAAATTTGATCTTCCTCTTTAAAATATTTTTTAAAATTAATGTGATTTCAAATAATTTAGGCATTTTTAAAGAACCAATCGTATAATAGTATTATTTTCAGAACCAGTATTGGATCTTTTAAAATGCTACAGTCTAGTAAAAACGAATCAGTGCATTATAAGCTAAAACACACTAGCAGTCTCCTCACTTTATTTTTATATGATGTTTGAGAAGCAAAAAAATTTTCTTCTTCAAATATTTATAATAAAATATTAAATTTTTTTTTTCAATTTGTACAGTTGCAAAAATAAGGGAACTTTCTAAAAACCAGAAGGAAAGATGGAAGTTAAATTGATAAAGATGATAGCCAGAGTTGTGGCAAATGAATCAAATAAAAGATAAGATACATATGAAAAAAATAATACAAGAGATCAATTTTTTTCTTAATAATGTCCAAAATAGCATACTATATAATATTTTCTGATAGTACTGACATAAAATGAAACTTTTTAAAAAACAAGAGAAAGGAGAAAGTGAAAGAAAGAAATATAAAATACTACTGGCAGTGCTGTAGTTGGAAAAAAAATATTTGGGGGAATTCACCTTTTTGACATTGTAAGTCCAAAAAACGATCAGTTTTAATTACTTGGCTCAATTTAATTATAAAAAAAAGACATTCATTTTTTTGAAAAAAAAAAGGGGATTTGCTGCTAAATTGCATTATTTTAAATGCATTCATCAAAAAAAGCTCTTGATAAAATAATTACATAATATAAATGAGTAGGTACACAATTCTTCATTAGCACTTGAAAAGTACTATGACTATTTATTTGTTAAACACATTTCCCTGATAACATGAAAGTAAAAAAAAATGTTTATATGTACGCAAAAAAGGATACAGATTTGTTTCGTTAGAGTTTAACAGATAAGAGAGGTTTACATTTGCAATAACTTATGTTACTTCAAAGTGTCTTTATACAAATAAAGAGTCAGTGAATTCTATGAGTCACTCTTTTGTTATTTCTTGAACATAATTATTTGCTCTTAGATTGGTTCCTCTGCTTACCAGATTATAAAATATGTAAGACAGAGTTATAAAGAAATATCATATAATTTAATATTAACAATTTTACAAACCACATGAAATTAATTAAAAGTAACTTTATCTAAAGATTTTTTTCTCATTAAATACTGGTAATTGCAATTTAAATATTTACTTTAATTACTTAGCTAATTCAAAAATTTTAACACTATAAACATTTTCCCTGAAACTACATTTTTGTACACAGCTATTTTCATTGCATCTGTTTACAAACGAGCCTGAAAATTTCACCAATCAGACAGGAAAGTTCACTTGCTTTGATCTGATTGGTACGATTTGCACTTCAATAAAAAAAACTATCAACAAATGAATAAAGAGATCATGAAAAAGAAAAAAATTGGTTTGAAAACTTTTTTTAAATATTTCAAACTTTTTTACTGCAGCAAACCAAATATTTCGGAGAATGACGTTCCTCCTCAACTACAGCACTGAATACTAGTATTGTTAAGAAAAAATAGATGAAAATAAAATTCGAAAACTATGAAAGACAAATCATTTCCGTTTTATTTCAGAAGAAATACCATGTTAGGATATTTTTTTGATGTAGTACGAACATAAACTCATAGTTTTTTAAATTATGAGTCTTAAACTATGATATTTTTGTTGACAAATCAATAAATGTAGGTTTATGGTTGACTTATTGCAAACCACTAGAGAAAAAAAATTATATAGATGGATATAAGACTTAAAATAAGAGAATGTAATCAAGATCTTCAGAGGATTACTACTGCAATGAATAGTTGTACAGAGATGAAAAAAAAAAAAACAGCTTTGAATATTTAATTCATGTTTTTTTTAAGCAATTTACCGGAATAGATTTATCAACAGCTCTTGGTTTGATGTTTATCATTTAAAGAAATTTATGATGATGCATTACAACAATGATAAATTAACTAGTTCAAATTTCCTTAATTATGAAAATTGAGCATTCACACAATAGCAAATTATTGTTACGGTTCCAAAATTTCAAGACCAACCCAGTTTGGTGGTATTGTCTACATAGTGAATCGGCTACCTTTACAACCCAGATAAACGGAAAGTAAAATCTGAAGCTAGGCTAGCTTCAAGCCGTCATCAGAGATAGAACCCAAACTCTTTACATTGACGGCTCAGTGCCTTAATCACTGTGCATCAAATGTCGATTAGTTTTTAAAACGCTTAAACATTTGCTTCAGAGTCAAACTCTAATTTATGACATCATTTTGAATTTTTTTTACTGAGATGAATGCTTAAATGTTTTAATTCAACAACATAAATATACAGTTTATTGATAATTAACATAAAATAATTTTAAATTATTTAAAAAAAAGGAAGGAAGAATCAAATCACATAAAGTTAGACAGTGAAAATAGTTCATAGAATCAAAATTTAATGAATGATAAATTTAAAACAGGACATTCTTGAAAATTTTAGATACAAGAATCATGAGATTAAGTTCCTTCAACAATAACCATTCACACAAGCAATATCCTTAAAATATGTGCATATTATATGTGAAATAAGTAAATGAGAGGGTGCAGTGAATTAATAATTTAGCATATTTTGCCTCAGGCCAACAAACAATTTCATAATCGTCTAAAAATTAAAACAAAAATGTAAAAAGCCGGTGCAGAACTCACAAACAGCCAGAGCAATAATGAAGCATGCAAAATTCCATAAATGATGTTTTATTGTGTGTGTAACACCCGTCTTATACATTCGTGCACGAGGAAAGGGAATCATGCAAAGTCTGCAACATCTGAAGCTTCTGTGAATATACGATCGTTTCTCTGTCCATTCCAATCAACATCAAAAACGCTGACATTGAAGGCTGCATTGGTGAAAGAGATACATTGCATGTTACTGAAAAATAAATAAATTACTTAAACAAAATACATTTTGACAAAATAAAGAAAAAAGCACTGGAGGCGAGCAGGCTTTCATTTTCACAACAGAATAAGCATGACAAAACACCAAGTTGTAAGTTTTAAATTATAAAATATTTTTGATAAAGCAACAATGAGTGTCAATGATAGTTTTGAGTGCGAAACTTGCAGTGGTCCGAGCCCTTTAATGATAACCTAAAAATAGAAAACAGATTAGTCAACACATACAACATTATGTTTAAGAAAATTGAGAGAACCCTGAAAAAAAGCTCTAAATTCTTGGCAGAATTGAAACAAAATAATGGCAAAAAAGGAAAATTTAAATAACTTTTAAAAGGAAAGTAGTGTGTTACACCACAATAGTCCGAAAAAGAAATTACAAAAGTGACAAAATAGTTGGATTAATTGTTTTAAATTTATAAATAAGTAAAATTATATATTAATAATTATTGCCAAAGCAATTAAAAATTGAAATTTTTTTTTGAAAACTCAGTGTGCTGCATGCACGAAAAAAAGTGTGAGCATAAGTTGCATGGTACAACCATCAGTGTCAAATTGTTAATTTTTATTTATTTATTGTCAAATTAATATAAAGCCATTTGTAACATATTGTGGCAGATTTTAAAACCTACGCTGCGTCAGTTGTATGAGGTAAACAACCGCATTCCATATGATAGTATTTGTAAGTGAGATAAGTTTTCTCAATATTAATTTTATTAAAAATGAAAGCTTTTAAGAATAAAACACTTTTGTTAAATTTGTACTAAAATTTCTATATTTCACCACAAAATCAACAGCAAGAAAAAATCGTTAAACAGGTCAGTAGCCAGATTCTTCTCATAAAAATTTCAATGGTGACAGTTATAAGGTTTCATTTCTATGGAAGAAGTTAAAGATGATCTTGCCAACTGAAAAAGCACAAATATTCTTTAAAAGAACCCTCATTGAAATGATACACTGCAAAATTTTGAATATGAAGTACACTTAAAAAATAAAGTTGAAATTTCATAATAAAAAATAATAATAACATAACTTGATTAAAAACTTTACTTGCCTCAAAAATATACAAATTGGAAATACCAGTCGGCATGTTTCAAGCACTCAAAAATAGGCACCCATTTTTAAGAATTGCCAGACGTGAACGAGAAGAAACAAAAGTGATTTGAAACATAAAATGTAAAATTGCCAATGAAAAAGGGAAAAATAAAGGTGAGAAATAAAACTAGAAAAGCCACAGTGACCTAGAGGGGTAAATTGCGCTCTGAAAAGATGGTGAGGAACTAATGTCTTTTCCAGGAGAATCAGCGCTCATATGAATGAAACAAGATTCCAGGGTATCAAGATCAGCCGATGCGACTGGGGTTGAAGTAATTTGGGCTTTATCGAAATTGAATTTATGCCCAAGATTCAAATCATGTGCAGCAATCGATGTTTCTTTGATGACAGACATATCTATCGTTTTAAATCTAAATTTTTTAAGCATGTTTAGTTTGTCTTATGTAGTCAAAGTGGCACTCACAAGGAATGTGGTAAATGCCCCAGCAATTATCAAAACTAATAGGATCTTTAAAATACTTGCATTTAATTTTGTTATCAGGCCTAAAATGACTTTAAAACCAAAACGGGTGAGGGTTTCAGCAATTTTATAACAACGGGAGGAAGAAAAAGAGGCAACAAGTTCTCTGTTGGGAGGAAGAGGGATGTAAAGTGAGTTCAGCAAAAGCTGAATCAACTATGTAAGGGTTAGATAGGTCCAGCAATATCCATACTGTTGAAAATTCCCATGATTTTGTTTCTCAACTAACATCTTTTCCCCTGCAATAAAACTATACTCTCTCTCTTTTGATGGTGTTTCGCTTTTCATTAATGTCTCCATTTCTGGCACTGTTGATTGTTGCTACGATTGTAAGAATTTCACTACTCTTTTATTGAAATTTAAGATATTATCCCCCAAGTCAATTCCCGTATTTAAACTGCTTTTCAATTTAATAGTAATTTCTACAGTACCATCTTTACCCATGGGCACACCCAAGCAGTATCCAGGGGTCCTAAGCACTCAAAGGACCCTTGAGAATCTTACTTTTTATAAATTGCATTAAAAACTAAGAATAAACAACATTGTCCTATATATTTTTTAAAAATAAATATATTCTATTGAATGAAGAGTGCATTTTGTTTTTCTTTCTACTGTAGCGATTCCCTTCTGGAAGATCTATTTTTAGATCAAGCCCCCAAATTGTGCCTCTTCAGCCTACCCTGAGAGGCCGGGATTAAGGTTTTTACATCATTCCAGTGAGTATCCCCTCAGCGAGCAGTCGCACACAAACTTGTTACTTGTTACGTTTTAATAAATTTATATTAAGTTTTAAATCGTCATCCTTGTTCTCACTACACATTGGAGTCCTCATTAATTAGTGATTAGAGGAAATAAAATTACACCTTGAAATCCTCTAAACTGGTGACCCGGAAAATAAACAAAATAAAAATCTACTGATCCAGAACAATGGGTGACGCTGCCGCCGTAGTGATCCCTCCCTTCATACGAGCTGACCCGGCCCTTTGGTTCTTCATGCTAGAATCAACCTTTGCCTTAGCATCTCCAAAGGCAATAACAGAAGCAAAAACGAAATACAACTACGTCGTCGCACATTTGCCACCTGATACTGCGACGATCGTGCGAGATGTAATCATGAATCCGGATATAACTGATCCCTACATGGATTTGAAAAATAAAATTATCGAAAGATGTGGGGAATCTAAAACAGAAGAAATCAGACGTCTACTGGCTGGAGAAAATCTTGGGGATCGGAAACCTACAGAGCTCTTGCGAGACATGANGAGTTCCCATGTCTTATTATTGCATATCTTAAAAATGCGTTATATCACGTATATGGAAGTTTTTTAATTTTGATTTCAAACGATGGGACATGTTATAGAGCAGGGATGGGCAAACTACGGCCCGCGGGCCAACTGTGGCCCGCCGAAAGGTTTTATCCGGCCCGCGGAATGAATTTTAACTTGCTGGTGCGTGGCGAATATGAGCAATATACATCCATTTTCTTGTCTACTTTGTTCGAAATTATGTTTCTTCTTTCTTTTTTTAACAAAGTACTGATATCCTTTTAACTTTCTCTATTTTTGTCCTTCAAAACATAAATTGATGGAAATAGCTAGCACAGACAGCTTCAATTAGTAAAATGTTGAAAGCTCTTTATAGAATAGCCATAGGCTGGTGCCATCTGAAGCAGTTGTTTCTAAATATGCTAAAAAATGAGTTTCACAAATCAATACCAAAAGCTGGTTTCCCAAATTTAATATTTCACGCCCAGAAAATCAGTGCTATGTTTGCTTCATTTTATTTATGTGAACAAGTGTTTTCATCTATGAACCTCAGAAAAAATCATTTCGGAAGTAGACTAGCAGACAAACATTTACCCTCGTTCTTTAAAATAAGTAAATCTCACTTGGAACCCCAATTAAGGAACTTTTATAAATGAAGTCACAATTTCATTCATCTCATTAAATATTTATATTAAAAACTGTATATCGTTTTTTTTTTTATTTTAGAAGTTTTTACTTAGCCCACCAAACTTTTCTCTTCCGATTTTCGACCCTCGACCAAAAAAGTTTGCCCATCCCTGTCCTAAGTGTTTAGAAGATAAAATTCAGACTTTTTTTCGGCGGTAGTTTTAAAAATAAAAAATAAACTGGAACAAATAAATTCTTCAAATATTTGATAGCTCGTTTAAAGTGGAAACTCTGATAATCTGGACTCTACTGTATTTCTGTTCTATTATTCGTAACAAGTTTTTCTGTCATATTTTTATTCACACCTGTTTATTTTTATTCCATTCTTTCTCTTAGCAAAATACACAGAGAAGAAAAAAACTACATTAGTCTTATATTACAGACAAGCTTTTTCATACTTATTTTTCTATTAGTTTAGAAATATTATTTCCGGAAACCAACCACGTAAAAAAATAATGAAAACTACATATTTAAGGTATCGACATCTAAGCATTTTATGAAACTAAAATAAAACAAAAAAACCAAACAATTACAATAAACATCATAAATTCAATGAAAAGAATTAATCGAAAATTGTATTAACTCGTCATCTAACTAGTAGTTAAGCTTTTTTTCGTAGCATGGTGCAGAACTCATTTGGGAGAAAGTATTCCCCTTTTGCCACGCTGTAAAAAAGGACTCGTCGTTTTTTATCTACTAACGAAAACTTCACTATTATTAACTATTATATTTATCGTATTCCTTCAGATTAAAAAAAAATGGAAAAAATATCATTTCTTTTTTCATCGAGGAAAAACCGGAAAGTAAGAAGTTAAAGTAACTTTGATTATCTTATTTTTTAGCAAGCTCTTAAATGCTCACAATATTTACACTTGCATTTATTCATAGCAAAATGCAAATATTTCTATTTATAAAATAAAAGTATCTGCATACATACGTATTGTTGGGGAAAGTTTTGCGTATTATGAGCTGCTCATTGTAATGCAAGTATTTCAATTATTCATAAAGGATCGAGCTTTTGATCTCAATTTTGAAAGAAAATAATTTTTTTACTCTAAACTTAAAATACGAGTTATAGAAAAAAAATATATTACCCTACTTTATCCAGTTATATCCATAGCAAATTAGTTTTTCTGTTGCGTAAATTTGCTTTTCTTTAATAACCTCGAACGCATACCATGAATATTAACTCTAAAATTACTTTTTTCTCAATTACTTTAGGTAGAATATCCTTTTGATACAAAATAATTTGAAATTCATCCTCTCTATAACTGCAACCGACCAAATATTGAGCGGTGCTTTATGTGGAATCTTAAGTAGGAAACTAATGCTTGCGACCCTTCAGCAACAAATGTATAATCTATGCTAAATAATAAACTTCTTTTTTTAGTTTTAACATATTTTGATATATTTGTTTTAAAAGATATTTAAAATAATCTCTAAATTACAAGAAATAAAAATTACTTAAATCATAAACTAATTCTGCATATTCCATGCATATTTTATTTTTAAAGAAAAAAATTCTATATCTGATAGAGGTTTAGTAGTGGGTATAAAAGTATTAAAAAAGAACTTTTGATTTTGCTTAGTTATTTTTAAACAGCCTTTTCAGAGTAAAAAAGATGGATTACAATTTAAAATTGTAAAATTCTTGAGTTTCATCCCCTGTATATTTTAAGTTCAAGTCAAGGTGCAGGAAAGTATTTACCATCATTTATACTAAAAATTAATTTATGATACCAACT